CATTGCGCTCCTGCGCTAAAGGGACACGATTCTAAGTGCCAATCATCTGTCTTTATTCGTCAAAGCCTTTCATTAAACTACTTTTCATTGTGTAGGTTCGGATTTAAAATTCATCCAATAGGCGGAAGTTATCACAGATATTTTTTTTTTATTTATCATAATATTATTTATTCTATACTCTCTAAATCTGAATTATGTACTTCAAAATAACTATAATTATTATTAAATAAATAACTTAATCCAAATTTATAGAGTACAATAGCGAATTTTTGAAAAAGAAATATTCCTTTTTCTTCTGAGAATGTAAAAAAAAAATACTTTTTCCGTTTTTTCTTGAGAAAAGGTACAGGAAAAAATATTTTCTTCCTGGACATAAAGCGAATGATGTAATAAATTAATGTTCCCTAGTGAAACAAACAATATCCTGAAAGATGGATAAAAAAAACCATCACTAAAGTAATCTCGGACAAAAGGGGTAAAGGGTAATAAAAAATCTTGGACAATTTAAAGTAACAGTAAATCAGCATGCGATAATAAAATACAGTTCACTTCTTCACGCAAAACGACAGGATCAATGTTCGAGATCTGAGTTTTTAAAACCCTTTCTTGCAAAATGAAAAAAAACGAAACAAAAAAAGCCCATGGGAGTAAAAATCAAGTTTGACAAACGTAAAGAAAAGTTTGCAATCGAATTTTTAAACCATCAACTACTGGAAGTAAAAATTGAAAATAAAAACAAGCTTTTTGTCCCTGTAACCAAAATAAATATTATTTTTATACTCAGGATAATAATATTACAGTTTTTTTTTAAATATTAAAAGAAAAATTAATAAATGATGCTTAACTAAAATGCTATAAATCCAAAAGATTAATAATTTACAAACTTTTAGCGATTTTAACAAAATCCTTATAGAAACATTTGAAAAAAATTTAATAAAATTCTTTCAAACCATTCAATTATTTTAAAAATTTTTTCGAAATTCAATTATTTTCAATATCTACTATTTTAATAAAAAATTTCCCAAAAGTATTCAAATTATTAAAAAAAATTTTTTTTATTTTCTGGAAACATTCAATTATTTTCACAAATAATAAAATTTTCACTGGAATTTTATTATTCAAAACACAATTTGCATATAATTGTCAAAAAAAATCAATTATTTAAAAATAGGTTTTATAAAATTCTTCACATCAATTCAATTATTTAAAAAAAATGTACTAAAGTTCTTTGCAAGAATTCAATTTATTTTTATAAATAATAAAATTCTTCTCATCAATTTAATTATTTTTAAATATTTTCAATAAAATTCCTTGCAAAAATTCAATTATTTTGATTCATAATAAAACTCATTACAAAATTTCATTTATTTTTAATACAATTTTAAATTAATTCCTCGAAAAATGCAATTATTCTTAAAATTTTTTATTAAAACTCTTCAAAAGAATTCAATTATTAAAAAAAATTTGATTTGCTTATTAGAATTTAATAATTATTTTCAATACATTTTTAATGAAATATCTTAGCATAAAATAGTTTTTTATTTTCGCTGTAAAAAAAATAATTGTCAAATTATAACAATTGGTATTAACTTAGAATCAATTTTTGGTACTAAATCTAAGAAAATTTTCGAAATAATTGAATTTTAAACGTTTCTTCGTAGGAGTTGAATTATTTTCATATTTAAAAAAATTCTTTACAGAAATTCAATTATTTTTGTAGATTTAATAGAATTTTTCGCAACCAATTAGTTATTTTCACAAATAATAAAATTTTCACTAGAATTCAATTATTTAAAACACAATTTGCATATAATTTTCAAAAAAATCAATTATTTACAAAAAAAGTTTTATAAGATGCTTAACATGAATTCAATTGTTTCTAAAAAATCTAATAAAGTTCTTCGTAAGAATTCAATATTTTTATAAATAATAAAATTCTTCTCAGGAATTTAATTATTTTTCAAAATGTTAATAAAATTCGTTGCAAAAATTCAATTATTTTGATTCGTAATAAAACTCGTCGCAGAATTTCAATTATTTTCAATAAAATTTTTAATTAATTCTTCGAAAAATGCAATTGTATTCTTAAAAATTTTATTAAAACTCATCGAAAGAATTCAATTATTTAAAAAAATTTGGATTTGTTTATTAGAATTTAATAATTATTTTCAATAAATTTTCAATGAAATATCTTAGCATAAAACAGTTTATTTTCACTGTAAAAAAATAATTGTCAAATTATAACAATTGGTATTAATTAAGAGTCAATTTTTTGTACTAAATCTAAAAAAATTTTGAAAATAATTGAATTTTAAAAAGTTTCTTCGTAGAAGTTGAATTATTTTCATAATTAAAAAAAATTCTTCACAGAAATATTAAATTATATTTATAAAAATTAATAGAATTTTTCGCAAGAATTCAATTATTTTCATCACAAATAATAAAATTTTTCGTATGAATTCAATTATTTTCATGAATTGAATAGAATTGTTCGTAAGAATTTAATTATTTTCATAAATAATAAAATACTTGTTTTATGAATACAAATTATTTTAATGAATAATAAATTTTTTTCAAAGAATTCAATTATTATTTTCAAATTTATTAATGAAAAATTCTTTAAAGAAATATCATTTAATTTCATAAATTTAATAGAAATATTCGCAAGAATTCAATTATTATTTTCATTACGTATAGAACTTTCTAAAAAGAATTGATTTAATATTGAATTTTAGTTAAAATTTTAGATAATAATTGAATATTAAAGATTATTTATATTTATATTTAATTAATATTAAATAATTGAATATTAATATTTTAAATTTATAGAAATAATTAAATTTCAAAAAAAAAAAATTAAATTATTGACATCTTTGAAAATTTCAATATATCGGTAAAGAAAATTAATTTGTACAAATTTGTTATGTTCATATTAATATTAATGATAATAATAGTAATTAATAACAATAATTAATAATACTAATAATAGTGATTCAATAATATTAATTATTAAAACTAATAAATATAAGTAATAAAAATTAAATTAAACTTTAAGCTTCTTTTTTAGTAAAAAGTTGTCAACGAGAGACAATGAAAAATACTTTCTGCGAATTTAAAAAATTTATTTGGCCACTTCTCTCGTTTCCCCACCCACGACACAATTTTAGTAAAAAGTGTTTTTCTTCGACTGTATAGAAGTCAGAGTAACGGGAAGTGAAACTCCTTCCCTTTAAAGTCCATTACGTAATTTATGAACGACTTCTTGCAGTAATTGTTCAGGAGAGATTAGTTTTCAAAATACATAATCTCTTCCAACTGAAAATTTCACAAAAATATTATCGAATAATCTAAAAAAGAAAATACTAAACAAATGTTCCGAATTTTTTCCCCTATTAAAACGAAAATTATTGTAAATTTTAATAAATTAAATAATAATTAATATCTTAATTAGAAACCAATCAATCTAATTAAAACTGAAATCTACTAATTATTTATTACTAATTATAATTATTAATTATAATTTAAAAATAATAATTTTATTAATAATAATTGTAAATTATAATTAATTAGTTGTAATTATTAATTATGAATTGAATAATAATTTGTAAATTTTAATTGATAAGATAAATTTTGAACTTTCAAAAATATTCACCAGTCTTGTCATTTTTCGAAATAAGATATAATTGAAATTTGTCTTGTAAAGCGTAAAAGTGAAATGATCTCTTACTGGCATTCAACCGTTTCCGATCCGTTATACCTTTCCATTTTTTTTATCATAAATCACCGCCGATACTGTTTCTCGAAAATAATTACTCAGCAGGAAAATCCCGGAGGCAAAAGGATACAAAAAACAAATATTTATTTCTCATGTTCACTGTAAAATACTAGTTTACTAATTGAAACAAAAGACATATTTTTCATTTGTCAACAAAATTAATTATAATTTAGAATTAATTTGAAAAAAAAGAAAAAGTATTATTTTGGTAAATTACAAAAATAATGTGGAATTAGATCAGTTTTAATTCGAAGGATTCACGAAAGTACAGTTAAACGTTATCGTTTGTAATTAATAAAACTAGGTCAGACTTGAATCCTCTAGTTTAATCAGACAGATCAAAAAAAAACTTCCTCCAAATTTCCTCCGATCTCTATTTACCTACCCGTTGGAAAAATCTTCCAATTAAATTAAATTTCCAAAAAAAATCTACCAATTACTTTATTCATTTAAAAGAAAATCAAATTTGTGTAAAAAATAGAAATTGATTTTTCGAAAATAAACATTAGATTTCGAGAATTTTCCTTAAATTGTGACTAGTGGGAAACAAAATTATCCATTATAGTGAAAAAATATAATAATAAAATATTTCTTGAATAAAAAGAAAATTGAATTTAGATAAATTGAACGTTAGGAAATAATTTTGTCAAATAATGTGTCAAAGGAGAAAAACTGCAAAAAGAGAAAGAAATAATAACTTTTTAATGAGCAAAGAAACTAGGTTATATTTTTGGAAAACAATGTAGAGATGGCGTAACAAAAATCGATTTTGCAAGCTTTCCAAACAATCACATTTTATGAAAAAAAAGAGAGAAAAGAAAAAGAAGAAGAATAAAGGAAAAAAGAAAGGGCGACACTCATGGTAATAGCAATTATCAAAATGAAATCGATAAAATCAAGCCGAAACAACCCGTAAGTTTTCCGCGAAATGCAACTTATGTGTATACACAAAGGCGCCGTGAAGTCGTGGACCTCAATATAAAACATCAATGGAGCCGACAGGAACAAAGCACTCCTGAATTCAACGAAAAACTTCACAAATACAATATTCAGATAGAAAACGAATTTCCCTACTAATTAACAAAACTAAATTCAATAAACATTCAACATTTTTTATTTGTCACGCTTCACGTTTACCGTGCCGGCTTATTCGGGCATAGAAACAACACTTTTTTTTAAACATATATAAAATTCGTGAGTCTTGTATTAAATAGAAAATACTCACCGCAAAAATCAAATTGAAGACAAATAAAAGATACTTGACACACGCCATACCGCCGGAAACCATTTTTTCTTATATTTCGATGATCACAAGTCGGTGAATTTAATCAGAATTAAAACTTTTGACAAACGCTAGTTTTGATCTAACACCTGAATCGCGGCGGCGAATGGATACGTAATTCTTCAGGTTTTGTTTTGTCCTGCGGCGCTCCACGGAGACAAGTCGATTACGATATAAAGCTATAGTTACCCTCGTAAAAAGATTCGGAAATGTTCGGCATGAGGGCGCGACCGAACATCGACTTCGCAGAAAATTTTAAAAACTGATTCAAACCGCATGTTTCTTGCGACCGCGCCCTTTAAATATTATCAAGGGAATTTATAATTTATTTAATAACTTCACAACTCTTTGAATGACGAATAAAAATAACTATTATTTTAAACCGCACACGTCAGAAGTTGGTAAACTATAGACAAAATGCAAAAAACGAAATGAGAAACTTTATTTTTACCTAGACGGACATCTTGGATCTCATTCAAAAATGGCGCGTAAATTATTTGAATTTTTAAAACAAAATTTTGATTTTCAAAAATAAAAATGTATCTTTTCAGTAAGTATTAATTTCCAAATATTATTCAAATGTAGGTAATTAAAAATTCAATTAATTCTCGATTCAATATGCAAAATTTCGAAATATGAAATGTATGAAATTAAAAAAAGGGGCAGGGAAGCAACCCGCCCAACACCGAAGTAAACCCAGTTGTCTATTTCGGAAAATTTGTTTATTTCTTCTTTCTTCCTCTTCAAAAATCAAATGTAAAGTAATCTTGGAAAAAAAATTCTATTTCGATAATAAACAATAATTATTATTATTATTAATATTATTATTAAGAAAGTAAAATAAATTAAATTTTTAATTATTAAATTTGTTTCCACACGGAATGACCGGAATGTCTAACAACATAACCTATTAATTTTTTTCAAACAGAGCCCCCCTCCCCTTGCCCTTTTTCCATGAATGGAACGTAATGTGTGAACGACCCCTAAAGCCCTAAAAAGAATAAATTGGAATAAATCGACAAAACAGAAGAAAATAAGAATAATAGCAAAATATTGAAATTAAAATAAACAAAAATTATCAACACTAAATAATAGGACTGCAAAAAAAAAAATAATTATCAGAAAGAAATATTAATATTTCGATGAAAAAAATGTGATCTTGTGCGTATAAGCATAAAAATAGGGAAGGTCAGCAAACCGCTTTGAAAAGTGGTGAAAAATAGATTTGAACGATCGTAACCCACGTTTTCTAGACGTTCATATATACATGTATGCATGTTATTCGATAATTCCCGTGCGGGAAGGCGCCAACAATTGTTGGCTAAAAGTCTGTCACGCGATATCAATTCCTCCTTGTACATACAGTATTGACATAAAATGTTTTTACGCTTTAAAACCTATTTTCATTTAAAATGCCTTTTATTTTTATTTTTCAATTATTTTACAATGAGATTTATTATTTTTTTATTGTATACTTGCGTTAATGAAAACAAAAAATGCAAATCATCATTTTACACCAATTTTAAAAATAACAATAAAATAAAAAAAATATTAAATACGAACAAAACAAAAAATATTTATAAACAAATGATAAATAAAATTAACAATTTTCTATTTTGTCATTTATTTACTTTTATAATTACCTATTATTATTATTACGATTATTATAAAAAAACTTATTTTAATTTAATTATAAAAACAATAACAAAGACAACTTCAATAAATATAAACAAAAAATAAATAAACAACTAATAAATAATAACGAATAGAATAACATTTTATTTTTCTTTTATTTTGTTGTTTAATATTTTTATTATTGCTATCAATAAATAAACAAAATTGTTATTAATATTAATATAAAAAATTATTATAATACAACAAAACAACAGTAAGAAAACGAGACGCATGCTTATTCCCGAAATCTTTTTTGACCAAATAGTTATTTGATATAAAACTACTTAACTTAAAATTCACATAATATGCACATTATTTGACATAAATTTCATTGCACACAAAAACCATTTAACATAAATATAATTTGTCATAGAATTCATTAAACAGAAATATTATGTTACATAAAACTCAGATAACTTGATTCCCATTTGACATAAAAATTATGTAACATAAATTTCTATTGACATAAAAATCATTTAACATAAATTTCTTTTGACATAAAATTCATTTAACGTAAATTTTATTTGTTATAAAATTCATTTGACATCAATTTCATTTGTCATAAATGTAATTTAACGTAATTCTCATTTGACATAAATATCATTAGACATAAAATTAGCTTGACATAAATTTCATTTGACGTGAATATCATTTAACATAATTATTATTTAACGTAAAATTAAATTTATATAAATTTCATTTAGCATAAATTCCATTTAACATAATTCTCATTTGGCATAAAATTCAGTTGTCATAGACTTTATTTTACATAAAGATCATTTGACATGGAAATATAGGCGCGAATTTCAAAATTGGCGAATCACAATGTTGTTGATAATATCTAATTGGTTACTTTTAAAATTCGCGCCTATATTGTTATGTAAAATGTAATTTGTGTAAAATGATTTTTATGTCAAATGAGAATTTTGTTGAATGACTTTTATGTCAAATCTGATTTATGTCAAATGAACTTTATGTCAAATGAAAATTATGTTAAATGGGATTTATACCAAATGAAATTTATGTCAAGTACATTTTATGCCAAATGAGAATTATGTTAAATGGAATTTGTGCTAAATGAAATTTATATAAATTTAATTTTACGTTAAATAATAATTATGTTAAATGATATTCACGTCAAATGAAATTTATGTCAAGCTAATTTTATATCTAATGATATTTATGTCAAATGAGAATTACTTTAAATGACATTTATGCCAAATGAAATTTATGTCAAATGAATTTTATAACAAATAAAATTTACGTTAAATGAATTTTATGTCAAAAGAAATTTATGTTAAATGATTTTTAAGTCAATAGAAATTTATGTTACATAATTTTTATGTCAAATGAGAATTAAGTTATCTGAGTTTTATGTAACATAATATTTCTGTTTAATGAATTCTATGACAAATTATATTTATGTTAAATGGTTTTTGTGTACAATGAAATTTATGTCAAATAATGTGCATGCGTCTCAACAAAAGACAGCAACAATAATTATAAACAAACAAACCACAAATAAATAAAAATGACAATTTTTTTATTTTAATGTTTATATTTTTATTATTATTGTAATTATTATTATTATGGAAAATTATAATAAAACAACAAATAACAAAAGCAACAGCAATAATTATAACATTTAATAAATAAACAATTTTTTTTAATTGTTGCTTATTATTATTATTATTAAAAATAACAATAAAACAAACAATAATAAAAACAACAACAATAATTATTATAAATAATAAAGAAATAATCAAAAATTTAAAAAAAAATTTAAATAAGAACGGCAATCACAGGAAAAAAATGTCTGACTCCGTTTACACCTTAAATTCAGCCTCAAAAAGAGGCTGAAAGTAAAACTTTTTTTTTAGTGTGATATTCTTTAAATTTTGTTTTTTATATTTATGAGAAATTTATAATAAAATAACAATGTCAAAAAAAATCAACAATAATTATTAAGAAGTAAACAACTAATAAATATAAAAAAAATTTATTTTTCTATACATTATTATTTATATTTTTATTATTATTATTATTGTGAAAAATTATAATAAAATAACAAAAGCAACAACAATAATCAACAATTAGTACCATTTCTTTATTTGTTGTTTTTTATTTTTGTGAAAAAGTGATAATAAAACACCAATAAAAAAACTGCAACAATAATTATAAACAAATAACAAATAATCAGTAAACAACTAATAAATAAAAGTAGCAATTTTTTTATTTTGTTTTTTATTATTTATATTTTTATTGTAATTATTGTTATTATAGCGAAAAATTATAATAGGACAACAAAAAACAAAATAGCAACAACAATAATCAACAGTTAACAAATAAACAATTTTTTTATATTTGTTGTTTATTATTATTATGAAAAATTATAATGAAACAAAAAATAACAACAATTATCAATATTTAATAAACTATTTTTTTTATTTGTTTCTTATTGTTATTATGAGAAATAATAATAAAACAACAATATAACAAAAACAAGGACCACAATGATTATAATAAATATTAAATAAACAATCAATAAAGAAAAACAACAATTTTTAATTTTTATTCATTATTTTTATGAGAAATAACAAAACACAGCATCAATATTTATCAACAAATAACCTACAAATAAATAAAAATAAATTTTTTTTATTTTGTTACTCATTGTTTATATTTTTATTATTGTAATTATTATTATTATTATAGTGAAAAATTATAATAAAACTAAAAATAACAATAATAAAAATAATAATAATCATCAATTAAAAATAAAACAATTTTTTTATATTTGTTGTTTAATTACTTTTTTAAGAATGTTATAATATAACAACAATAACAATAATTATAAAAAAATAACAAATTAATAATAACTAATAAATAAAAATAACATTATTTGTTGTTTTATTATAATTTTTCCCAATAATGATAATAATAATTACAATAATAAAAATATAAATAATAAATAACAAATTAACATTTTTTTTTATTTTGTTATTTATTATTTATATTTTTATTATTGTAATTATTATTATTATTATTGTGAAAAATTATAATAAAACAACAATTAACAAAAAGAACATTAATTGTAAACAATTAATAAATATAAACAATAAATAAATAATTTAAAATTATAAACAACAATGTTTTATTTTGTTTATTTAATTTTCTTTAAATATGAGTAAATTAATTTTGAATATCAATATTGTAAAACTTATAATTTTCTTATTTTTACTTTGTGAAATAATTGTATTTCTCTCCTTCCTTCCGTTAATTGTTCTCTCTCTTTAAAAAATTCGCGCCTTATATTTGATTTCAAGCGCAAGCGCACTAAAATACAATTCAAATAACTAAAAAAAGGGTAAAATATTTATCAGGACTTTTTTTTACAATTTTTCATATATGAATCATAAATTCATAAATATCTTTTCAAGAATTAAGTGTGAATAAAACTACCCAACCCTGAAAAAGGAAATACGTATATTTGGGACTATTATAACTATATATTTATTCCCACAAACACATTTGTCTATATATGTATATAGGTAAAAGCAAACGATATAATAATATATGAATTGTGTAAAAAACATGTTGTAATGTAAGTATTTAGTTGCGCGGCGCAGCTGCGAAACGAACATTTTATAATTGAAAACGTGTAAAACGAACATAACATAAAACAAGAAGTGCAGAAGAGAGCGCAGATCGCGTTTATCGGTCGAGTTGACAATATACAGTGTATATGGGGCCATATGCTGCCGGCCTTTCGTTTGCAAAACTTTTTTCACTATAACTTTTCACACACCTGATATATATACATATATATATTTTGACCAAAAAAAAACAAAACGAAAACAGAAAACTTGTTCTTTTTCTTTCTCACTCGCGAAATAGACGCGCGGCGGCAACCATGGTTTCAACAATGAAACTACCATTAACCTCACAATGCATTAAATACCTCATGTTTGCCTTCAATCTCATTTTTGTGGTAAGTTTTTTCAAAAATTTATTCCATTAATCATTGTTCATTAATAAAGTGATATTTTCTTATAAATATTCCCTCGAATGTATTTTCAATCGACAATCCATATGGAAAATTAGTGATAAACAGTAAAATACCTAGAAAAAAAAGAAAACAATCTAAACAAGTGCGCTTTGGAATTACTTTTCCATTAATAATTTCTTTCTTTACAATTTCAACTCAATAATTAAAATATCAATTTTTTTTCGAATCTTTCGATTTGACTGTTTACAGTTTCTTTGTTTTGTTACAAGTTATATTGATAATTTATGGAAAAAATGAAAGAAATGAGAGTAAATATTGAACTTTTTTTTTTTGTCAAAAAGAGGATATTACAGAAATTTCATCATATCTCTTAAACAAATGAGCAAAAATGAATGAGTCACGAGTAGCTTATCATTGCGGTATAGCGTCTAGAATTATATAGATTGTTTCTTATTTGCTTTTTTGCATTTTTTCAAAAGGTCCCCACAGACTTATTAAAGCCTTCTCTCGAGTGATTTAAATTTGCACACCAAAAATAGATATCAATTTTTTTTCCAAACAAAGAAATGAATCTCATCAATTCTTATAAGCATAATAAAAAATGAAATATAGTTTTGATAATTAATATCTCGTATTAATCAGGGAATTCCAATTTTCTTTTTTAATAATTATATCGAAAAGAAAAAGAAACAATATTTTATCATTCTTGTCAGTCATTTTTATCTTGAATTTAAATACAAAAAAGTATTTTAATCATTTTTTTATTATTTTCATCATTTTTATCATTTTTCCTTATTTTTATTCTTTAAATTTTTAATTATTATTTTTACCATTTTGCTATTTTTTTCCTTTTTAAAATATTTTTTTTGTTCTTTTTTTGTTATTTTCATTATTATTAGTATTTTTTTGGGGCATTTTTCGTATTTTTTTTATTTTTTCTTATTTGTAATATTTTTTAATTAATTTCTATTTATTTTTCTATTAATTTCTATTTATTTTTCTATTAATTTCAATTTTCATAAAATTCATTTTTTTCCATTATCAAGCAATTCATAATTCAATTAAAAATACAAAACAAATAAACTTTAGAACGCAGCAAACTGCCATTTAATTACGCGCATATAATAATCATGTGTTTTGATTACAATGTATAAAATTAGAATAAAAACTGGCACAATAAAGTGGTAAATTAATTAAATAAATAATAGTTATGAAATAATTTTTTTTTAAAGTATCAATTTTTCTTTTTTCTTTCGATAAAAATTAAAGTTTTGTAAGAAAAAAAAATTCGCTGCGGACAGGATTCGAACCTGTGCGGGTATAACCCAATGGATTTCAAGTCCATCTCCTTAACCGCTCGGACACCGCAGCCTTAAAAAGTTTTTCGAAAATTAACAATAGAAGGCAATCGATTTTATTCATTGTTATTTATTACTTTTTTCATCAATTAAATATTAATTATATCGAACTGTTTAACTATTTTTCGAAAAATAATATTTTAAAACATTTTAAAAGAATACTCGAATGGAATAATCGACATAATCTGTCCTCTCGTGAAGTTAGTGTTGATTTATTCAAATTTTTTATTTTTTATTATTTTTATTACTCTACTTTTTGTTTTTTATTATTCTCTGAATTATTTATTTTTGTATTTAAATCATTGAATTCTGATAAGAATTGATTTAAAATAGAATTTTAGTTACAACTTTAGAAAATAATTAGAAGTGTTAAAATAGGATTCTTTTGAAAAAAATTAAATTTTAAAAAAATATTTAAATATAAAAAATTATTAATTTGTTAGCTTCTTTAAAAATTAAAAGTTTTAAATTATATTATTCAAAAATTCTAAAAAATAATTGAATTTTGGAAGACTTGCAGTTCAAATTTTCATAAAAAGTGTTCCAGTGGTTTCATAATAAATATTTAAATATTTATTTTACAAAAATGATTGAAATTTGAAAGATTTAATTTGGAAATTCTGAAAAAATTAGATTTTTGACAAATAGTAATTAAAATTTTTTGAAGATACTTGAATTCCAGAAAATAATTTTAAAAAATTGAAACAATTGAAAATTTTGTCAAATTTCATTTAAATAAATTTAATATTTTAATGAATTTTATTTGTTTAGTTTTAAAAATTATTTTGAAATATAATCGTATTTTTGAAAAATTCTAATTAAAAATTTGGAAAATAATTGAATTTTTGTTTAGTTTTAAAAATTATTTTTAAATATAATTGTGTTTTTGAAGAATTCTAATTGAAAATTTGTAAAATAATTGAATTTAAAAAAAATTTAGGATAAACTTATTACCAGGATAGTTCCAGTGATATTCAAGTACCAATGGAAAGTTGAATTTTTTCTTAATTGTAAACTATATATTTGAATAAAATATTTTTTAAATTTAAATTAAATTAAATTTTTATTTGTATAAAAATTTTGTTTATTTATAATTAAATTAAAAAGTTTAATTTTTATTATAATATATAAAATATAATTATCGTAGTTTTCATGTTGTTAAAAATCGTGCATATAATCAATTTATCATTTGTGAAAAAACTTTATATTAATAGATAATAAATAATCGATTTTAATATTAGATATCGAAATCTTATCAGAAATATAGTCACCGTATAAATTGAATAAAAAGTTAAAGGCCAGATAAATGTATATAGATATAATAGAAAATATTAATTCCAAAAAAGACGTAAAATATTTAACCTTATATGCTTTTAAAGCAAACGAGCCGAATTTTTAATTTTATGAATATTTTATTAATTATTGATATTATATTATTAAATATGTATACCTAATTAATTTTAAATTATTTCATCGAATTGAAAATTTTTTATTAATTGTTAAAAATGATTATGTAATTATCAATAATTAAAAGAATGTTTAATTAAAATTTAATTATAATTGATTTATTTGTTTTTTTTATATATTATCTTATTTTTTTATTATATACAATTATATATTATACTATAATAATTACTTTTTTTTTAATTACATATTTTTTATAATTGTATAAAATTATATAATTTATATTAATTAGGTACTTTAAAAAAGTGCGAAAAAAAATTTACATTTTGTCGTTAACATAACCCTGACATAATATTGTCATCAAAGCAACTTGTTTTCTTTTATTGGGAAATAAAGAAAATGAGGGTGAAGAAGCCCAGTAGGTGACACCGTTTCAGAAAAAAATAAAAATGATTAAAAGTTTATTTGGAACGCAATAAAGAAAAAAGAAACCTTTCATTATAATTTAAATGGATTAATTGATTTTCCAGAAAAATGTATTTTTTTGTGTTCAGTAAATAATTTTTCCCAAAACGAATATTTTATAGTTCTTAATTTTTAGTTTAAGAAAATGTCTTGCTTGCATTTAAAAATTTTTTAAATTATAGTTTCTAATTTGTAGTTTAAAAATTTATATTTTTTAATTTACAGTCTATGTATAATAAATTTATATACATATGTAAACATGAATCGTTTAGAATAATTTTTGAAACGCTTTGAAGAAGGTGTCTGCGATAAGCATAAAGTTTTAATCGTTTTAAGTTTTTTTGCAATTCATAAATATAAAAATACAAAAAGAGATTCAATACAGCAAAGATGATTATTAAATTATCTTTTTCGACTATTTTTAAAAAATGCAACTTTTTTCGACTAATTTTCAAAAATTGCGACTTTTTCGACTTATTATTCCCAAAATATTGCAAAATTCCAAATACTGCATCAAAATACCACATTTTTAGTAAAAAAAAAATGCAACATATTTCGATTTTTATTTTGTGAAAAATAAATATATAGACAAACCTATCAAAAATTATTTTTGAATCATTTTTCTAATTAAATTAACGAAATATACAATTAAAAAGATTTTGAATATTTGAAATTTTGTAAAATTTAATTGAAAATAATTGATCTTTTTCCAGTAATTTATTAAAATATTTGAAAATCAACTTTTCAAGAATTTTAATTGCAAATTTTGCGAAAATAATAATTGAATTCTCAAAAATTTTAGTGGAAAATCTTCAAGTGTGAAATTAAAAATAAAAATTAATGAAAATTATCTTCTAAAAATTATATGAACAAATTTTCGAAAAAAGTTATTCTTAGAATTTTTTTCATTCTGATTCTATAAAATTCAATTATTTTCAATATTTTTAATTACAAATTTCCGACAATTCAAATACATACAAAAAAACATAATAAAATTGCAACTGTTTCGAATTTTCTTCCAAATATTGCAACAAAATATCACATTTTTAATATAAAATGCAAATTATTTCAATTTTTATACTGCGAAAAATAACTAGACAAATGTTTCAAAAATTATTTTTTGATTTATTTTTCTAATTAAATTTTTGAAATTTACAATTAAAAAAATTTTTGAATAATTGAAATTTTGTAAATTTTCATTGAAAATAATTGATTTTTTTTTGGTATTTTATTAAAATTTTTAAAAATCAACTTTTGGAGAATTTTAATTGCAAATTTTGAAAATTATGAAATTCTCAAAAATTGTAATAAAAAATCTGTAAATGTAAATTTAAATATGAAATTTAATGGAAATTAGCTTCTAAAAATTGCATGAAAATATTTTTGAAAATAGCAATTCTTAGAATTTTTTTATTTTTTAAAATTCAATTATTTTCAATATTTACAATGACTTATTTCTGAAAATTCGAATACAGACAAAAAATAATAACATTTACTATTTTTGGAATTATTTTTCACATTTTGAAGAAAACAATCATGTTCAACATTTTTTATTAGAATTCTCAAAAAAATTAGTTTTTCTTTAAATTATACAAAAACTCTTTTAAGAAATTCAATTGTTTTCAAAAAAAATTCATTAGAATATTTTCAATGAACTAATTCTTAGAATTATTTTATCATAATAATTTTTTCCTTATTCAAAAAATGCGACTTTTTCGACTTTTCTTCCAAATATTGCAACAAAATACCTTATTTTTTTATACAAATTTTTTATACAAAAAATGCAGCGTATTTCGATTTTTATTGTGTGCGAAATAACTGTAGACAAATCTTTCAAAAATTATTTTGAATGAAAAATTTTAATTCTTCAAAAAATTAATTACATTTTTTTTAAATTATACAAAAATTATTTTAAAAAATTCAATTATTTGTGAAAAAATACATTAGAATATTTTTACGAAACTAATTCTTAGTATTGTTTTACATTATTTTTTTAAGATTTATTTATCTCTTAACAAAGTAAAATGAAATTTCTTAAAATTTGCTTTTTTCGACTTATTAAAATTACGGAGAAATCATTTTCATATTTTTAATTAAATTTCTTCAAAAATTTGAGTATTTTTTAATATTTTTTTAAAAACTCAATTATTTTTAACAGATTTTACCAAATTTCAATTGTTTGGAATTTTTTTTAATTGTATACAATTGAAAAACTATTATCCTTCAAAAATTATTTAAAAATATTTTAAAAAAATTAATTTTATGAATTTCTTTATTTTTGGAAAATATTATTTCTTAATTACTTTTACAGTAACAGTTACAATTATTGTAGAAAATTGAATTTTTGTATTTAAATAATAGAATTCTTGAGAAACTTTCGGTAAATTATAATATTAAAAATATAATTGATTCAAAGATGAAGTTTAGTTAAAAATTGTAGAAAATAATTGAATGTTGAAAGGGAAATAGTTGTAATTTTTAGAAAGTATTAAATTTCAGAAGGTTTTAAATTGAAATGTTTTTGATTTTATTTCCCTTGGAAAAACAAATAAGAAACATTTAAATATTTATTTAAGAAAATTATTCAAGTGTTGAATAACTGAATTTAACAATTCAGGGAAATACAAAATAAATTTTTTGTAACAATCCCAAAGTAAATAAACGACTTTTTCGACTTTTTATAACCACAAAAATAATAATTATCATTTGAATATGACGCTAATAATTAATTTAATTTTCAGATTACTGGAATAATTTTACTGTCGATAGGATCAGTGATTCTTGGTGTGTACAATAATTATGAACACTTCCTGGACAATAAATTCCTCTCTGTGCCAACACTTTTAGTAACAATAGGAGCAATTATATTTTTTATTGCCTTTTTCGGTTGTTGTGGTGCGGTCAGAGAAAATTATTGCATGGTTGTCACGGTAATTATAATTATACAATAATAATACATTTTTATATTATTAGTCATCGTTTTGCATAAATTTAAAAAAAGAATAATATTCAAATATTTATCAATTTGTTTATCAGCCCTAGGAACTTATTTTTTCTAAAAAAAAAATAAACAAATTTGTTAATAAAAAAAGTAGAAAAAATAGAAAAAAGCATTTTTTTTTTTATTTTTTTTTATTTATGTTAAATGAATATTTTAACATAAAGTGTTCTTATAGAATAAAAATTCTATTCAGATAATTAAGACAAATTCAAAAAAAAATTTCTAACATCAAGAAGTAAATTTCAAATAATATTTTAGAACTTAAAAAAAATCTTAGTAACGAAAATCTTTTGTTAATATTTTATTTTTAATATTTAATTTTATAGGAAATATCGAATACTGTTAATATTAATTTTTTCGAATATAAAAAAGCATTAAAACATTTTATTAGAAAATAATTTTGAAAAAACGGTTTTAAACAAAAAGGAATTATTAAGATTGATATTAAAAATGTATTTTCGTTTTTTTCAGTTTGCGACGTTAATGATTGTAGTTTTCATATTGGAATTATCGGGAGGAATTTCTGGTTATGTTTTAAGAAATCGTGCGATTGAAGTGATCGAAGGAAAAATGAATCACACGATGGAAGACTATGGTAAAAATAAAGAGATGTCAATTGTTTGGGACAATCTTCAAACAAATGTAAATTATATTTTTCTTTCTTAAAATTATTTTTTGTTATTACTACTATTATTATTATTTTTATAATTTTATTAGCAAATGTTGCACGCAAAACGCAATATTTAATTTATTATTATGATGCAAATAGCAAAATGATCTATTTTCAAATATCAAATTCAATTTTTTGAATAATTTCTTATTCAAAACATAAAAAGAATTCACTTAACTAATTACCTAATGAATTATTATTATTTATTATTTTCAAAAAAATAAAAAAAATTCTTCGCTAAAATTCAATTTTTTTATTTGCACAATTTCAAAGTAATTCAATTATTTTCAATACAATTTTAATAAAATTTCTCAAATGAATGAAATTAATTTAAAAAATGTCAATAAAATTCGTCTCAAGAATTTAATTATTTTTATAAATAATAAAATTATGCGTAAAAATTCAATTATTTTCATAAATAATAAAATTGTATATATATAGAAATTCAATTATTTTAATACAATTTTAATTAAAATTTCTCGATTTTTAATAAAATTATTCGCAGAATTTAAATTATTTTCAATACAATCTAAAGTAAATTCCTCCAAAGAATTTAAATTCTTATTGGAACTATTAAATTATTTTCAAAAATTTTAATAAAATTCTTTGGAAAATTCTATTATTTTTATAAATAATAAAATTCTTCATAAAAATTACATTATTTTCGATACAATTTTAATAAATTTCTTGATACAAATTCAATTACTTATAAAAGTTTAATGAAGTTTCTTGAAGAAAATCAATTTAACAGTTATTTAATTATTAAATTTTCAAAAGTTTCGATATAATAATTTTCATAAATAAATTCATTTGTTTTCAATACAATTTTAATAAAATTTCTCGAAAAAATTTAATTATTTTTAAAAAATTTTAATTTCATTATTCGCAAAATGTCAATTATTTAAAAATTATTCAATATAATTTCTTTGAACAAATTCAATTATTTTTAAACAAAATTCTTTTCATGAAATCAAGTATTTTTAGTACCATTTCAATTAAATTTCTTGAAAGAATTAAATTATCTTTAAAAATTAAAAAATTTTAAGAATAAATTACTTTCAAAATTTCAATTATTTGAAAAAATTTTAATAAAAATTTCTTCGAAGAAATTTAATTATTTACAAAAATTTAAATAAAATTATTGAGCGTACAATTATTTGTATATATAATATTCTTTGCAAGATTTAAATTATTTTCAATAGATTTTTAAAAAATTTCTTGATAGAATTCAATTATTTAAAAAATTTTTTTAAAATTTTAAGAAAATTCCTTCGAAGAATTCAATTATTTTTAAAAATTTTGATAACATTTTTTATAGAAGAATTCAATAAATTTCAGTACAATTTTAACTAAATTCTTTGAAAGAATTTAATTATTTTCTAAAGTTTTTAATAAAATTCTCTGAAGTTATGAAAGTTAAAAAAATTAGGATAGAATATTTTTATTAAAAGTGTCACCTTTTCTTTCATTAGTAGAATTATTCTCTAAATCTAAATTAATAAAAATTTGAATTAATTAGAAAAAAGTGCAACATGAAATAGGTAAAAATTAATTTTTTGAATTCCACATAGAACAAGACATTAAAATGAAAAAGTCCAGTTTTTTGTTTGTAAAATAAACAACTTTATCCGAATTTTTCATTAATAAAAATTTGTTTTTCTACAATAATTTAACAGGAACAATTTTTATATTTTAGAATTTTTAATTAAATTAACTGAAATTCTATTATAATAATTTCAGTTATAAACAATTTCAAGTAATTAATTTGAATTTTTCGGAAATATGTAATTGAAAATAAAGGAAATAATTGAATTTTAAAAAATTATTTTGAATTAAAAAATTTTTTTTCATTGTAGAAATTTTTGAGAATTTAATTATTTTACAAAATCCGCAATTAAATTTGTTCAAAATCTGATTTTTTTTTCTATTTTTCTTAAATATTTCAAAAAATTAATTATTTTCAATAAAATTTTACAAAATATCAATTTGAATTTTTTTTTTGAATTTTATATTTAAAACATTTAATGATTTCGAAAAAAAATTATTCAAAAATAAATTTTAAAGATTTGACTGCAGTCGAATTATTATTAATATTATTAAATTAGTAGGTATTATTATTATTATTATTATTATTATTATTATTATTATTATTATTATTATTATTATTATTATTCTTATTATTATTATTACTTTTATTGTTAATATTATTTTTATTGTTATTTTTATTTTTGTTTTGTTACTTAGTTTTCGAAGCAGTTCAATAAATATTAAAAAAATAATTACATTATACAGAATAAAATTTGAAAGAAAAGAATTTAGAAATTAAAGTAGATCACGAATTGCGTATCGAACTGCAAGGTTGTAACCGATAACTCAATACTCTTAAGGTGTAACTTCGAAAATATTGACGAGTACATTAAGTCTCTTATTATATCATTTAAACTAAATATAATGTTCTAATGGAATTACAATTTCCCACTTTGAGAATTTTTTTTCCTTTTATAATAATACTATATAATATTGATTATTACTTGTAATTAATTACTTATAAAAAAACCTTTTACATTAAGATTTTTAATTGACTAAAAAATTAATTGTTTTGTATTAAAAATTTTCCTTTTGATACAAAAAATAATTGTGAATATATTTTTGTTTTTACAGTTCGATTGTTGTGGAATGGAAAACTATAAGGATTGGGAAAAAATTTGGAAAAATAATTCGCTGCCAAGAACGTGTTGTGATTATGAACCGGGAGCAAGTGGAAATATAAGTTGTCTCGCATCAAATTCAATAAATTCAAAAGTCAAGGAAACCGGTTGTCTTAATGCATTTGGAAATTTTGTAAAAGGACATGCCGTACAACTTGGTGGGGCGGGAATTGGAATTGCATTTGTACAGGTTTGAATTTATTTTTAATTTTAAATTTAGGAAAATTTTTTTTTCGATCTTCATTTATTCTTATAAATTATATTACCTATTTATTTATTTATACTTTTTGTCTGATTTTACAGATACTGGGAATTTGGTTTTCCATAATATTAGCAAAGTCAATTAGAAGTAGTTACGAGACTGTATAGAAGAAGAATTAAAGGAGAAAGAGGAGCTGAGTAAAGGAGAAATATTCCATATGCCATATAAAATCTCTTCCATAAATTTTAGAAACTTCGACAACATCAGTGATAATAAACTTCATTTAAAAAAAAAACATAAGTTTGTTGTCGAACAATTTTTTTTCATTTGACAAGTAAAATTATTAAGTTTTTTCTTCCAATAATTTTATTGATAAAATATTGTTACCTCTTCGGAGTAAGAATGGAGGTGTCTTGTTTTGATCTTAAGATCAAACAAGTTTTATTCAGTCAAGATAGGACAATTTTCTTTTCTTTATTAAAAAAAAGATAGTACTTATTTCTTTCTTAAAATATAATTCCTCATTATTTTCCATTTTCATTTCAAGGGAATTCACTAAAATTAAAAATAATTATTTATTGTCAGACTGTAAAATTTATTTGCTTATATAATGTTTATATACAAATAAATATTTTTAAAATAAAAATAAATGAAATTACAAGAAATAAAAATTTGTACCTAAAAATAAATTCACTTGTTGTCTTAATTTTTCCTTGATGGACTTTTTTTCACTTAAGAACTTGGATCGATTTTAAGACGCAAAAAAAGTTTGAATCCATGTAAAGAATTTTTTACGAAAATGATTCAAAAATTGAATTGAATTTATTAAAATAAATATTTACAATTTAAATATATAGTTGAATTTTTACATAAATATTGAAATTTTCAAAAGTATTTAATTTATAACCTTCTGAAATTTAATTATTTCTAAAAAAAATGTCTACTACTTAACTTCTTTAAGATTCAATTATTTACTAAAATTCTTTTTTGAATCAATTATTTTTTTTATAATTTTGGAAATTCAACATTTCAATTTGTTAAGTATTGAAATAATTCTAAAAAATTACTAATGAATAATTTCACAAAAAAATTGGATTAAAAATTTGTAAAGAACTAAATTGTTTCCAATTTTTTATTGAAATTATTCAAAACTAAAATCTTTAAAAATTTGAATTTTAAATCTTTTGAAATTTAATTGCTTCTAAAAATTTCAACCACAACTCTTTTAATAATAAATTATTTTCTATAATTTTTAGCTCATAATTTTCTAATTCAATTATTTTTGATAATTTAAATTTTCATTAGATTTTTTGAGCATTCAATTATAAATAAAGAAAAAAAAATTAATTAAAGTTCAAATAAAATACAATATAAAATTCAATTGATTTTAATTAAAATTACGAAATTTCGAATATTCAAAAATTCTTCAATTAATTAATTGAAATTTCAATTTTGATTAATTTGAAATAATAAAAAAAATTTGTTTTAAAATATGTTATTAGAAATAAAAAAAAAATAATTGAAAATAATTGAATTTTAAAAATATAGAACGGATTCTAAGAACCAATTTTTTCAATATTATTTTACTATTATTTTTAGAAGCTAATTTTCATTCATTTTCATTTTTAAATTTACACTTTAAGATTTTCCACTAAAATTTTTGAGAATTCAATTATTTTCAAAATTTGCAATTAAAACTCTTCAAAAGTTGATTTTCAAAAAGTTTAATAAAATCCCTGAAAAAAATCAATTATTCTCTATTAAATTTTACAAAATTTCAATTATTTAAACATTTTTTAAAATATATTTTAAAAATTTAATTATCTTAAAAAAATTATTCAAAAAAAATTTGTAAAAGATTTGTCTACAGTTATTTTTTACACCATAAAAATCGAAATAAGTTGCATTCTTGTACTAAAAATTTGGTATATTTTTACAATATTTGGAAGAAAAGTCAAAAAAAAGTCACAATTAATAAATAATTTAAATTAAAATTTACTTCGTTCGAAGATAATTTTGAATCTTAAAAATTATAATAAAAAAATTCTAAGAATTACTTTTTTCAAAAATTTTTTCATGCAATTTTTAGAAGCTAATTTTCATTAATTTTCATTTTTTAATTTACACTTGAAGATTTTTGATTACAATTTTTGAGAATTTAATTATTTTCAAAATTTGCAATTAAAATTCTTCAAAAGTTGATTTTCAAAAAGTTTAATAAAATAGTTACTTGAAAAAAATCAATTATTTTTAATGAAATTTTACAAAATTTCAATTATTCAAAAATTTGTTTAATTGTATATTTCGAAAATTTAATTAGAAAAATAAATCAAAAAATAATTTTTGAAAGATTTGTCCAGATATTTTTCGCAGTATAAATATCGAAATAAGTTACATTTTATATTAAAAATGTGATATTTTGTTGCAATATTTGAAAGAAAATTCGAAAAAGTTGCAATTTTTGAAAATAAGTCAAATAAAGTCGCATTTTTTTTAAATAATTGAAAAAAGTCGAAAAAGTCATAATATCCAAGGACTGTATGTAAAAATGCAAAAAAAAATTCGAAATCGAAAAAAAATGTTTGAAAAATATTGAAAACTTAATAATTGAATTCTCGAAGAACTTTCTAAAAATGATTCAAAACTAGCAAATAGTAAAATTTTTTGCAAAAATTCAATTATTTTTAAACAAAATTTTAATAAAGTTTCACGAACGAATACAATTATTTTCTAAAATTTTAATTAAGTTTTACGAACGAATACAATTATTTTGTAAAATTTTAATAAATCTTTCTAAACAATTCAATTATTTTTTTTTTAAATAGTAAAATCTTTGCAAAAATTCAATCATTTTCAAAAAAATTTCACGAAAGAATTTGATTTTTTTTCTTAATTCGTTATAAAAAATCTTTACAAAAATTCAATTATTGTCAAAAAAATTTCACGAAAGAATTCAAGTTTTTTCTTAATTCGTTATAAAATATTTTGAAAAAATTCAATTATTTTCTAAAATTTTAATAAATCCTTCGAAACAATTCAATTTTATTTAATAAATAGTAAAATTCTTTGCAAAAATTCAATTATATTCAAAACAATTTCACGAAAGAGTACAATTTTTTTCTTAATTTGTTATAAAAAAATTACAATAAAATTCAATTATTTTCTAAAATTATAATAAATTCTTCGAAAACATTCAATCATATTTATAAATAGTAAAATTCTTTCAAGAAATTTAATTATTTTTAATGTTTAATAATATTTTCCAAAAAATTTCACGAGAGAATTCAATTTTTTTGTTAATTTGTTATAAAATCTTTGCAAAAATTCAATTATTTTTAATACAATTTTAATAACATTTCATGAAAGAATTCAATATTTAAAAAAAAATTTTAATAATATTTTTCGAAAAAATTTAATTATTTTCTACAATTTCAATAAATCCGTCTAAACAATTAAATTATACTTATAAATAGTAAAATTCTTTTTAAAAATTCAATTATATTCAAAACAATTTCACGAAAGAATTAAATTATTTTCTTAATTTGTTATTTTCTCAAATGAAATTATTTTCTAAAATTTAATAAAATTAAATGTTGAATTTCAATTATTATCAAACATGATTATTTTAAAAACTTGAAAGAAATTGTTCATAAAATTCAATTATTTTAAAAATTGTAAATTAAAATTATTAAAAAAACTCCATTATTTTAAAAATTGTAAATTAAAATTATTAAAAAAACTCCATTATTTAAAAAAAAATTCAAAGAAATTCTTCAAAAAGAATTTAATGAGAAATTTCAAAAACAAATTTTAAAATTCTTCGCTAGAATTCAATTATTTTCCTAAATAATAAAATTCTTTGCACCAATTCGATGATTTTCAATACATTAATTTTAAAATTGAAAATATTTAAAAAGAAAAATTATTAAAAAAGTTAAGAAACAAAAAAACAAACAACAACTAATTTCAAACTGTCAACAGATTACCGGAATACAACGATTATTAAAATAGAAGATAATTAATTTAGAGAATACATAATTTAAACTAAAAGTTTATTTTAATGATTATTGATTTGACTTTTGAGGACAGAAGTATATTTTCTGCACCAAAAGACTTGCAAAAAGAAGTTTACGACACTTAAGTGGAAAAAGTTTGACTTCAGTTATTTTTCACTCTCTGAAAATCTAAATTTTTTGGGTATGAAATGCAGTAGAATTTTAAAAAAAAATTCTTTTTAAAAAAGTGTTATTTTCTTGTAATTTGTGAAAGAAAAATTCGAAATAGTCGTTTTTCAAGTCAAAATAGTTGTTCGCCAGTCAAAAAAAGTCGCCTCTTTGAAAATAGATTGAAAAAAGTTGAAAAAAGTAGAAAAAATAGAAAAAAATAGAAATAGTGCGGAAAAAGTCGCAATATCCAAGGCCAGAATATAGAGAAACTTTACGTTCACTGTAACTTGTATTTTATATTTTCAGTTTTCATAAAAATCATGCGCATTACAAATCGACTTTTGTTGACTAATAGCGCATCAACGTAAGAAGGGGAATTGATGTGGTATAAAGTCGCGTCATCATTTTTCTATTATCAATAATGTTCTTTTTCCACAGAATAATACCTGCAAGAATATTTGTGCTGCTTTTTCGTTTCTTCATTATCGGTAGATAACACCTCTGATAAAAAAAAAGAGGTGCCGAAGTAGGGATAGACGGTGTTGGCGTAACGTTGCTCGCCATTATTTTCCATATAATCGAGCAAAGTATTGAGACATTGAATTTCATTTTAACGTTTTTTAACAACTGGTGTCGAAAAAAAAAATCAATTCTTTATTTTTATTTTCCTTTTGTTGTTTTTATTTCCAGGGGACGATGGCGGTCACACATCTCGACCTGGGCCTTCGCCTCATCAAATATCTCCTCTGTGCTGTTAATGCACTTTTTGTGGTCTGTAATTAACCAAGAAATATTTTTTCCTCTTTTCTTTCTATATATATTGCGCCTAGATTTTCCATTTAAATCATTGCTCATCATGTGTTTCAATTTCTCACGCCTCAACTCCTAGAAGAAGAAAAAATTTTTATAAACATTCATTATTTTGTTTATTTTCCTAATGTTAATTATCATAATTATAATTAAGTTTTGGACATTCGAATAAAGAAAATTTTTTTATTCAAAATTTAAATACTTTCACGATTGCAATTAAATTAATTAAAGGATTAAATAAAATTAAAACTTAAATTTCACACTCAGAAACTTTATAATTAATTTTTTTTAACAGTGACGCAATAAAAATTTAATTTGAAGGAGAAATAAACAAATTTTGTTCATTTGAATGTTCAGAACTTTACCATTTAATTATAAGAAGTAATAAAATAATTATAATTAGTAATAAATTAACAATTATAATTAGTTACATATTAATAATTACAATATTAGTCATCGATTAATAATTGCAATTAGTCACACTGAAAATTTTAATTAGTCATGCATTAAAAACTATGTACAATATGTTTTTGAAGAAAACATGAAATTAATTTTTATCTTTTCCTTTGGCGAAAGATTACAATTTTTTTACCTAATTCAATTAATACGAGTTTTTATATTTAATAATAGTGAATAATTTTTTAATTTAGAGAAATTAATTTAAAAAAAATAGTAAAATAAAATTTTTAAATTTACATTTTAGAGTAAAAATAGATTCGTAGCAGAGAGAAATCGGATAATTGTGACTATTAAAGTTTATATTTGATAGTGACGTTATATTTATCGCTGCCGACAATAAAGACAATAATAAGAAAAAAAACGTGGAGAATGCGCCATTTTTTTTCACTTTCAATTCCGATTGTTTTCCTCATTTTTTTATTGGCAGTAAAAAAAAAGCTATTATTTGTTTCCTTGTGCGTAAGAATTTACTCTCAAAATTGAATTCGATCGAAAACTTTTTTACTTCATTTTTATATTTTCTTTATTTACATTTTTTATTTGCTTACATTTTTTTTGGTTTGTTAATATAATTTTTTTATTTCAAACAAAAAAAGGTTTTTTTATTTTTACATTTTTTATTCTGAATAAAAAAGTGTTTTTCTTCAAAATAAAAAAAATGCTTTTTATTGCAAATAAATAAAGTTGTTTTTTATTTAAAAAAAAAAATTTTTTATTCAAAATAAAAAATATTTTAATTGTAAAAAACAAATAATTGTTTTCTATTTTGATTAATTATTGCAATTGGAAAAAAATAATTATTACAATTCCGAATAGTATAAATAATGCTAAAAAACACACCTCGTTGAAAGTGAGGTTTAAAAGAGTAATTTTAGCGAAGCATTGAATGTGTCAAATATAATCACGTGATATTAAATGACAATGGCTTAATCACTTATTTGTCACCCAAATGATAAGATTACGCTCATGAGTAAAGGAGCGCGTCTCAAGTTAAGAAAATTCTTTTCCTAAAATATAAAGCAGGAAGCTGATTTACTTTCTATATTGCAATGATTATTTAACAACAATATAAAAAAAACACTTTTCTTTTATCTATTGCTTATTTTTTTACGATAAGAATTTATTTTTGCTCAATTGTCAATTTTAAGTGAAAAAAAATATGTACAAAAATATATTTTTTAGTAAATTAAAAAAATGGAATTTAGAATCAATCAAAATAATAATAATAATAATAATAATAATAACAATAAATACATTATTTTGCTTTCACTTAGAACTATTTTTAACTATTTCGCAAAAAAAATAATAAATAAGGATAAATAGTAAATAATAATAATAATATTATTAATAATAATAATAATAATAATAATAATAATAACGATAATAAATATATTTGCATTTTGTTGAAACCATATTTTAAAATTATTCTGTAATAATATTCAAAATTAATAATTGGATTCATTCGAAGAATTTTATTAAATTTTTTAAAAATGTGTAATTCACTCGATAAATATAAATTGAATTAAAAAGATAGATTAAAAATTTCAATTATTTAAAAAATTTTTAATAAAATTTCTTCGAAGAAATTTACAAAAACTCCAATTCAAAGCAAAGAATTTTATTTTATATAAAACAATTGAATTTTTATAATAAATTTTGGAAAAAGATTGTTTGAATTTTTTAAAAGAATATTTATTATAAATTTTTTTAAATAATTAAAATTGGATTAAAAATAATTGAGTTCTTAAAAAGAAATATTGTTAAAATTGCTTTGGAAATAAGTGAAATCTCATACAATTTTTGTTAAAAATTTTCAAAATAATTAAATTCTATTGAAAAATCTATAATTGAATTTTTATAAAAAATAATTGAATACTTTCGAAGAATTGTATTGAAATTTTCAAAAACAATTGAATTAATTCGAGAAAGTTAGTTGAAATTGTATTCTTTCGAGGAATTTTTTTTTTAAATTCTATACTGAAAATAATTGAATTCTTGCGAAGAATTTTATTAAATTTTTTGAAATTAATTGAATTTATTAGAGAAATTTTATAAAAATTGAATTGAAATTAAAATTAAATTCCTACGAATAATTCAATTAGTATAAAAATAATTGAATTCTTGCATAGATTTTTTATTCAAATTTATTTAAATTAATAAATGAAATTCTCCAAGTAAATATATTAAAATATTAAAAATAATTGAATTCTTCTGATGAATACCATTGAAATTTTTAAAAAATAATTGAATTCTTTCCAAAAGTTAAAAAAAGATTGCGTTAGAAATAATAGAATTCTTCACAAGAATTTGATTATTTATGAAAATAATTGAATTTTTGCATAGAATTTTATTAAAATTATTGAAAAGAATTAAAAGTTCTCAAAGAATTTTATTAAAAAAACTTTTGAAAATAATTGAATTTATTCATGAAATTGAATTAAAATCTTAATGAAAATTATAGAAATTTTCAAAGAAACCTGTTAGAATTTTTTTAAATAAGTGAATTCTTTCAAGAAACTTTATTTCAATTTTTAAAAGTAATTGAATTTTTTGAAGAATACCATTGAAATTTTTAAAAAATAATTGAATTCTTTCCAAAAGTTAAAAAAAATGCGTTAAAAATAATAGAATTCTTGCTAAGATTTTTATTATTTAAAATAATAATTGAATTTTTGCATAGAATTTTATTAAAATTATTGAAAAAAATTAAAAATTTTCAAAGAATTTTATCAAAAACTTTTGAAAATAATTGAATTTATTTATGGAATTGAATGAATATCGTAATGAAAATTATAGAACTTTTCTAAGAATTCTATTACATTTTGTTTTAATAATTGAAATCTTTCAAGGAATTTTATCCTAATTTTTAAAAATAATTGAATTCTTTAGAAATATGTTATTAAAATTGTTTTGAATATAATTGAAATCTTGCGAAGAATTGTATTATATAAAAAAATTGAATGCTTAAGAATTTTTAAAAAAATTTTGTAAATGATTGAATTTATTTAAAAAATTTTTATTATAGAATTTTTTTAAATAGTTGAACTTTTGAAAATAATTGTATTAAAATTGTTTCATTTTTAAAGATAATTTAAATCTTTCGAGAAATTTAATTGAAATTGAACTAAAAATACTTTAATTCTTGAGAGGGAATTAATTAAAATTCTTGAAAATAATTTAAATCATTCTTAGATTTTATATTTACATTTTTAAAAATATTTAAAATTTTGCAAATTATATATTTTATTGAAATTTTTAAATATAAATTAATTCTGAAGGAAAATTTAATTGAAAATATATTAAAAATAATTGAATTTATGGGAAGAATTTAAAAACAATTGAATTTTTCAGAAGAATTTTATTCAAAATAATTGAAATTTTACGAATAATGACATTAAAATTGTTTAAAATAATTAAATTTTATCGAAGAATTCAATTAAAACTCTTTTCAAATAATTGAATTCTTTCAAGGAATTTTATTCCAATTTTTGAAAATAATTAAATTCTTTCGAAAAATTTTGTATAAAAATTGTACCTATTGAAAATAATTAAATTCCTCCGAAGGATTTTGTTACCTATTTATGAAAATAATTTAATTCTTGTGACAAATTTTATTAAAATTTTTGAAAATAATAAATAACAATAAATAAATAGCTAATTATCTAATAAGTGAATTTTTTCAAATTTTGAATTGAGAACCGCTTTTACGCTTATCATTTGATATAATAATAAATAATAGTAATAAATAATAATAATAATAAATAGTTAATCAAATTTAATTAAAAATTAATTAAAAAAGATGAATTAAATCGAAATTTTCCCAAACTAAAAATGAAATTTTGTTTTTCAGTTAACAGGTGCAATGATAGTATCAGTAGGAACAACAATTTATGCAGTTTACGACGATTTCTCACGTTTCCTAGACTCGAGTTATTTTTCACCAGCGACTTTATTAATTGTCGTTGGTTCTTTCGTTTTTGTAATAGCATTTTTTGGATGCTGTGGAGCAATAAAAGAAAGTACCTGCATGGTTCTAGTGGTAAGTTTTCGATTTAATTTCAAAATTATCTTAAGTGCGTGTGCGTGTGAATAAAAAATGAAAATTATCAGAGATTTTAATTTACAGTTTGCAGTTTCTCTCTCTTTGGTATTAATAATGGAACTTGGAGCAGCAATCGCCGCCTATGCACTTCAAGATGGAATTAAAGATCTTCTAGCTGAACGAATAAATTCCACAATGCACGAATACGAAAGCAATCAGGAAGCAAAAGCCTCCCTAGACTTTTTACAATCGAGAGTAATTCATTTTCTATGAACTTATATGCAATTTCTTTCAATTGTCTTTCAAATTATTTTTTCTATTTTAATTTGCAATTTTTCCAATTATTTTTCAATTTTAATTTTTTAATTTATTTTTTCCATTTTAAATTTCAATTTTTCCAATTATTTTTCGATTTTAATTTTTTCATTTATTTTTTCCATTTTTTAATTTTCAATTTTTCCAATTATTTTTCGATTTTAATTTTTTCAATTTTCTTTCATATAATGAATTTAATGAATTAAATACTTTTAAAAGTTAATTAAACATTCATTTAGAAAATTCAATAATTTTATTTATTGATTCAATTAAATAATAAAATTAGTGATTGAGATTTCAAAACAAAATTACAGTTAGGATGCTGCGGCTACGATGGCAGTTATGATTGGGACGGTATTTTGCACAACAATACAAATGGAATGAGAGTTCCAAATTCATGTCTAGTTGATGGAATGATTTATCAAAGTGGATGCATTATTCGTCTTTCGCTTATTGTCCAGCGTAGCGCATTTTTCTTAGGCGCTGGAGCAACTTTAATTGCACTGATTCAGGTGAATTTTCCTTCTGTTTTTCATTTTCCTAAAGTTTTTAAATTTTAACATTCAAATAAATGACATTTTTTTCTATCTATAAATATTTTTCAAATTTACTGAACAACAAAGAAAAAAGTTTCTATTTATAAATATTGTTCAAAAAATTACTAAACAAAAAAAATTAAAATTAATCGTTCACTTAGAGTTAAAAATTAATTTTTTTAATATAGAAAATAATGTTTTTTTATACAGACTTCGCATTCAATAATTTATTTTAAAAAAGTAGCAAAAAGTAGCTTTCATACTGAAAAAAGTAGTAAAAAAAGTAGCTATCGAAAAATTAAAACTTAACGACCAAAAAAACTCGTTTTAGAAACTTCACAAAACTGCCAAAAATTCCATTCTTTATTTTATTTTCCTGACTTTTTCCTAAATTTTATAAAAAATATTTACTTCTTTCTTATCCTGTTAATAAATTGAATTCCTGCAACGAATTTTATTATTCATAAAAGAATTTAAATATTTTTTTAAATAATTTAATTCTTGCGAAGAATTTTACAAAAATCTTTAAATAATTGATTTCTTTCGACTAATTTTATGCAAGTTCTAAATTAAATAATTGCATTCCTGAGAAATTATTATTATTCATGGAAAGAATTGAATTCTTACGAAGATTTTTACAAACAATTTTTTAATTCTGTTTGGAAATTTTATGAAAATAGTAGATATTGAAAATCATTGAAATGCGAAAAGTTTTTAAAAATAATTAAATTTTACAAAGTATTTTATTAAAGTTTTTGACAATAATTAAATGTCTGTGTGATATTTTATTAAATTTTTTTGAAAATAATTGAATTCCTAAAAAGCATTTTATTATTTATGAAAATAATGTAATTCTCGAGAACGATTTTATTAGAATTTTTTTAAATAATTGAATTTCAAAGAAAAAATTTAATATTTTTAAAAATAATTGAATTCTTGTGATGAATATTGTTATTTATAAAAATAATTGAATTTTGCAAAGAAGTTTATTAAAATGCCTCAAAATAATTGATAATCTTTCGCACAAATTTATTTATTAACATTTTTAAAAACAATTAAATTCCTTTGAAAAATTCTAATATTTTTGTAAATAATTGAATTCTTCCAAAGAATTAAAAACATTTTTTTAAAAAATTGATTTTTTCGAGGAATTGAAATTAAATTTTTAAGATTTAAATTATAATTTTAAGAATTAAATTTTTTGAGCAATTCCTTTAAAATTGTATTAAAAATAATTGAAATCCTGCAATCAATTTTATTATTTATGAAAATAATTGAATAGTTGCAAAGAATTTTATTAAAATTTTCAAAAATAATTGAGAAGAATTTTATTATTTATGAAAATAATTGAATTCTTGTGGAAAACTTTATTTGTAAAAATAATTGAATTTCTCGATTAATTAATTTATAATAGTATTAAAAATAATTGAAATTCTTCGATGAGTTTTATTATTTATGAAATTAATTGAATTCCCGCTTAGAATTTTATCAAAAATTTTTTTAAAAAATTGAATGTCCATAAAAAATATAATTAGTTTAAATAATTGAATTATTGTGAAGAATTATATAAATAAATTATTATTTATAAAAGTAATTGAATTTTGGATGAATTTTATCCATTTTTTTTAAATAATTGAATTCTTTTGCGAAATTTTATAAAAATACTTTTATTTTATGAAAATAATATTGAATCGTTTTAAAGAATTTGATTATAATTTTTAAGAATAGTTTTTTGATTTCAGTATTACTGAATTTAAAATAGTCTAAATTCTAAAAAAAGCAGAAATAGCAGCTTTTAGTGGCTAAAATATAAAAAAGTACCCAAATAGTAGCATAACGTAAAAAAAGTAGTAAATAGTAGGTTTTAGTAGATGAGTGCGAAGCCTGCTATTACAAAAAAATTACAAATTAAAAGAAGTAAAAAATATTGTCATTCAATTGAACGTTCGAAACTTTAGAATAATTGTTTTTCTTTTCACAAAAAGAAAATAAGAGTTTTAAATTTATAAAAATATTATACTGTAAAAATTTTCAATTCATAAAAAGAAAATTTCCTTTTCGCAAATATTTTCCAAAACTATAACACTTTAAATTTTCAGTTGGCCGGAATTATGTTCGCCTGCATGTTGGGTCGAGCGATACGAAGACAAAAAATCGAAAGAACGAGAAGACAATGGGAATTACGGGAAAATCTCGTCAATGGATATTTACCAATTGGAAAAACAGATCCAGTTGTCTCATTTCCAGTAGTTTATATGCAAAATTCCGATTTCCCTCTAAATTATACACCGAAAGCGTGAATTTTCTTTTCTACTTTATAAAAACAAAATTGAATTCTTAAATTTTAATCTCAGGATAATAAATTAATAATTATGTAAATTAATTTTCAAATAACTGCGTGAAAAGAAATTGTGTGACAAGAGTTGACATCAATAAGACAACTCGTTTAATTAACATTTGTTAATGTTATTTTTATATTTATACAAATGAAAAATAAAATTTATTACCAAAAATTTGTTGCCTGCTGGAAAATTTCCACAGACTCTGAATTGTGATCGCCATTGGGAAGATATGGAGTGGTAAATTCACGATAAGCAATACACACTCGACGTGAATTTATATCCTCACGAAGAACTGCATGTTCCCAAGCATATCTATATTAAAAATAATGTACAAAATAAATCATTTTCTCTATAACATTTAAATTCTATATTCTTTCTACTTTCTCAAGTTTAGCACACTTGTTAATCAATAAACAAAAAAAAATTCTTTTCTTATCCTAATAAAAACTTCAATTCTAAATTTTTGTAATATTCAATTATTAAATTAATATTTAAATACTAATTATTTATTTTTCGACAGAAAATAAAATTTTAAATAATTCTAATATAAAATCTTTTATAGAACTTATTTTTAATTTTTTTAAACAAATTAATTTCTGAAAATTACATTATGTAATTCTTTCGAAATTCAAATATTTACTAAAATATTTAAATAAAATTATTCAAAAGTTTAAATTTTTAGAAAAAAATAGATTAGTATTTTAAAAATAAATATTTAAATATATTATTGTAGTTTTACAGCAATTGAAATTTTTAAAATGAATTAAATTTATAAAATTTTATGAAATATAATTATTAAATTTTTATTTTAATTTAATCATGTTTTTAAATGTATTTATTTATATTGTCTTGTATGAATATATGTTGTGAATGTATTTTAATATTAATTTAATTATTAATCGTTTTCAATATTATAATTCTGCCTTTTTTCACACAAAAAGGATGCAAAATCGACAATCTGGTTCCTCGGATTTTTCTTCTCATTGTTTGAGATAATTTCCGGGAATTTCTCTTTTTCCTCAATTCACTAATATTCCAAAAAAGTATAAATCTAAGTTATAATAAAGGAGTGAGCCCTCAAACTGAAAAGAGTGTGAAACTAATTTTTTTTGGATCTTAATCCTTAAAATAACATCTAGCAATAGATAGAATTTTAAAGGAAGAGTGTAATAAAATTATTAAAAAGGACAAGAGTTGAGCCCTGCAATAAAATGCAATAATTCGACTGGTCCTAGGGTCGGAGGCACACCCCCCCCCCCCCCCGCAAGCACATGTTTGCTAATTATTGCACCTTCCTGGTATAAATATTATACCTGGTCCACGTGGACTACGACCAGAAATTTTCAAGTTTTTTTGGGCGTTACTCTATTTATTTCTTAGCAAATAAAAATCCTTAATCTTAAAGTCAGTTCTTTTTCGGTCACTGTTCAGAGATTTGGAAATTAAAATTAAAATTTTGGAATACAATTATATTCCTTCGTGAAATTTTATTAAAAATTTATTTAAAAATTATGGAATTTTTGCAAAAAAATTTACTATCTATATTTATAAAAATAATTAAATTCTTACGACGAATGTTATTATTTATGAAAATAATCCAATTCTTAGGAAGAATTTTATTAAATTTTTTGAAAATAATAAACAAGAATAATTAATTAGTGAATTAGTTAATAATTGAATTTTTTTAAAACTTTTAATCTGAAAATTGTATTAAAAATAATTTAATTTTTAGAAAGAATTTTACTATTTATAAAAATAATTGAATTTTTTTAAAGGATTTATTAAAATTTTAGAAAATACATAATTGAAATTTATTGAAATTTTTTATAACGATTTAAAAAAATATTCAATTCTTCTGTGAAATCTTTTGAAAATAATTGAATTTTTGCTAAGATTTATAACGAATTAAGAAAAAAATTGAATTTTTTCATGAAATTGTTTTGAATATAATTGAATTTTTGCAAAGATTTTACTATTTATAAATACAATTGAATTGTTTCGAAGGATTTATTAAAAGTTTAGAAAATAATTGTATTTGTTCGTGAAATTTTATTAAAATTTTATTTTAAAATAATTGAATTTTTGCAAAAAATTTTACTAGGGTAGAGTGGGGTAAAAAAGCCATGGTGTAAAAAAGCCATTTGAGTTTTATTTAAAAACTATTAAGCCGATTTATCAGCTGTTTAGAATATAAATACTATTAGGTAATACGCAACTTTTGAATCTAGTTTGAATGTTGTACCTAGATTAATATTGTTTTTATTGTAATTTTAATTTTTTGTTGCTTTTTTGAAAACATTTTGGTGAACTTTTCAAACATATTACAGTCTGATTAAGTGAACGAATAATAAAAATAAATGTTTGTACATAAGGAGAAAAGTATACCGAAAACGTATACAATGTTAATTTTTGGAAATTGAACTGAATTAACAATTTATTTTTGCTTTTTTAATAACTGGTCTTGGGTGTAAAAAAGCCAGGGCAAAAAATCCATTGAATATTTTGTGAAATTCACTTGTTTTCTATTTAAACTAACCTTCTTATTTTACAAAATTTCTCGTGTTTATTTAATAAAATAAATTAAACACGACGAAAAAGTAGTTCAAAGTGCATTTAAAAAATAAACAATGAATAAACGGTTGCAACGAAATATGTTATCTGTGGTGAAACTTAAAGAGAACTTCTAAAAAAGGTACGAAAAATTGGCAGTGCAAATCGAAAACAGGTAAACTTAATATAATTTTCAATTTTGCTTGCTAAAAACTCTTTCATAATTATTAAAATATTTTTCAAATAAGACTATTTGTCATATAAATAAAGGAAAACTATAAAAATACCTAAATTGATAACATGTTTTGCTAAAATCGTAGGGTGGCTTTTTCACCCCACCAGGTGGTGCAAAAAAGCCACTTGCAGTGCTTTCGTAAAACTCTTATAACTTAGTCCTTTCATGAGATAAAAAATATTTCCGTCAAGAATTTTCAAGCTTAATAACTAAACTTTCAATAACAATTGGAAATTTGAGAAAAAAATTTTAAATACAGATTTTACAGCATCAAAAGTAAAAATGTGGCTTTTTTACCCCACTCTACCCTATTTATAAAAATAATTGAATTCTTACGAAGAATGTTATTATTTATGAAAATAATTGAATTCTTGCGAAGAATTTTATTAAAATTTTTGAAATTAATAAACAAGAATAATTAATTAGTAAATTAGTTAATAATTTAAATTTTTTTTTAATTTGAATCAGAAATTATTCAAAATTCATATATTTGAAAATAAAAATTTTTGTAATTTGCATATTAATGATAAATTCAGTATCACGTTCGAAAAATTGTTCTCTAAATAATTTATTTTTTATAAATTTGACAAAATTCTTTTAGAATTCAATTATTCAAAGAAATAATTTTAAAAAAATAAATAAAAGCTCGGACCCATAAACCCTCATTAAGGAAAACTCTTAATGACTTTTTCTATAAAAATATAAATTTTTTTTAATTTTTCATTAACATATTCAAATTTCTTACTTTCTCACGATTTCATACATATGTTGTTTACCAAAAAAATGTTAAAATTTAAAAATTGATTATTTCTTTTTCAGATATAAAAATGTAAGTGAAGAAAAGGTCAGGTCAGCTTTTATAGATCAGAACCTTTATTAAGGTACTACTACCGAATTTATAAACCTAAAAACAAACTCACCTCGCTTCTCCATAAAGAACAATTAATGATCTCTCAGGCATTGGAATTCTCACAACAATATTTTCACCCGATGGTTTTGTTACACATTTCTCGTTTCCAATAAGTTTTTGTGAACTGACACAATCCAAATTATAACGACTGTTTTCCAAATACGGTGTCATTGTTAAAACAGAATCGGCAACAATATTGACGGTAACAATTCTCTCGCCCCAAATCCAACAATCGTCAATGTGAGGATCAATAGAAGCTCCTCGGTCAGGATTATATTCAAGACTACATTGTTCAATTGTTTGGAAATCATTTAAAAGTTCAACATTTGAAAATTTCTCCTGAACAAAATGCGTTGTCTTGGGAAAACCTGTGAATTCTCCTAAACGTAATCGTCGCTTTTTGAAATTACACTTTGGACCGAAATTCTAAAACACAACATTAACAATAAATTATCGAAAAATAATTATTAAAATAAAAAATATAATTACAGAACTTAGATCAATTTTCCTTAAAAAATTTACTGTGAAATTTTTATTATTTATGAAAATAATTAAATGATTGCGTAGAATTTTACCAAAAATTTTTTAAAATAATTGAATTCTTTTGGAGAATTTTATAAAAATAGTAGATATTGAAAATAATTGAATTTCGGAAAAGAATTTTATTATTTATAATAGGTCGTTTTTTTCAAAAATATTTTAATATAACTTTTAGAAGCTAATTTTCATTTTTAAATTTACACTTGAAAGATTATTTTTGAGAATTCAATTATTTTTTAAATTTGCAATTAAAATTATTTAAAAATTGATTTGCAAATATTGTAATAAAATACTTGAAAATAATCAATCATTTTCAATTAAATTTTACAAATATTTCATTTATTCCAAAATTTTTCAAATATATTTTAAAAATTTTTTATCTGAAAAAAATTATTCAAAAGCAAATTTTGAAAGATTTGATTTTTCACGACATAAAAATCGAAAAAAAAGTTGCATTTTTTACTAAAAATGTGTTAATTTGCTGCAATAGTTGGAAGAAAAGTCGAAAAAAAGTCTCAATTATTGAAAATAAATCGAAAAAATCATAATATCCAAGGCCTTTAATTACAAAAGTAAAAAAAATAATAATAAAATGTTTTCATTTTCTTTAAAATAAAATACTTGTCATTTTACCTGCTTTCTGCGACCACTTTGAGAAATATCCCAAGGTAATGAATCTAGATCTTTCATTAGAGAATTTGCTTCCTCTATACTTAGGAAGTCCATCTGTAAAACAAAATAGTCTTTAAATATATAAAAATATAAATAGAAATTTACAATTTAATAAAAATTATCAAAATTGCCAATCCAGGCCTCGGATTGTTCCAATAAGTTCAAATTTGTACTATTTCAGAACTATTTAGATTCACATTAATTAATTACTTACTCACAGAATAAGTTTTTCAGAAATATTTTTGCAAGAGAAATTTAGAAATTATATTATTTTCCATAATTTTGTGTTAATTGGATTTTATTTAATTTGAAAGGTGACATTTTTGTTAAAAAAAAATGTTATCTTATTTTTTTAACTTTCATAATTTTGAATCTAAAATAATTTAATTCTTGAATTTAGAAATTTATTAAAATTTTTGAAAATAATTGAATTGTTTCGAAGAATTTTATGGGAAACTTTTGAAAATAATTCAAATTCTTTCAAAGAATTTAATTAAAATATTGTACTGAATTTTATTGAATTCTTCTGAAGAATTTTATCAAAATTTTTAAAAATAATTGAATTCTTTCAAGAAATTTTCTTAAGATTTAAAAAAAAATCAATTCTATCAAGAAATTTTATTAAAATTATATTGAAAATAATTGAATTTTTTTTCGAAGAATTTTTATTAGAATTTTTTTAAATAATTCAAATTTTGAAAATAAATTTATTAAAATTTTTTAATTTTCAAAGATAATTTGATTCTTTCAAGAAATTTAATTAAAATTGTACAATCTTTGGGGGAAAATTATGTTAAAATTCTTGAAAATAATTGAAATCTTTCATAGAATTTCTATTTACATTTTTAAAAATAGGAATTGAATTCCTGCGAAGAATTGAAAAACAATTCTATTCTCGAGAAGAATTTTATTCCAAATAATTGAATTCATTCACAGAAATTATATTAAATATTTTTTGAAATAATTGAAATTTTGTGAATAATAAAATTAATTTTTTTTAAATAATTAAATTTTTTCGAGAAATTTTATTATAATTTAAATTGAAAATTGCTTTTATTACTTATGAAAATAATTCAATTCCTTCGAAGAATTTGATTATACTTATGAAAATAATCAAATTCTTTTGAGAAATTTAATTAAAAAGTTATTGAAAATAATTAAATTATCACGAACAAATTTTATCAAAGTTTTTTAAAATAATTGAATTATTATAGTAATTTTATTAAAATTTTACTTAAAAAATTTAATTCCTGCGAAGCACTTTATTAATTATGAAAATGAAAATAACAAAATAAATAAAAGTTAAGTTTTGTAAAAGTAGAAATTTAAATTCTTTCGAGGAATTCAATTAAAACTGTACTGCAAATAAAAGAATTCTAAAGAATTTTATCAAAAATTTTTAAAATATAATATTTAAATAATTAATAATTAAATTTGTTCAACAAAGCTTCATTAAAATTTTCATAAAAAATGGAATTCCTATGAAGAGATTTATTGAAATTGCATCGAAAATAATTAAATTCCTCGGATGAATTTTATTATTTATATAATTTAAATTCTTTCAAGGAATTTAGTTAAAATTGTAGTATTGGAAATAATTCAATTTTTATAAAGAATTGTGTCAAATTTTTTGAAAATAGTTGAATTCATTGCACAAATTTTATAAAAAATTTCAAGAATAATAAATTTCTTTCGAGGAATAGTTTAATTTAAAATAAATTGTCAAAAAAGTTTCATTTTTGAAAATAAATCGAATGAGTTGCAACTTTTGAAAATAAAGTCGAAAAAAGTCTAAAAATTCATACTATCCGAGACCTGACAATCTTTTTCCTTATTTTTTAAAAATAAAAACCTGTATATAAACTCCTGGATAATCGATGGGATTTCCAGAATGATTTGGATGAACTTTGAATTCATTGTAATTCCAACCGGGCCAAGCTTTATTACAATACGGACAATAAACGTAGGTTTCTTGTTTCTAAAATCAAAAATTTTAATTTAACACTTTATATACAAGAAATAAATGTTGAATAAATTAATATAAAGTAATTAAATTCATATTTAAATTGATGTAAATTCTATCATTCTATTATGAGTTCAATTTGAAATTTTATAGGTTAGAATAACAAATATCTACCTGAAGATCACTAGCAAGATTTAATTTCGAAATTGAATATTCTTTTTCACATATTAAACAGGTTCTTATTCCTTTGCAACCACACGATCGAACAGTTTCCATTTTTTTGTGTAGAAAATTTTCAAATTAAAAACTTTTTTGAAAACAAACAAAAACACATGTTAATGACCGCAATGACCATAGAACACAATCACAGGGTTGGGAAGTGAAATTCTACTAACTCTCGATGGGGTGCTACCCTCTGTACCAAAAACATAAGTTCGAATGCTCATTATGCCGAATTTACAATTTAGAAATGACCAGATACGCGAATCCTCAATAACCTAAATTGTATATTGAATGAAATTCAAAAGTAGGGAATAATCATTTGATATATTCTGCATATGGAGAATATTATTTTAAACTAATTCTTTTTTTCCACAATTTGAAATTATTGCAATTTTTATTTTTGGAATTTCCACTTTACCTACATTTTAATAGATCGAAACGTAAAATATCAGAATTGACATTTAATTGAAATATGATGGAGAATAAATATATATTCACTGAATAAAAAGATTAAATAATTATTAAATGTTTGAATTTAATAAAAACATATTGTTCAAAAGTTACAGTGCGAATTGTACAGAATATATATTAATAAGAAATATAATTTGGCAGAATGTCGATTCGATCGATTTTATATTTGCAAGAAATTCAATTTGACAGAATATCAATTTATAAGAAACACGTTTTCGTAGAACTTTAACTTGTCAGAATTGTAATTTTGTAGAATATTAATATTGGCAAATCTAATTTTGGTAGAAATCTGCTTTATCAGAATGATCACATGTTCGAATCCTCAAAAGTTAGAATTCCATTTTTACCGAAAATGGATTCCACATAAATATTTGGCGCAAATTTTAAAATCGACCAATCAGAAATCAGAATTTTAAAATTTGCGCGAAATATTTATGTGGAATCCATTTTCGGTAAAAATGGAATTCTAACTTTTGAGGATTCGAACATGTGATCATTCTGATAAAGCAGATTTCTACCAAAATTAGATTTGCCAATATTAATATTCTACAAAATTACAATTCTGACAAGTTAAAGTTCTACGAAAACGTGTTTCTTATAAATTGATATTCTGTCAAATTGAATTTCTTGCAAATATAAAATCGATCGAATCGACATTCTGCCAAATTATATTTCTTATTAATATATATTCTGTACAATTCGCACTGTAACTTTTGAACAATATGTTTTTATTAAATTCAAACATTTAATAATTATTTAATCTTTTTATTCAGTGAATATATATTTATTCTCCATCATATTTCAATTAAATGTCAATTCTGATATTTTACGTTTCGATCTATTAAAATGTAGGTAAAGTGGAAATTCCAAAAATAAAAATTGCAATAATTTCAAATTGTGGAAAAAAAGAATTAGTTTAAAATAATATTCTCCATATGCAGAATATATCAAATGATTATTCCCTACTTTTGAATTTCATTCAATATACAATTTAGGTTATTGAGGATTCGCGTATCTGGTCATTTCTAAATTGTAAATTCGGCATAATGAGCATTCGAACTTATGTTTTTGGTACAGAGAGTAGCACCCCCTCTCGATGACGAGACTTTAAAGATTCGTTCACAACATCGACAATAAAAAAATAAATCTTTTTGAAGAATTTCTTTGAATTTTTTTTAAATAATGCAGTTTCTTTAATAATTATAATTAAAAATTTCGAAAATAATTGAATTTTGTCGAAATATTTTTTAACGAATTAAGAAAAAAATTGAATTCTTCCATGAAATTTTATTAAAATTGTATTAATAATTGAATTTTTGGAAAAAATTTTACTATTTATAAATATAATTAAATTTTAGAAAATAATTGAATTTTTCGAAATATTTTATAACGAATTAAAAGAAAAAAATTGAATTCTTTCGTGAAATTTTTTTGAAAAAAATTGAATTAAGAAAAAAATTGAATTTTTGCAAAGATTTTAATATTTTAAAAAATAGTTGAATTTATTGTTTCGAAGGATTTATTAAAATTTTAGAAAATAATTGTATTTGTTCGTGAAATTTAATAAAAGTTTTGTTTAAAAATAATTTAATTTTTGCAAAATTTTTTGCAAAATAAATTACTATTTGTAAAAATAATTGAATTCTTTTGAATAATTTTATTAAAATTTTTGAAATAAATAAACAAAAATAATTAATTAGTAAATTGGTTAATGATTTAATTTTTTTAAACTTTGAATCTGAAATTTGTATTAAAAATAATTGAATTTTTTCGAAATATTTTATAATCAATTAAATGAAAGAAATTGAACTTTTTCGTGAAATTTTTTTAAAAATTATGGAATTTTTGCAAAGATTTTATAACGAATTATAAAAAAAATTGAATTCTATCGTGAAATTTTTTTGAAAATAATTGAATTTTTGCAAAGATTTTACCATTTAAGAAAATAATTGAATTGGTTTGAAGAATATTTATTAATAGTTTAGAAAATAATTATATTCCTTCGTGAAATTTTATTAAAATTCTTACAAAGAATTCTTACAAAGAATTTTATTAAAATTTTTGAAATTAAGAAACATAAACAAGAATAATTAATTAGTAAATTAGTTAATAATTGAATTTTTTAAAAGTTTGAGTATGAAAATATTCAAAAATTCATATTTGAAAATAAAAAATTTTCTAATTTTCATAATAATAATAAATTGAATATCACGTTCCGAGCGTTATATTTGCTACTATTTAATAAATAATAAATATTAATTTATCATTTTAAAAATATCAAATAATATTATTTTTTAAACATTTATAATTTTCAATTTATAAAAAACTTACAATTAAAAAAATTGGTAAACTGAAATTATTTAATTACATCGATAAATTCTTAATATTATAATAAACTTCTAATTTTTTGTTTGAATTAGAAATGTTAAAGAAAAATACTCGATTTTTATGAAATATAAAATTTATTCAAAACATTAAATTGAATGTATAAAAATACTCTCCAAGATTTTACAAAAATATCTTAAAAATTACATAATTATAAGTTACGATAATTGATTGGAAAAAATTTCATTTTTTAAAAAATATTTATAGAAAAATAAATAGTTACCATTTAATTATGAATTGCACTGTTAATATTGTATTATTAATGTAAATATAACTAATTATGTTTTTAATGTAATATTATTATGTTTTTAATGTAATATTATTATATTAAAAATTAAGTTATTATATTTTTAATACAATTATTATTTTAGAAATATAATTATTATATTTTTAATATAATTATTTTTCTAGAAATATAATTATTATATTAAAATATTAATTTCCGGTAATATTTTTGACTAATTATTTTTGACGCAAAAATAATAATAGAAGGTTTCGAAAGTATCGTGGTAACATTTGTTGTGTCAATATTGACAATTATTTCTCCTTTTTTGCCTACATGATAAATCACGAAATTTGCACATTAGAATTTTTATATACTATCAAAATAAAATATACATTATAAATTGCATATTATCAATCACATTACTTTGATATTTGGTTGTTTTCTATAGCTGCGTTTTACATTCGTAAACAATTCTTCCAATGCTTGATCACAATCAGTAATGAAATTTTGAACAGCCATTTGGCACTCATTAATTAATTTAATTTTTTTATGTTGATACTGAGCAAGAAAATCTTTTTTTTTCTCATGGAGAAATTCGTCGTCCGAGACCATACGATACCATCGGGAAAATGTTTTATTTTCATTACTTGTCTTTGAAATTTCTTTCACAGGAACTTGAATTCTTTCTAAAGGTATTCGGACTTCTTTTAAAATACAGGAACTTGGAGTCGTTTCGTTAACAGTTATACTTTCTTCATCAGTCTCCGGTGGTTCTGTTTTAATAATCACATTCTCTATGTCATTTGGCGGTTCAACTTCTTCTTTTATTGAAATTTTACGCTTTCTTGAAATATTGTTAATTGGTAAATTATCATTCACTACTTCAATATCTGAAACTTCACTCCAATCTGAATCGGAATTATTTTCAAATTCTTTGTTTGGTTTTAGACGTTTGAAAACTGCCTGCAAGAAAAAAAAAGGTTTAAATTTTTTGAATTTACATAAAATTTTTTTCATAAAAAAAAAAAAAAAAAAAAAAAAAAAAAAAATATCGTTCGTAACTTGTGCGAGCGGTTGCTAATTAATATTTTTTTGTAGAAAATTCTCAATTTTCATAAGGAAATAATGTGCATCAATTATATTTCTTAATTTCATTTGTTTTAATAAAATTTAAAGTTTTCTAAAAATAAAGGAAAAAATGTTTATAAATTATATTTGTCAACTAGAAAATTTAATTGAAAATGAAACTGAAAATTTTTCAATTTTTAGAAAAGAAAGAAAAAATTTTATTGAAAAAAATGTTCTTTTAAATTTATTTACGAATATCTTTAATTGTAAAATTATTCGAAAACAATAATTTCTTTTTTAAATATTTAATTATAATTATTTTTCCGTATGAATTGAAATTCTTCAAAACATTCAAATTCAAACCTTTTTGAAATTAATCAACTTTAAAATCAACTTTATTTTATATTATTATAAGAATATTGTTACTGTAACTTCTTCAAAATTATTTTTATATTCTATTATTATCTAAAATTTTAACTGAAATTCATTTTCAAATCAATTTTTATTAGAAAATTCTACGAGAATTCAATTATTTAAATACAAAAGTAAATTATTTATTCAATAATTGAATGTTTCTTAAAATTTAATTCTTATAAAGAATTTTATTAACAAATTGAATTCTTTTGGCGAATTTTAATAAAGTTTTTTTAGAATGGATACATTTTTCAAAGAATTTGATTAAAATTATATTAAAAATAATTGAAATTCAACAACGCTCTAATACTTTTAATATTCAATTATTATTTAAAATTTTTAAATAAAAATTTATTTTAAAATCAAGTTTTAATAGAAAATTCTACGAGAATTCAATTATTTAAATACAAAAATAAATAATTTATTGAATAATTGAATGTTTCTTAAAATTAAGAATTTTATTATTTATGAAAATAATGGAATTTCAGTAAAATTTTTATTATTTATGAAAAAAATTAAATGTTTGCGTACAACTTTATTAAAATTGTTTTTAAATAATCGAATTCTTTTAGGTATTTTTATTAAAATAGTAGATATTGAAAATCATTGAAACGAGGAAAATTTTTGAAAATAATTGAATTTTGAAGAATTTTTTAATTTATAAAGATAATAATTGGTATTTTATCGAGATATTTTTGTAAATTTTGAACATAATTGAATTTTGTGATAAGAATTTTATTACTTTTGAAAATAATTGAATTTCTGCAATCATCTTCTTTAAAGTTCAAATTTTGTAGTGTTTTTAAACTAAAATTCTTCTTTAAATTAATTATTTTTAATAATTAATTAAATATGTATTGACAAATTTAACTAATTTTAGAAGCTTTTGAATTATTAAATTTTTTCAAAAATCTAAGTTCATTAAAATTTCTAAATACATAAATTCATTCAACATTGAAATTTTATAAAATTTCAAATTGAAACCGTTTGAAGTTCATTTATTTATGAAAATTGTAAGGGCAACTCTTTTAAAATTGAATTAATTTTGAAATATTTATGTAAAATTATTCATTAAATAATTTTTGTCAGAAATTAGAGAAATTGAAGATTTTGTATTAGAATGTGTATAATTTCTATTTTTTAATTGAAAAAAAATCTTTAATTTTTAATGAAAACTTTGAATATTGTTAAAAAATTTGGATAATTTCATATTTTTTAATTATAATTTTTTTTTTAAATTTATTAATGAAAATAACAATATTCTAGGCACAAAATTTTTTCTAATAATGCTGAGAGGAAAAGGAAAACTTACCTCTTTAATTTCGTGATGATTTTCATGAACGTAATTTCTGCAAGTATTCACATGAGTCGCTCTTAAAGATTCAACTCCCAAATACTCCAACATGGCATTTTTTACAAGATTGCGTCTTATTTTTCCCTTCAGAAAATCTAAATCTTTGGTCTTGACTACATAATTCGTAATCGCATCGAATGTAATCCTATTTCTTTTGGCAATATTCTGGCGACTTATAGTAATAATTGCATCATCAGGTTCTGAAAATTTTAGAAATTTGTCAACTTGTAGAATTTTTGAACGTTCAAATAAATTAAATTTTCTCCTGCTTAAATATTTAAAAAAATTACTATTGAAGAAAAATAATTAAAATTAAACATTTATTTAGATTAGAATTAATTGAACCAGATTGAACGTTTTAATATACAACATAATTTTTTTCTTTGCAAAAAAAATACAAATAACAATACTAATTCAATTAGAATAATTCTTCAAAAATACGATTATAATTCAAAATAATTTTCTAAAGTAAACAAATAAAATTCTTTAAAATATTTAATTTTATTTAAATGAAATATTTGACAGAATTTTCAATTGTTTCAATTTTTTAAAATTATTTTCGGAAATACAATTTATTTTAAAAAATTGTAATTACATTTTTTCAAGAAACAATTTAACGGAATTTCTAAATTAAATTATTCAAAACTTCAATACTTTTCGTTAAAAATAATCAAAAACTTATTCTTAATTATTTTTCGACATAAATTAAAATTTCATATATAATTTCAATAAAAAACCTTTTGAAGTTGAATTATTTCAAAAAATTCTTGCAAATTTCAATTATTTTTTTTAGAATTTTTGAATTAAATTATTCAAAACTTTAAGAATTTAAAAAAAAATAATATAATTAATCATTTTTTTAAATAAAAATTTAAATATTTTTATATTTTTGCTTTCTTTAAATTTTCAAAGAATTTATATTTAAACAATTTTTTTGAATTTAATTAATTCCTAAAATTTCTGTTACAACTCTTTAAATATTCAATTATTTTCTAAAATTTAAACTGAAATTTTTTTAAAATCAATTCCTATCAGAATTCAACTGCGAGAATTCAATTATTTAAATATAAGAATAAATAATTTATAGAAAAATTATTTTTAAAAATTGCAACTTTATTTCTTTATTGAGTTTTTGAAACTAGGGTTTAAATTTCTTACTCCACTTATTTTATTATTTACAAATTAACTGTCAAACTTTTTACATATATGTATAACAATTCGAACTATAAAACAAAAAATTGGAGTAAAACGACACTAACTTCAGGTGAGGACAGATTATTATTATAATATAATAATAGTAATTATAAAAAAAATTTTATGAATCAAGTTAAAAGAATTAATTAAAAAAATAGATGATTACATACCAGTACTTAGTGCATCTTCAGAAATTTTTTTCCAATTCTTTTGTATTATACTATTCAGCTTTTCAACACTAGACGATTTGTAAAGGATATTAATTTCCTTATATGCCTCTTCGACAATCGAAAGTGGCAAAAAGCCTTTCTTCTCTCTCAATTCTTTGGCTAATTCCTTTTTTCTGAGATAATTCAGGAGTTTCAAATATTTTTCCTTGCTTTTTCTCACGTCCATAATCTAAAAATGGAAAATAAAAATAATTACTTTACCTTCTGTATTTTTTCAATTCTTTTTTTTATTTCACTACACATTAACCTTGATTTACACTATAGATTGGAATGTCTTTTAACATACCGGTGTTTATATTTATTGAAGAAAAACTGTTTCTTTTCTCGTTATGTATTTTGATTTAACGTTTGAAAATTTCAAAATAACTGAGAGAACAAAACTTAATTTCTTTAACGGAGTAGATAGTTGAACTATTACTTTTATTTTCTTAACAAAACTTCTTCTTAGGAACACTGTACAATTGTAAACACAACAGTCAATGACAAAGAAAAAACTGATATCACGAATTCGCGGAATTCACTGCCGGAGAGACTAGAAAATACTGAGTGTGCGAGAATCAGTGTTCTTAAAGTGATAAAGAAATACTGCAGCTTTGTTTTCAAAATGTAACGTTATACGTGTAAATACGAAATTTACGTTTAATTTCTCGCAGAATAATAAATAAAAGGTGAACGTGAGAATAAATGTAATTTTCGCGACGGCTCGGAGATAACTGAGGAAATTTTTTGCATCTGAAGCTCAGAAGTCCCAAAAAGGGATGTTAAGTGGTTGAAATAGTGGGGATGAACAATCCCTTCTCTTTTTCAATAAATAGAAAGAAAGAGCATTTTCTCTCAATGGGTTTTTCCTTTTTTTTTTACAGCAAGAGGCCATATAACCAACAAAAAAAAAGTGTAAGGACTGAGTCCCACGACCCTTATTTTATGGCCGAAGCATCAAGAGTTGTAAATATTCTGAGTTCAAAATACATTTTTTTTATACAGTAAAATAACTATTTATATTTTTTGTGCACCACGTGACATTTTTGTTCATTCTGAAAATTATACGTTTTAATTTTTTCTCAAAAAAAAACATGTGTTACGATCCGAAGAAAAATACCTATGGCTATGTCCACAATAGGCTCTTTTTATGATCTTATGTTGAACATAACATAATAGATTTCTTTTCATTTTTATGTTAATTTTGAACGTAAACCAATATAAAAACAGCCTATTGTGAATACAGCTTCAAGTTATTCAATCCTGTCTCCTGTGTCAACAAAAATTGCAACTAAAAATGAAAATTCGAAATCAATGCACACCAATATCGAGGCGAAAATTAATAGAAATTTTACCATAATTGTACTGTATAAATAAAGAACACAATGAATTATTCACAAATCTGTTGTACTTTTACAAAGTTTCCTTCAGCTTTTCAGGAACAAACAGGAACCATCATCCTTCCTTCGAGATACACACACGAAACTTGCTTTTCACTCTTAACTTCCCTTCACAAGCACTTGTAAATCTCTTAATTTATAAATCCAGATTTCTAGCACCTTGTTATTAAATCTTTTTCGATGGCACCGCACTTTTTATTCACTTATTACACCATTTAGAACAACAAACTATCCGCGAGCGCAAAAGATTTTTGGCGCGTTAAAAAACAGTCACCAGGGTGCACTCACTCACAATCGATACATGAATAATCGATTTATTAATCGATTAAAGGCCGGTTCACACAACTGAATGTTTAAGGCGGTGTTTACATGCTTGCGTTCGCTACCTAAAGGTGCTTCTACAATAACTTATTGCAAATACATTTCTTTTGTGTCTATTTTTAAGTAAATTCTGTCCGTGACGTCACGTCACGGACCAACAACATTGTGATAGATGTGCCACGATTTTTTAAAATGCCGTCAAACCGGAAAGAAAACATTAAAAAAATTTAAAATGCATTTGAGTGTACCCATCTCTGGTGACGAGGTATTTTACCGTAAAAACCGCGTAAGTTAATCTAGGTTATCTTACGCGTCCAACCCTGACCCATCTTCATTTTCGTTCGCGTTGCCTCAACCCTGAACAATATGAAGCGCATGCGCCAATTCACTCTCCTTCCTTTCTAGAACCATTTGCAAATCATTTGTGTGAGTGCCTTTGTGCTCTAAAATACGTGTGCTAAATACTCCTACATCTTTAGTTTTACATTAGTATGTAAACCCATGCAAATGTTAAATTAGGCATACATATACGTATATATCTGCATATCTGTAAAATTTCGTGAAGGCTGTGACTCGGAAACTTCGTATATATTGAATCGTCCTTCTCTTAGTTCACGTTTTTATCTCCTTTCCTTTTTATGCCATCTAACTTCCATCATTCATCCAGCTTTACAGCTGATATGATAGAAGAGAGGATATTGGTTAATAATATTGCTCTTATGTCTACTGCGTCTGTTCCATTCTATTAAAGTGTCAAAACAGGCAGTGTATTTGTTTCGTGGAACAATATTTTTCTTTTTTTTTCCAAATTTTCTTAACATTTTTTTTGCAAAAGTGATTAACGTAAATTTCTCCTTTTTTGTTATTTGTTTATTCAAAATTTGGTTGGAAAATTATAAAAATTAGAGGTATGAGAGACTTGGAGTTTCGATAACAGTGTGATTTAAAAAAAGTATAGTTTTGTTTTTGAGAAATAAAGAAAGTGAATAGTTTTACGACAACGACAAAAAAAAGTGAATAACTGGATTTTATCCGAAAGGACTACGCGGGCATGGTATACCTGAGGGCTGCTTGGGGTATGGGAGAAGCTCAAACGCAGTGCCATAGCACTAATTCTTCACCAATTTCGTCAACTTTTCTTCACGATCATGACGAGGAAGTCGCTTTACATCCACTCAATAATCAGGTATATGCAATATTTATTCTTAAACACTGATTTTTTTCTTTCTTAATATACATACTTAGGTATACGACTCGAATGCTTCTTAAATGGGTCACGTCTTTCATCCATTGTTTCACGAATGTAGGTACAATCAAAGTAAGTAGAAAACTAAATCGCCGTCAAGCATTGCATTTTTTTTCTCATAACACAATGTTAGGTATTTTTTTTTTTTTTTATAAGAAATATGATAGGAAGTTCCTTTATTTATAATTTATCTGCTTTTACAAGTTCAATGAATTCTAAATAATTTCCTCTTAATTCTATACTTAGAGCTTTCAATCAAAATATAAATACAATGAAAATGTTTTTAAAAAAAATTCATCCGTTTATGACGTACAACTTTATTGATAGAAGAATCAAATTGTTTGTAATTCATGATAAAGCAGGTTTGTCAATTAATTCATGTTTCTTTTACATTATTCATTGTTTATATATATTTCTCGGCACGTGTCAATCATATTTCTTGTAAAAAGAAAAAAAATGAACTTTTTTTTTCTTCTTCATTTTTTATACACTCTCCTTTTGCGATGAGCATTTTATAATTATCGACAAATCGATTTGATTTCATTTGATATTTCTTAAGACTTATAACAATCATATTTCATAACAGGTCGGTGGTCATACTCGATTACTGCTTCTCAACCAAAATACGATTTGCAAGCCACTGAACTGCAGAGAATTAGACTTCTACAGAAACATTCCACAAGAGATACAAACATTTGTCCCAAAATTTAAAGGTAAGCTGATGTATTAATTTTTTTTATTAAGTTTCAATTTATTTAATTTTCTATATTTAAAAAATAACACTCGATAAATATTTTTTTTTACGATTAATATGTCGCGATTTTAGTAATTTTATCTCAAAAAAATGAAAAAAAAACATAAGGTTTTGTGTATTCTTAATTTTTATATTTTTCCAGAACTATTTTTCCTTCGACGCATTTTGTCATCCTTTTTTGTTTCTCATCTTCGTGTATATAAAAACAATAATAATTATTTATATTGTCGACAAAATATTTTTTGTAAATACATAGATTATGAACAGTGAGTTTTCAATGTTTAGCTTATCTCGGAAGGACGGGAGAGAGGAGAATTCTGTTGTATTTTTTTATAAAATATTTTTTTTTATTACGATAGATAAAATTAAAGTCACGTATTGAAATTGGATTTAATGGTGAAATATATTTGACTTTGTTTTTATTGTTTTTTTTTTAATTATTTGTCTTTTTTGCATTGTTTTTTTAATTTTTCTTTTATATTTATTTGTTTTTTATTTTGTTTATTTCCTTTTTTTCTTTCTTTGTACTTTTATTATTAATTTTCTGACACGTGGAACTTTTTTAAACGATGTTTCATATTTGTAATAATGTGAATTATTGTAGTTAAAATTTTGATGAGGGTGCATTATTTCGTAATCAAAATTCATCACAATTGACTGAATTAAAAAAAATAAATTCTTCTAAATTTATTTTTATTGAAATTTATAGTTTTCTTTCCAATTTCATTCTTTTTTCGACACGTGACTTTAATTATATAAACAGTTGATTCCAATTTATGGAAAACTATATTTAGTAATTAAAAAGAAAAATTGTTAAACATAACAATTCTGGTGAACAGGCCTCGGATATTTATGACTTTTTGGACTTTTTCCAACTATTTGGAATAAAGGCGACTTTTTCGACTTAATTTTTCAAAAAACTGGACTTTTTTTTGGGGTAAAATTTGACCTTTTTTCCAAACTTTTTTACAAAATATAACTTTTTGCGTATAAAAATGAAAATTTAAAAATTTTAAATTTTGTTATTTATAGAGAGAAAATTTTAATTTTAGTCAAATCTTGCAACAATTATTTTTGAATAATTTTTTACAGATAACTCAATTTTTGAAATGTGTTTATTTATCTAAAGTTTAATGAACGAAAAATATCTTGAAAAAATAGAGGAAATTATAATTAACTAAAGAACAATGGCTGAACAAAAGAAAAGAAATTATTTATTACTATAAATATATAATTATAAAGATTTTAAATAATTGAAATTTTGTAAAATTTTATTAAAACAAATTAATTTTTGTCAAGTATTTTATTACAATTTTTTGAACAATTCTAACCAAATGAATACATTAAAAAAAGTTTTATTTTAATTGCAAATTTATTGAAAATAATTGAATTCAATTTTAATGAAGAAAACTAAGAAAAATCTTCAAATGATAATTTGAAAATGAAAATTAAGGAAAATCAACTACAGAAAATTGTATTAAAATATTTTTTTTATAAAATAAATTCTTATTCTTGTAATTTACTTATTTTTGTGATATTTTCAACATTTTTCGTTACATATTTTTAGTAATTCAAGTTCTTAAAATAATTTTATTTTTATAAAAAAACATGATAAGTTTTAGAATTCAGTGAAAGGTCAGAGAAATAAAAAATTGAATTTTTTTCACAACATTGAATAAAATGAAAAATTTTTTTTTGTATCTTTATTCAACTTGAGCGATTTTTTTTTGGATCTTAAAGTCACTCCGAGGCCTGTGTAAAGGGTGTATTTTTTATTAGATAAAAATACGAGAAAAAAAACAAAAAGTAGAGAAGAATATTTTTTATCGGATAAAAAAAAGAGAAAAACGAAAAAGTAGAAAAAATTATTTTTTTATCAGATAAGAAAAAGAGAAATAACTAAAAGTAGAGAAAACAATTTTTTGTCAGATAAAAAGAAAGAGAAAGAACAAAAAGTAGAGGAAAGTATTTTTTGTTGGATACAAAAAAAATGAGAAAAGTAGACTTTCAGAGGACTTTTGTTTGTCCGTATTAATTGTTCCAGGTCTCGGATATTATGACTTTTTCGACTATTTGTCTATTTTCGAAAAATACGACTTTTTTTTAACTAATTTTCGAAAAAAATACCACATTTTTTTTAGTATCAAATGCAACTTTTTTCGATTTTTATAGTGCGAAAAATAACTAGAGACAAATTTTTCAAAAATTGTTTTTTAATAATTTTTCTAATTAAATTTTCGAAATACAATAAAATTAATAATATTTTGAATAATTGAAATATTTGTAAAATTTAATTGAATATAATTGATTATTTTTCTAGTTACATTCTCATCAAAAATGAGAAAGTCTTGTTTTTTTATTAAAATTTGTACAAAATCATCTTTTGAAGAATTTTATCTGCAAATTTTGAAAATAAATGAATTCTCAAAAATTTTAATGAAAAACTTTATTTAAAAATAAAAATTCAAGAAAATTAGCTTTCAAAAATTGTATTGAAATGGTTTTGAAAAAAGTAATATTCTTAACATTTTTTTATTATAATTTTTTAAAATTCAATTATTTTCAATATTTTCAATTTGGAGAAAACAATCATGTTTAAAATTTTTTATTAGATTTCTTTAAAAAATATATTAGTTTTTTTTTAATTATCCAAATATTCTTTTAAGAAATTTAATTATTTTCGAAAAAATAGATTTTTAAAAAATTAATTCTTAGAATTGTTTTATCATAATTTCTTAAGATTCAATTGTCTTCGAACAAAGTAAATTAAAACTTTTTAAAATTTACTTTAGACTTATTAAAATTTCGGAGAAATCATGTTCATATTTATAATTAAAAGTCTTCAGAAATTTGATTATTTTTTTTATATTTTTCAAAATTTCAATTGTTTGGAAATTGTTGAATTGTGTATTAATTGAAAAACTATTATATTTAAAAAATTGGGTGATTTAAATATATATTTTTGAAATATTAATTTTAAGAATTCCATTATTCCAATTTTTTGAAAATATTATAATATTTATAATAATAATATTATAATATTATTTAAATATTATAACACTTTCAAAAAATTAGAAAAAATAAATTCTTAAAATTAATTTTTCAAAACTATTTTAAAATAATTTTTGTAATTAATAACAATTTGTAGAGTTTCAGTTACAATTATTATAAAAAAGGTGAATTATTGTATTTAAATAATTCAATTCTTGAAGAACTTTGGGAAAATTATTCAAAATAATTGATTTAGAGATGAAGTTTAGATGAAATTTGTAGAAAAGAATTGAAAGTTGGAAGGGTTACAGTTGAAATTTTGAAAAATTGTTAAATTTCAGAAGTTTTAATTTGAAATTTTTTAAATTCTATTTCCCTTAAAAAAACAAATAAGTTTTTAAATATTAATTTAAGAAAATTATTCAACTTTTTTAATAATTGAATTTAGAAAGAAGTGAAAGGGGAAAATCAGAGAAATACAAAATAAATTTTTTGTGACAATTAAATACGCGACTTTTTCGACTTTTTTTTCTATTTTTAATCGACTAAAGCGACTTTTTTTATGCCTTAAAGTCGATCCGAGGCCTGTTTTTCGAATGTAGTCTTGTGCTTTAAGTGTATATTTCATTTTTTTAAATCGATTTGTACATGGAACGAAAGAGAAAGAAGTTAAAATCTTTTTTTTTTTCTGTAACTTTGCCATCCCCATAGTGTATAAAAGCGATTAGGGTCAAGTTTATTTTTTTGTTATTTTATTTTTATTTTCCATTATTTATAAATGCAGATTATATGTGATTTAGTGTAAATGTTGAATGTCGACAGTGAATACATACGTAAGTCTTAAATTCCCAATTTCCTACTTTCATATGTTATTCAATCTAAGGGTATGTTGTAATTTTATTGACGTCATGTTATTTGAGTGAGGCTTCTCGCTTCCTTGTTTCAAAAACTGAAAGTAATCAAATCCATCGGGTCTAACTAAATTCAATCACTGTTACAATTATCACCAATTCTTTATTTTCCCCCTTTTTTTTCTTTTGAAGAATTTTTATTTTCGTCTATTCTCTCATAAACGAAGAATTTTATTTTTCTCTTATGAATTGATTATTGAAAAATAAAAAAATCTTTTTACAATTTCTTTACACTTCTTGTTTTCAAATTTAAATTGTAATAAAAATTTTACAATCAAAATAAAATCACTGTTACAATTATCACTAATTCTTTATTTTTTTCTTTAATAATTTTTATTTTCAATTTTTTTCTTCTGAATTGATTTTTGAAAAATAAAAATAGATTTTTTTCTATTTCTGTACACTTCTTGTTTTATAATTTAAATTGTGATAAAAATTTTACAATCAAAATTCAATCAGTGTTAAAATTATAACTAATTCTTTATTTATGTTTTGATAATTTTTATTTTCAATTTTTTTCTTCTGAATTAATTTTTGAAAAATAAAAATAAATTTTTTACTATTTGTGTAGAGTTTTTGATTCTTCGATAAATACGATTCATTTTTTAAAAATCAATTCATAAGAGAAAAATTGAAAACAAATTTTTTCGTTTATGAGAGAAATAGACGAAAATAAAAATTATTCAAAAAAAAAAAAAAAATGAAAGTAAAGAATTTGGTTTGTAATGAAAGTTTTACAATCAAAATTAGTTATAATTAAAATTCAATCGCCATATTGTTACAAAATCAAAACTTATTTTATTTATTTATTTATTCGTTAACTAATTTATTCGTTAATTAATTTATTTGTTAATTGTTAACAATGTTAAAAAAGAAATTTTTAATGAAAGAAATGGAGAAAATTGTTGTCTTGGAAAATGTTCATCTCCGGAGAAAAATTGTAAAGGTTTCATCAATTTTATGAGATTTATAACTGAAAATAATTGAGTAATTTTATTACTGAATTATTTTTGTTTGTTTATTTATTTATTTATTTATTCACTGGGTTTTATTTATTGTAGTTAAATTGTATGGATTTGATAATTTTTTAATGCGGAATGAACGATTAAATGTATCCTGTTGTGTATAGAAACAAGGAGTTCAAAAATATTTTGTGATCGAATAGTTTGAGAATTTAGTTGTTGTAATAGTCTCTCAAAATCTTCCCAAGAGATAAAAACATGTTTTTTCAATGCCTAATTTAATCAATAGTCGTTTAATATTCATCTTAAAAAAATGAATTTTTTTTTTTTTTGGTTATTTACTTCAAACTGAAATTTTTTAATTTTTATTTAATCAAATAGTAGAAAGTAAAGAAGGAACATGTTTTCTCACATATCGTACAATTTCCCCCAACTTTTGCGAATCGATACTTTCATTTATTAACAAATTAAAATTCAATCGACAATAAAATTATCTTTAGTAAATGAGAAAAAAAGTTTTTTTTAATGAAAGGAAGAAAATTAAAGAAAAATAAAAGAGAAAATTTAAAAAAAATAAAAGAAAGAAAATTTTGAAAAATGAAAGAAAGAAAAACCGAGAGAAATGGAGAAAATTTTCATTTCCGGCAAAAAAGAAATCTATATGAGATTAATAACAATAATTACGAAATTAGAAAATTATGTAAATTTACTTTTAAAAAGAATGATTAAGTCATTGTTATTTTTAAATAATTATTATATAGAAAAGGAAAAAAAACATTTTGATGAAAACTTGTAGATAAGATTAAAAGTTTATTGTATTTTCCGCAGAAACTGTGTGTAATATACGTCGTTTTTATTTTTTTTCGAGATATAAAGAAAAAGAAAATTGTATAACGTCAAAATCTTGGAATAATCTACGTGGTTTTTTTGTTATCAGGGATTTTCAGTGAAAGGAAAATTCAATCAGATAAATTTGGAGGTCATGTTACAACCTTTAGATTTTTTTTTTTGATTCGAAACAATGTTACGTAAAGATTTTGAATGATAAGTGTACGGAAAAGTGAAATTTATAATATTTGCAATTATCGTATTCAATTATTTTGTTTAATTATTATTTGGATGATTTTATAATTTTATTCGGTTTTATTTTTGTGATAATGGTAGAATTTAAGAATTTTTGTAATAGAATTGAAGAATAATTTATAATAATAAATAATAATAATAATTTAATAATAATAGTAACAATAATAATAATAAAATAATAATAATAATAATAATAATAATAATAATAATAATAAATAACAAAATTGACAATTTATATTTCTTCTTTTGTATACAATTATTGTAAAAATTATCCTTTTCAACTGAACAATATTTTAATGCGAAATAAAATTTATCCGAAGTTATCGTCGTCGCTGAAAATCGAGAAACATTTTTCTTTTCCATAAAAAATTTCCAAATGAAAATTTGAGAAAATCCACTTATTGACAAATTAGTTATTATTACTTATTATTTTCAAAATTTTTTAAAAATTCTACGAAACAATTAAACTATTTTCAAAAAGAATTTATAATAAAATTCCTCTAAAGAATTCAATTATTTCCACAATTAATAAAAAATTCTCAAAGTAGTTCAATTATTTTAAAAAATTATAATAAAATTTATTGCAAGAATTCAATTATTTTCACAAATAATAAAAAATTCTCAAAATAAATCAATTATTTTTAAAAATGCTTATAAAATTCTTCACAAGAATTCATATATTTTTATGAATTCTAATAAAATTCTTTGAAAGAATTCAATTATTTTCATAAGAAAATTCTTATAAAATTCTTCACAAGAATTCAATTATTTTTAAAAATTCTTATAGAATTCTTCGCAAGAATTCAATTATTTTCAAGAATAATAAAAAATTTACAAAACAAATTATTTTCATAAACAATAAAAAATCTAAAAAAAATTTTTACGAGAATTCAATTATTTCCAATTCAATTTTAATAAAATTCTCAAAAAAGTTGAATTGTTCTAAAAAAAAATTTGATAAAATTATTCATAATAATTCAATTATCTTCAATACAATATTTTAATAATTCTCGTTTTAATAATTTCTCTCACAAAGAATTTAATTATTTTAAAAATTTTAATAAAATTCTTCGAAAGAATTCAATTATTTTCAATACAATTTTAATAAACTTTCTCAAAAAATTCAATTATTTTTAATTATTTCACTCGTCACAAAAAAATTAATTATTTTAGAAATTTTAATAAAATTCTTCGGAAAAATTCAATTATCTTCAATAATATTTTAATAAACTTTCTCATAATAATTGGAACATTTTTAAAAATTGTTATAAAATTCTTCGCAAGAATTCAATTATTTTCAATAAAATTGTAATAAATTTTCTCGAAAAAATTGAATTAGGTATTTTCAAAAATTTTCATAAAATTTTGTGCGAGAATTAAATTATTTTAAAATTATATTTAATTAATGTTTGTTATTATGCAATCTTTAAAACATTGAATTAAAATTTAATTATTTAATAAAATGTCAACAACTTTTAAATAGAAAGATGATAAAAAATAATTTTGAAACAAAAAGAAATTCACACTTTTTTATTTAATAATTTATTAAAAATTATGAAAAAAATCAAAATTACAAAAAAAATATTTTTTCTTAACTTCTGAGTATCAAATATTATTTTAATATTATAAAAGTTTCTTCTCCCCTTATAATTGAATTTAATTGTTATTTAATTTATAATTTTTAAAACAAACGAAAAATTGTTTCTATTATTAAATTATTGTTTGAGTATTCTTTCTTTCATTTCTTTGTTATTTAAAACAGTGCATACGTATACAACAATCATTGTTAGGAAAATTTTTTTTTTTTTTACAAAAAGCGTGTTCTTTAATCGTAAACAGTTTAATTGGAAAAAGAGGAAAAAAATTTTTCTTTTCGAAAATTGAGTATAAAATTCTTGAAATCTTTTTTTTTAAGCAACGTAACTATTTAGTTTATATTTAGTAAGAAAAAAGTAAAAAGCGCATTAAAAAAAATTATGGAAATAAATGAATATGAAATAAATAAATTCGAAAGAAAATATAATTTCGAAAAAAAATTATACTAATAGATTGTACCTAATTGAAAAATTGAGAAAGAATAAAATTACCTATTTTGGTTTCTTAAAACTGTTTTATTATATTTTTTCCATGAATTAATTTTTGTATAATTCGAGAAGTAATCGTTATTTTTCGAAAAATAATTTTTTGTCTACAGTGAAACCTGTCGGAATGCAAATCTATTTAAAAAATTTTTTTACAGTAAATAAATTTTAGAATCCTTGAATAAAATAATTATTTTTCGAAAAATAACGATTATACTTTTAAAATTGTCCAAAAAATAATTCTTGGAAAAAATAAAATAAAATAGTTTTAAGAAACTTTTTTTCAAAAGTAATCGATATTTTTCCAACTATAATTTTTGTATATTTTCAAAAGTAATTTTTTTTCCAAAAATAATTTTCGAAAATTTCAAAAGCAGGTAATTTTTTCCAAAAATAATTTTTGTATATTTTTGAAAGTAATTTTTTTCCAAAAATAATTTTCGAAAATTTCAAAAGCAGGTAGTTTTTTTCAGAAATAAGTTTTGTATATTTTTGAAAAAAATTTCAAATATTTGAGAAAAAAATTTTCGAGGTATAATTTGAATAAATATTGAGAGTGATAGAGAGAAAAAGAAAGAGAGAGTGTGTGAGAGAGAGAGAGAACAATTAGAGAAACAGCTTTATAAGAAAATAATAAACTATTGTTGGAGACTTGTAGCAAGGACACACCGTTGAGTAGGTATCAGATTAATAGTGTGATTTTTTACTCTAGCAATTTTTTTTTCTTTCTTTTTTTTTAATAAGAACTTAAATCAACAAGAAGAAATTAATGGGATATTGGTGCATTTTAAAAAGTGTACGGCAAAAAAAAAAAATTTAATTAAAAAATAAAAAAAAAAAATAGTTGGTCATTTATGAGAACTAAATGCATCAAATCGATATGTTTGATGATTGTGTCTAGCAAAAAACCGTTTTCTTTTAAGTATCCCCAGAGCCAATAAGTCACAAGGATTCGTGTCTGGGAAATCGAGGCATGGCCTGCTCGCAGACCCACTAGTGCCCTGAACACATTCCATTTGCTTCTCCTTGGCCAATGCTCGGGGTTTGTATTTTGTTGCTGATCACCAATATATTCCGTCATGTGATACTAGTTCTCTGAAAATCAGATATCTTTTCGCGATTCAGACGTACATTATTGATGACTGATTCGCCGTAAACAGAATGTAGTCAAAAAAAAAAAAATCATATTATTTCAAAAATAAAAATAAAAATAACTAACCAATAATGATTTCTTGTATACACATTTTCATTTCATATTCTCGAAAAGAAAAATGCTGAGTTATCCAGAAGTTTTTTTTTTGACATATTTCTTTATCTTTATTGATTCATTGCTACGATTACACATGAAACAAGTATTTTGTGACGCATTTTAAATTTGCGTCATTTTTTTTATGTGCAATCTATCTTCTATTATGAGTCAGTTATTCAACTTTCGAGACTCTCCTTTTTTTTATTTACGAAAACACTTGCTTCATGTATACTCATAGTACTCAGCTTTCGATGTTTTTTTTCTATTTTTTTTTCTTTTTCTATTATTAAAACATTTTTTATTGTAAGAGAAACAAATTAGAAAATTTTAAGTTCTTTAACTCACAAATCAGATCATAATCATAAGTTCTATTTTTAATTTTATTATTATATTCTTAAGGTATATTTTCGAATTTAATTCATTTTTTTATTCTCAAGTGGTAATTCGCGAAATTTAGGTTTTCGTTTTTTTGTAAATAGAAAAAAAAGAAAAATTAATTTCAAAATAAAAAAAAAAGAAAAAAAAAGACAAATTGGACATTATAAATGTCGATAACAAGTCAGATTTTGAATTGAAAGGGATATTGAATTTATTGGAGTATTGGTGTTTCAGGTGTCATGCAGGCATCCAGTAGCAGTGAGGTTAAACTTGATAAGCGTTACAGTCCTAGTTTTAGAGATCACGAGACTCCATCGGGAAAAGGATCGACAAAAAGAAAAAGAGATGATGTTTTAAGGTGAAATATCTTTTTCTTTTAAATTCAAATTTTGAAGAAATGAAAAATAAATTTGAATTTTCTTCTTTTTTGTTTTTTAACAGGGTTGCCAGTTTTTTTAACAGGGATAATCAGGGGAAAATAAAAATTATTAGGAAATGTCAGGAAAAGTTTATTAATAGTTTAATAAAAAAATATCAAATTTCTAGAATTTCGACAAGAATTTCTGATTTTTGGTGATTACGAAACGTTTTTGATACAAAATTCTTTGAAAAACTTCAAATAATTTTCAAAAATTTCTATAAAATTCTTTACAATAATTAAATTATTTTCAACACAATTTTAATAAAATTTTTCGAAAGAATTCTATTTTTGTAATAAATTTATTCGCAAGAATTCAATTACTTTCATAAAGAATAAAATTTCTTGCTGGAATTCAATGAATTTAAATATATAATTCGTAGGATTTCAATTATTTTCGTAAATAATAACATTTTTCGCAGAAATTCAATTATTTTCATACAAATAATAAAGATGTTTTGCATAAATTAAATTATTTTCATGTAAACAATAAAATTCTTCTGAAAAAAATTCAATTATTTTCTAAAATGTAAGAAATTTATTTTTAAGAATTCAATTACTTTCAAAAAAAATAAAATTCTTAGCAGGAAATCAATTATTTTAAATATAATTCAATCATTTTTATGAAAAAAGAATTAATCCTCGCAAGTATTTAATTATTTTTAATTAAATTTAATTTTTTTTAATTAATTAAAATTATTCGCATGAATTCAATTATTTTGTGAAAATAAAAAAATTCTTCAAAAGATTTTAATTATTTTCGTAAATAAAAACATTTTTGGCAGAAATTCAATTATTTTCATACAAATAATAAAGATTTTTTGCATGAATTTAATTATATTTTCAAGTAAACAATAAAATTTTTCTGCAATAAATTCAATTATTTTTCAAAAGTGTAAAAAAAATTTATCGGCAAGAACTCAATTACTTTAAAAAAGAATAAAATTCTTTGCTGGAATTCAATTATTTATTAGAAATGTAATTCAATTATTTTGATAAATTTAACAGAATTCTTCGCAAGAATTTAATTATTTACATTTTTTCAAAAATTAACTTAATATTTTTGGTAGGGATTCAATTATTGTCATATAAATAATAAAATTCTTCGAAAGATTTCAATTATTTTCTTACATAATAAAAAATTCTCGATATTTAAGAAATTCTATTAAAATTGCTGGAAAGAATCCAATTATTTTCAAAAATTTTGATAAAATTCTTTATAAAGATTGAATTATTTCTAATATAATTTTTCGCAGAAAATAAATTCATTTTTTTTTCGAAAATGTTAATAAATGTTAATGTTAATAAAATTTGTAAAAATTGAATTATTTTCATTAAAATTTTAATTAAATTCTTTTAAAGAATTCAATTATTTTCAATATAATTTTAATCAAATTTTTAAGACGAATTCAATGATTTTCAAAATTTTTTATTGAATTCAATATAACAATTAAATTATTTCAAATTCTTTGGAATCACCATGAATTTTGAAGTAATATTTTGATATTTCTTATTTCTCTAAATAATTAAATTTTTCTTAAATATTTCAATATTAGAATAACTTTTTTAAAATCGTTATGAATTATAATTAACTTCAAGGGTTTTAAACAAATTTTTTGATAATTTTAATTTCTGTGAATTAAACATTATTTAAGAAAAATGATTTAAGTTTTTAAATAACTTTTTTTAAAATTGTAAAAAAAATTAGGTTTTCAAGATATTTTGATTTAATTTTTTTTAAAGATAATTGAATTTTTCAAAAAAAAGAAAAATTATTCAAGAATTCTAAAATTAATGGTAATTTTGTGAAATTGATTTGAAAATACCTACTGAATTAAATTTGTTAAAGAATTTTTATTGCAGATTTTTTAAAAAAATTATAATTTGCAAAGAATTTTAATTTAATTAATAAATAATTGAATTTTACAAAGAGTCACAATTGAATGTATATTTATATTTTTGTTAATTTAAGAAGAGAATCAAAGGATCCAAATTGCATCTGAAATAATTTAATTTCGAAAGAATTACAATTAAAATTTTTATTAACTAATTTTAAAAACAGATTCAAATTTCTATAATTATTCAAAATTCGAAAACTTATTTGAAATTCTGCCAAATTGTGTTTTTAAATTTTCAATTATCCTATTTTTTTGTGAAAATATATTTGTTTATAGACAAATAATTGCAAATTTGTGAAAAAATTGAGATTTTTTAAAATTCTATAAAAAATAATTGAAATTTTCTAAAACGTTTTTGCAAATAATTGAATTTTAAGATTCAATTTTTAACAATTTTATTGAAATTTTTGAAAATAATCTAGGAAAGTGTATTAGAGTTATTATTTTTTTATTTATTTTTAAAATAGACAATTTTAAAGTTTAAAATTAAATTGTTGCTTCTAAAATTTATCTTTTTAATTTTCTTTTTTTTGGGGGGTGGGGAGGAAATCATGGAAAACGTTAAAATTCTGTCTTTAAATTAGGGAAAAGTTAAGAAAAAAAAAAAAATAAAAACCAATTTTTGTGGCAACCTTGAAATTAATTTTTCGTCATATTTATTTTAATATTATTGTTATAATATTATTTATTTTAACAATATATTTTTCTTTTATTCCAGAATGAAAATTCATCGTAAAAATAGTTCCGTAGACGTCTTGAAGTCGGGAACGCATCTCGATTCGGCTGCAAATAAACAATGTATCCTTTTCATATACTTTTCACTTTATCTTCAATGAATTTCAAAGAATTTGTTTGTTTGTTTATTTTTTAAATATTCTCAGGTTTTAGATTTTTTTCCCCCATTAATTTGTTGAAGAATCTGTTTTATTTTATATTTAAATGTGAAAAATTTAGATGTTCTCAGACTTCAGGTTTCTTTCCATTAATTCGTTCAAGAATCTGTTCTATTGTATATTTAAATGTGAAAAATTTCTCTTAGTTTTTAAAATAAATTTTCTTGAAAATATTCATACGAATTGATAAATTATAATTTTTTTTAATTCAACAATCGTTATTAGTAGCAAAATAAAATATGAAGTAAAGAAAATTAAGGCAATAAAATAAACGAGTCAATTCGAGATCTTTATTCGAAAATAATTTCACGAAAGGAAAAGAAACATTAACGCTTTAAAAAACTGTCCAAAATATTAATTTTATTGGATGGACAATTTTTAAATTATTTTTTTTTCCACTTTATTGTATAAAATTATAAAATTTTCTTTTTAAATTACTATAATTGAAATATATGACGAAAAAGTTAAATGACTGATAAAAATTTCAAGTGCGTTTATAGGAATGAAAAGAGTTTATTTCCGTATTGTATTATTGTATTTTAAAAATGTGGGTCACTTTCAAGTTAGATTTAGGCCAAGGTTGCTGTGTGACTTATAGAATGGAGTGTGAATACACCACGATCTGAATTTAATCTTTATGCGTTAATTATTTATGATATTTTCAAAAATGTTCTAGTTTTCAAGTTAATTCGAAAAAAGAGGAGAAAATAGTTTTTTTTTTATTTTCTCGATGTATTTAAAACTATTGTTTATTGTTTACTGAAATCAATGTTATTTTTTTGTGTCTCGCACTTTTTTGATAAGATTTTTTTTTATGAAACGTACTTGAGTTTTATTTTATCAACACATGTGTAATTCGATTACGCTTATACTATCTCCTTAACTAGAAAAATATAGATTTTTTATTACTGGAAAATATAACGTCTCAGTATTCACATCCATGCATCTTAGATTTAAAAATGGGGACCAGACAGCATGGCGATGATGCATCGGCTGAAAAACGCAGCAAGCAAATGGCTAAATGTGCTGCGAGCACTTCAGCGTCTTTGGGTGTTAGACTCTGTGGAATGCAGGTTTGTTCTCTTTTTCCCTCCCAAAACAAAATTAATAAAATATTTTTTTTTTTTAATCAGGGTGTCTACTCAAAAAGTTTCGCCCAATAATTTTCAATTTTTCCTATATTTTCCACACATCAATATTAAACTGGAATTAATATCGAAAATTAAAAATTTAAGGAAACCTTTTCCTACTTTTCCACACTTTCCCGGATTTTATTATTTTTTCCGATTTTTAAATGTTTCATTTATTTCAGGAAAATTTGATTTTCATTTTAATTTTAATGCGTATTTTAGGTTTAAAATCTGTATTCAGAATAAATACTTTACAATGATTACTTTGTAATTTTTTCTTTCTCTGATTTTTTTCGATCGGATTCAATTCGGTTTTTCTTATTATTTTCCGTTCAAGTGTGATAAGATTGAAATTTATTCGAATTTAAAGTGTGTGTTATCGCAGTTCAATAAGAATTATTTATAATTGTATAAATTTTCTTTCGATACTATAATGTTGATAAATAGAAAATTGGACAGTAGAAAAAAATTAGAATCAATCCATTATATATATTTCAACAAAGTTTTTGCGGCTTATTTTCTGAAAAATCTTACAAATTTTAGAAATTATATTCAAAAGTCGTATAATTTATTTTTGACAATTATTTACACGAATTTTTTTGTATTAGAACGCTCCAATTTTTGGGTTAAAAATTAAAAAAATTTTCGGCAAAAAACCGAAATTAAATGTTAAGCATTAAGACGTTTTGTAGAAAAATTATTTTATTTTATTTTCCATGATTTTTCGTTAATAAGTAAATTTTTTTAAATCTTGCATAGAATTTTAGTAAAATTATTGAAAACGATTGCATTAATTGAAAAATTTTATTATTTACGAAAAATATTGATTTCCTCTGAAAATGTTATTTATGAAAATAATTGAATTCATGCGAAGAATTTTATTTATTTTCTGAAAATAATTGAATTCTTGCAAAGAATTCTGTTAAATTTGAAAAAATAATTCAATTGTATTGAAATTAATTAATTTTTTGCGAAAAATTTTATTATTTATGACAATAATTGAATTCCTGATAAGAATTTTATTATCTATAAAAAAATAATTGAATTTTATTATAAAATTTTTGTAAATAATTGAATTTTTGCGAATATTTTTATTTTATGTTGAAATTATTTCATTTTTGCAAAGAAAATTAAATTCTGTTAAATTTGTCAAAATAATTGAAGTATTTTTAAAATAATGAAATTTCTGCAATGAATTTAATTCTTTATGATTTATGAACATAGTTAAATTGTTTTGCAAATAAATTTATTACATTTTTAAAAATAATTAAATTCGTGCATTATTTGTATGAACAAACAAATTGACTTTTTGCGAAAAATGTTATTATTTACAAAAATAATTCCTGCGAAGAATTTTATTTAATTTTTAAAAATAATTAAATTGTTCTTTAAGTCAATTATTTTTAATAGCTTTAATTGTAAAAATTCTTTGAGAATTTTCAAATCTATTTGTTTAAAATTCAATTTTACGAAATTTCGATTATTCGGAAATTTTTCAATTAAAATATTAGAAAATATAATCTTCAAATAATTTCAACAAAAATTCAATTAAACTTTTAGTAAAAAAAATTAATTCTACAAAATTGTTAGTTAGAAGTATAAAAAATTCAGATTGTCAAAGATTTTAATTTGAAATCTTTTCAAAATTCAATTATTTCTAAAAATTCAATTTATAATGTGAATTTCAATATTTAATTATTATTTAAAATTTTAGCTGAAATTTATTTTTAAATCAATTTTTATTAGAAAATTCTATGAGAATTCAATTATTTAAATCCATTATAATTGTATGAAAAAAATTGAATTTCTGCGAAAAATTATTTACGAAAATAATTGAATTCCTGCGAAGAATAAAGAATTTTATTCTTTGTGAAAATAATTGAATTGTATTGAAAATAATTGAGTTTTTGCGAAAAATTTGATTAATCATGCCAATAATTGAATTCCAAATAAGAATTTTATTATCTATAAAGAAAATAATTGAATTTTTGAAAATATTTTTATTTTTTGTTGAAATTATTAAATAATTGAATTTCCGTAATAAATTTTATTATTTATGACGATAATTGAATTTTTTCAAATTAATTTATTAAATTTTCGAAAATAATTGAATTTTTTCGTAGAATTTTATTATTTATATATGAAAATAATTGAATTCCTACAAAAAATTTTATCATTTTCGAAGATAATTGAATTGTTGTCAAGAATGTTATTAAAATTGTGGAAAATAATTGAAGTTAAAATTTTAATAATAATCAATTACTATAATTAAGTTAAACTATTTTGAACCATTATCAATAACTGAAATTTATATTATTTCTGTACAATTTGATTTTTTTAACTATAAAAAAACAACCTTTCTTCAGTGGAACTCAACATAAAAATTAAAATTCAAAATTAATAATACAGAAACTTTTTGAAAATAATAAAGAAAATAAATTGTAAGGATGTTGAATATTATTTTTACAATTCGTAAGATTTTTCTAAAAATAGGCTGCCAAATACTTTGGGTGAAATATAATGGATTTACTCCAATAAATGTAAAATTGGATAATATTAGGTAAAAATTAATTTTGAAATGATTAATTTCGTCAAATATTTTTCAATTCCTCTTTAAGGAAATCGTAGATTTAGAGAAGAGTGGCCACCCTGAGAATATAAAAATGAAATTAAAAAATAAAAATTTTCAATTTAAAGAAGTGAAAATACCAAAGACTTTCTTTGTCTAATCTCTCGATTAATGTAAAATTGATTCAAGGTTTACCAAGCAGACACCGATCATTACATAAAACGCGATAAATATTGGGGAAGAGAACTAAATGAAGAAGGCTTTAAGGAAGCTTTGATCAGATTTTTTCACAATGGATATTGTTTGCGTGCAACTGTCATACACAGAGTAATAACGCGATTAGAACAATTGCGTCGTGCTATTGAAAGACAAAGCAGTTACAGATTTTATTCCTGGTAAGTATAGAAATTGAAAATTCAATAAAACTATCTAATATTATTGTTGAATAATTTGAAAGATTTCTGATCATCGAGCTCTACTTTAAATTGCACGTGCGGGCAAAAAAAAAGTGTGAGCCATCGCATGGAAGCCAGAAACCAATTCCGGAAGAAAAATATTGTATAAACAAAAAATAATAATAAATAAGTAAATAAATGAAAAGAAAGAAAGAAAGAAAAAAGGCCTAAGTGGTTAAAATTTAATTTTATGTGTGTCTACAGGCCTCGGATAGTATGACTTTGGACTTTTGCTTCCTCATAGAGGAACGATTGTATTTTCGAATATTTGCAAAAAAGGAACCTTTTTCTATTTATTTAAAAAAGAAATAAATTTTTTTTTAAATTTCGACTTATTTTCAAAAAAGCGACTGTTTTGACTTCTCTTTCAAATATTGGAACTAAATATCAATTTTTTGGTATAAAATTAAACTTATTTCAATTTTTTTAGTGTGAAAAATAAATAGACAAATCATTTGAAAAATCAGTTTTGAATACTTATTTTTATGATAATTAAATTTTTGAATGATATCCCAATTTAAAAAAATTTGAACAATTCAAATTTTGTAAGATTTTATTGAAAATAATTAATTTTTTGAAAGTAATTCATTAAAATTTTTTAGAAAATAGATTTTAAAAGAACTTTAAGGGCATTTGAACCATGATGACGTCACAGATTTAAAACTAATGCTTTGCACAAACTGTGACGTCATCAAGGTTCAAATCCCCTTAATTGTAAATTTAGAAAATAATTGAATTCTTATAAATTTCAATGAGAAATAGAATAATCAAATGAAAATTTGAAAATGAAAATTAGTTTAAAAAAATTATATTAAAATATTTTTTAACAAAAGTAATTCACAATTTTTTCATTATAATTATTTAATTTAAATTACTTTCCAGTATTTCAATTATATATTTCCGAAAATTCAAACATTGAAAAAAAAATAATTACATAAATAATTTGTAAGAAAATCTAATTTTTTAGAATTATTATTAAAAAATTTTCTAGAATAAAATTATTTTAAAAAGTGTGAATTAAAATTCTTCGAAAAATTTATTATTTTCTTAAATTTTTAAAAATTTATTAATTTAAGAAATTCTATTATTTTAAAGAATTTTCTTTATAAAATTTTAAAAAGTTAATTATTTAACTTTTGGAAAACTATGAAAAATAATTGATTTTGAAAAGAATTTGAGTTAAAATTTTAGAAAATATTTGAATTTTTTATTAATTACTTTGATACAATTAATCATTAAGTATCATTTTTCAATTTAAATCCAAAATACACGTATTATCATATTTTTAATTAAAATTCTTAAAAAAATAAATTATTTTCAAATTTTTTTTACTAAATTTAAATTATTTGTGAAATTGAAATAAACAATTTTTTCACTTTTTTCTGTTACATATGTTCAATAATTTAAACAAAAAAAAAGAGTTACACTTATAATTATTATAAAAAATTAAATTTTAGTATTTAAATAATTAAATTCTCGAAAACATTTCTGAAAATTGTGAAAAATAATTCTTTTAGAGAAGTAGTTTAATAAAAAATTCTCGGAAAATAATTTAATTTTGAAAGAAGTTTGTAATTTTTATAGAATTATTAATGAATTTTCAAAAGGTTTGAATTGAAATTTTTTTGATTAAAAAATTAAAAATTAATTTTAAAAATCAAAAAATTCAAATTTTTTGATTTTTTAAATTTCTAAAATATTACTTTTTTGGAAAAATAGATAAATAAAAGTAACTAAATTTGAACTTACATATATTTATTCAACAAAATTGTTAAAGTTTTGAATAATTTAGAAATTCTGCAAAAAATCATGTTTTTAAATATTTTAATGTATGTTTTTCAAAGAATCTGAAAACGTGATAATCAAATCAAAACTATTTCCAAAGAATTATAATTGAAAATTTTGAAAATAAAAATTAAAAATAATTGAATTTCTTTGAAGAAATTTATTCTTTATGACAATAATTCAATTTTTTCGAAAATAATTAAATTCTATTGAAAAGAATTGAGTTTTTGCGAAAAATTTAATTATTTATGAAAATAATTAAATTCTTGCGAAGAAATTAATTGAATTTTGGAAAGTAATTTATTGACAATACTTGTATTATTTATAGAAGTACAATTGAATTCTTACGAAGAATTCTGTTAGATTTATGAAAATAATTCAATTGTATTAAAAATAATTAAGTTTCTGCGAAAAATTTTATTATTTATGAAAATAATTGAGTTTTTGCGAAAAAGTTTTCATATTTATGACAATAATTCAATTCCTAATAAGAATTTTATTAACTACAAAAAAATAATTGAATTTTTGTGAATAATGTTAATTGAATTCCTGCTCAAAATTTTATTATTTATGACAATAATTGAACTCTTGCTAATAAATTTACTACATTTTTGAAAATAATTGATTTGTTTCAAAGAATTTGATTCTTTATAGGGAAATAATTGAATTCCTGCAAAAAATAACTATAATTGAATTATTCTTGTCAATAAATTTATTATATTTTTGAAAATAATTGAATTTTTGTGAAGAATTTTAATTGAATTCCTGCAAAAAATTTTATTATTTATGACAATAATTGAACTCTTGCGAATAAATTTACTATATTTTTGAAAATAATTGATTTGTTTCGAAGAATTTTATTGTTTATCGAGAAATAATTGAATTCCTGGAAAAATTAATTATAATTGAATTCTTGCCAATAAATTTATTATATTTTTTGAAAATAATTTAATTTTTTCGAAGAATTTGATTGTTTATAGGTACCTATGAAAATAATTGAATTTTTGCAAAAAATTTTACCATTTTCGAAGATAATTGAATTGTTGTCAAGAATTTTATTAAAATTTTGGAAAATAATTGAATTTTCCCGTAAAATTTTAATAATCAATAAGTAAATTAAACTAATTTGAACAATTATCAATAACAAAAATTTATATTACTTCTGTACAATTTGTTTTTTTTTTAACTATAAAAGAATTAAATTAAAAATTAAAGTGTCAAGTTGTAAATACAAAATTTTTTTGAAGATAATAAAGAGAAATGTATTGTAAGGATAGAATTTTAATGTGAATTTTTCATGATTCCGGAAAATGTTTAAAGAAATCGGAAATATTTTTGAAGAATTGTATAATAATTTGAAAAATAATTGAATTTTAGAAAAATTTAGAATTGAAGTTATCTTTATGAGGGAAACAGGAATTATTATTTTTGGAAATAAGGTCGAGGATATAAAAAAAATTATGATAAGGACTTTTTTTTTTGAAATTTGAATCGAAGAAAGCGACTTTTTTTGTGCTCGAAACCCAAAAGTCGATCCGAGGCCTGGTGTCTATATTTATGTCTCATGAGCGGAAAAATTGTTGAACGATTTGTAATTTTTATTTTCAGCTCGTTATTAGTTGTCTATGAAGGTTATCAAATTGAAGATTACATGGAGAGACGAACGCCAACATTGAGGGTTGAGGATACATCGAACGATGTGAGCTACGTGGAGGCGCACCCGTCCGATCCATGTTACGACGCTGACACGAGTAATAATTCAACGGATTATAATTTATCATCGCACGACGAAGTAAGTGAAGCGACATTTCATCGTGTTTTCGGCGAAGCTGCCGCGCGCGGCGCAAAAACATCCTCGGGCTTCTATCCAATAAGTGAGGAGACCGTATTCATGGATCCGCCGTCAAATTTATTGAATAGCGTTGTACAGACAACTGGTTGTCCCTATGAGAATTGGTTGAATTACAGTAGCAGTAGTAGCGGCGATGATTATTGCTGCGGGCAGCATTCGGTCGTTCATTCAGAGGACACAAGTTCCGATCTCGATATTGGAGCTGAATGTTCGGTGAAACGGAATAAGCATCGACATCGTCAGCAATTGTACGAGGGTAAAGAGTGTCACGACGAGGAGGACAGCCTCGAGCACACCAGCAGCATGTCCAAGAGACTCAGAGTCAAGGACAGTGAAAAATTGGCCGATCTTCACAATAATTCACTTGTCGATGTTCGAATGATCGATTTTGCCCACACGACATTTGGCCACACCGGTCTGGCAACCAGTTCGAATTCAAATTCAAATTTAACGGTTCATCAGGGTCCCGACTGTGGTTTTCTCACTGGACTCGACAGTCTCAAGCGATTACTCCTCGAAATTGCAAATGAAGATTAACCATTTTTTCTTCGTCCTCAACTTCAATTCTTCTCTTCTTTTTTCCCCACCCGCCAAATGACAATTCCAAAATTTTACCAACTTGACCTTTTTTTTACACCTTGATACAAAAAAAATTTACAATCAGTCTCGAACTGAAAATTCAATTTTATTTAATACCGAGTGAAAAGTCTTTTGGCAAAAAATAATTATAGTGACATTTTTTAATAAAAAAATACAATTGAAGTTAAACTGAGGAAAAGTGATTAAAAATAGAAAGTATCGAAAACAAATTCGATGAAAAGAATAGAAAATGAAAAAAAAATGCAAAAACCGTGAAAAGAACGCTAGAAATTTTGCGTGAAAAAAAACGGTGTAAAACTAGAGAAAAAAAGAAAGAAACGAAAACGGTGAATAAGTGATAATTATTTTAAGAAAATAAATTTTTTTTCCCCCGAATAAAAATCAGGGCTGAGAGAAACTATATTTGTTAATAAAAAAAAAAAGAAAAAGAAGAGTGATGAAACTTTTTTTTTGTTTATTTCTAGTTACTTAGATTTTTGTACAAAAGAGTTTGAAATTGTATATAGGCTTCGAATTTTCATTTAATTATTTTTGAGGAGGGAAAACAAAATTGAATTTTGAGCGCAACAAAAAAAAGCTGTAGATTCGCTCGCGCGTCAATCGCCTTTTAAGTGCACTATACTAAATCATCTTGAAAGAAAAAGATGTGCGATATTTAGATTTATAGAGAAAAAAAAACACTCCTGCCACTTATTTAAGACGAGACTGCGACGACAATTGACTTTTAGGAAATAACTTAGGAAAAACAAAGTATTCTTGACCAAGCGGAAAGCATCCTCTCTTTTTTTTAATTATTAAGTAGAAGATATATCCGAAGAAAATATTTTTCATTGAAGGTAATGTTTCGTAAACAAAGCACTATTGAAAGAAAAACAAAAGTGGATTTTTAAATCCCGAAAAGAATTTGCTTCAAGCATTCTATTTATTTTTAACACACTGCAAAAGAAGTTGTCGACTTCTGATGTTTTACTATTATTATTATATTTTGAAATAGAATTAGTGTCGACTTCTATTTATTATTATTAGATATATGTAGAAAATTAGTCTTAGTTTCCAATTGCATGGAAAAATTGAAAAAATTTCAAAATTAATTCAAATTTAAAATTAAAATAAATTAATTTCAAATTAACTGTTAATGAAAGAAAATGTATTTGGCTTTATTCTGGATGAGATATTTTTTAGCCCAGTGTCTTTTATTTAATTGAAAGAATAAAAAAAAACTAGTGCTTTCAAAATCTGCTGACAGGCAGAATTTTTCTTGTCTCAAGACTTAATTTATTGTAAAATCATAAACATTTTATAAATATTGTGAATTTAACCAAAAAAAAATTTCATACTCCTTTTATTTTTTTTGTAAATATTTTTCTTTTCTGTGATTTGTTTTTTTGTTATCGATATATTTTTCGTTGCGAGTTAATTTTTTCCCCGTATGTCAAGAATATTTTTTTTTGAATCGAATGTATCGGAATTTATTTAGGATCTTGAAAAATGTAAACAAAATTGTCTCAAGCAAAAAGAGTAATTTAAAATATTTTATAGTTTCGTTGGAAATTTTCAAAAAGATTTAATTTGATTTAAAAATTGTTTCAAAAAAAAATTTTTTTTAATGAATCGAACAAAATTTGTTTCAATGAAAATTTGGTACCGAAAATTTGACAAATTAAAGGAAGAAATTGAATTTCTTAGTTTTCAGGAATTAAACATTGAATTTTTTAGTTTTTAAAATTTGATGAAATTGAAAAATAAGTTTTCAACATTTGAAAAGTTCATTAATTTTGGTTAAATAAGTATTTAAATACTTATTGTTATTTATTTTTTCAGAGGAAATTGTTTTTAATTATGTATTTCCAAAAATTTCTACAATAACTAAATTCTAAAATTCAATTATTTTCTAGAATTTTAACTGAAATTATTTTCAAAATCAATAGTTGTATATAATTTTCAGAAAAGTTTTTTGAGGATTTAATTATTTAAATGTATAAAAATTCAATTTTCTATAATATTTCTAAGTGTAACTCTTTTTTTTAAATTATTGAAAATATGTAAGAGGAAAAATTGAAAATAATTGATTTTCAAAAAATGTAATAAAAAAATTCTTGAAATTTGTATTTTAAAATAATTTTTGAAAGACAATTATTATCAATTTCGCTTTTAAAAATTTCCAAAAAAATTGAACAAATAACTGTCATTCACTAAAAATTTTTGAAAATAATTGAATTTTTGAAGAATTTTAATTAAAAATTAATTAAAACGAAGAAAATACGTGTATTTTGGATTTAAATTAAAAAATATTACTTAAAGATTGTTTCAACAAATTTTTTATTTAATCAGACAAAATTTCTTTCAATGAAAATTTGATATTGAACATTTTAAAAATTATAAGAAGTTGAATTTTTTTTAGATTTCATAAATAAAAAAAATTGAATTTTTAGTTTTTTAAATTTTGAAGAAATTGAATTTTAGTTTTCAAAATTTGAAAAATTCAATAATTCATGTTAAATAAAAATTTGGTGCAAAAAATTTTAAAAATTAAGGAAAGAAATTAAATTTCTTAGTTTTCAAAAAATGAAAAAATAGAATTTTTAGTTTATAAAAATTTGAATTTTAGTTTTCAAATGTTGAAAAATTCAATAATTTATGTTAAATATAAATTTATTTTTTCAAAGAAATTATTTTTAATAATTTCTAAAAATTTTCTATACTTCTTCTAAAATTCAATTATTTATTCAAATTTTAACTCAAATTCTTCTCAAAATCAATTATTTTTCATAATTTTTTTTCTTTCCAGAATTTAATAATTTAAATACAAAAATTGGATTTTTTATAATAATTCTAAGTATAATTTTTTTTCTATAAACTATTGAAAATGTGTAACAGGAATTGAAATTAATTGATTTTCAAAAAATGCAATAAAAAAATTCTTAAAATTATTTTAATATAATTTTTGAAAGGCAATCAATTTTAATGTCACAAACAAAAATTTTCAAATAACTGAAATTTAGTACAAAAATTTTGAAACAATTGAATGTTTGAAGAATTTTAAATAAAAATTAATTGAAAATATGAAAATACGTGTATTTTAGATTTTAATCGAAGAATACTTAATAATTAATCGATTGAAAAAAATCTTGAATTAATCAGACAAAATTTGATACCGAAAATTTAAAAAATTGAAGGAAGAAATTAAGTTTTTTAGTTTTCAAAAATTGGAACAATTTAATTTTTAGTTTTTTTGAATTTTAAAGAAATAGAATTTTAGTTTTTCAAAATTTATAACAATAATTGTTCTAAACTTATGTTATTTTCTAAAATTTTATTTAAAAAAATAATAAAATGAATAATTTAAAATTCTTCTCAAAATCAATTATTTTTCATAATTTTTCAAAAATTTCAATTTTTTATAATAACTCTTTTTTTTAAATTATCAAAGTGAATTATTGAAAATATTGAAAATAATTAATTCAAAAAAAAATATAAATAAATTCTAGAAATTAGATTTTTTATTAAGTATTTCAAAATAATTTTTGAAAGACAATAAATTTAAATTTTACAATTGAAAATTGGAAATTTCTAAATAATTGAATTTGATTGAAATTTAGTAAAAAAATTTTATTTAATTGAATTTTTGAAGAATTTTAATTAAAAATATGAAAATACGTGTAATTTGGATTTAAATTTGATAAATAATTGTTTCAAATAAATTTTTAATTAATGAAACAAAATTTTTTATCAATCACAAAATTATAAGAATTAGAAGAAATTGAATTTCTTTTTAGTTTCTAAAATTTGAAGAATCGAAATTTTTCTTAAATTTAAAAGTTAATGATTGAATAATTTAATTTAATAGTTAATGATTCAAATCGTGATTTTAAATTTAGATTATTCTTCTAATCCAACAAAAATTTTTTATTTTTTTTATTATCTAAAGAAAAGCCTCAAGTGTATTAATATTTATTAATAAGAAAAATACAAAAATATCGAAATATTTCTCAAGAACAATAGTTTGCTTCGAATACAGAAACAAATACTTTCATAGTGATTAGTGATTATTGTTTATTATTATTATTATAATTATTAATTCGAAGAAATTGAATTACTGTTTATATTATTATTATTATAATTATTAATTTTTTGTTTTAATGTAGATTATTTCCTGTTTGTTGAATTTATCGAATTTTTATTTTACTAAAACTGAAGTATGTATTTAATGCAATATTTCGGTTAGGAAAGAATTATAAAGATTTGCAGCGATGTATTTCAAATTGATCTAAGTCATTATAAGCGTTTTTAGTGTTAATATAAAAATAATGGATATTATAGATGAATTCAACTCTAAACTTATCTGTATAAAAATAAGAACAAAAAAAAAAGAAATTGTTGCCATGGCGCTTTATTGGAGCTGAAATGTAAAAAAAAATAGGGACACGCAAATTTTTTTTTCTCTAATTCGAGCTCTAATCGAGCGCAGAATTTCGAACATTGTTTTCCATTTTTTTTTTTTTTTTGCGGGAAAATTTAGTAAAACTTTGTAAATAATATGTATATTATGTCTATTGTAGTATTAATGAAAAAACGCCTAATATTTAAATTAGTGCTGTTACAAAGACGTACGATTCCAAAAAAAAAGAAAAGAAGTAAAAAAAATTTTTTTCAGCGTTATTCACGCTTGTCAAACATATTTTTTCATCTTGAACTCGAATACGTGTGATATAAAGAAAAAAAACCGATTCATAGTACAATAAAAATAGTTAATTGAATTTGAAAAAAAAAAATGAAAAACACTTGGAAAAATTGTGATGCGCGTCAGTGAATGTGAAATATGTTTTAAGTATTATGTACAAAGACCAATGTACGTACACATAAAATACATAGAAAAAAATATATATATATATTCCTTTACTTCGCATACATTTAATGTAGTTGAGTGTAAAGTTTACTGTGTATTATATTAGACGTAAGTCTTTTGAAAAGAAGTAGAATTGCCAAAATTTAAGGAAACAAAATGCGTCTTTTTGTGAAAATAAGTAGATTTTTTTTGCGAGATGCATTTTTTTTCTCTTTAACAAAATACCATTTTTTTCATAAGATTTAAGAATTATTCAAATAAAAAAAAGTCTTGTAAATAAAAATACATAATAAAAGACTGCAGAATTCGAAATAAATTGAAATTGATGTTTATTTTTTGTCCCATTTTTCTTCTTCTTTTGTATTTATCAGTAAAGACTTCTCCACTCGTTTATCAAAGTAGAAAAAATATTTGACAAAAACGAAATTTCCAATTATTTACATGTTTTAAAATTATTTTCTCGAATTCAAATAATTTCAAAGCAATTTAAAAAAAAAAATTTCATTACTTTTATCAGTTTTTTTATTTATTTTCTTTTTAGTAAAAATTAGTCAAAATTCTAATTAAAAATTAGTAAAAATTGAAAATAATTGAATTTTTTTATTAATAAAATTTGAATACAAATAATTAAAAAGACATTCGCTTATTCATGTATCAAATGTATTTAAATATATTTCTTCTCGCAGATTAGAAATTTCAAATCTTATACAGAATAATTTATTATAATAAGTTTTTAGGAAAAATTATTTTTTTAACAGTAATTTCCAATAAAAATAAATATTTAAAAAAAAAAAAGAAAACGTTTCTTTGGAACGACAGGAAAAAATATTTCACTGTCGCTTAACATTAGCGTATTATAATTAGCAAGCAAATTAAATAGAGTTAACAATATTACTCTAGTAAATTTTCGATGCATACAAAATAATAAAGTTTATGCATGAAAATAAAATTCAATTCTTCTTTTTCTATTATCGCAATTGCTTAATTATAATATACAAGAAACGTAATAAATTCATTAATTTAACATCAAAATATTCCTGTAAATTATGTATAGCAGGAAATTGATAAAATTTTCACATATTCAAAATGATAAAAATTAATTAATTAATCACTTTTAATAATGTTAAATCTAGTTAGAAAATTTCATTTAGATTTTCAAAATTTAATTAAACATTCCATTTTATCAGCCAAATTTTAATTGTAGCAAAAATAATTTATAAGGACTAAAGTATATTATGTATATAATATATCTAAATTAGTAATTTAGTTAATCGAGTCTTCAAAATAAAGATTAAAAATACATTATCAAAAATGTATAATATGTACTAATTGGAAAATGATTACAACTTAATAAAAAAAATATATATAAATAAAAAAGGCTTTCGATAATTATTGAAATGTGTACCTGAAAAATAAGAGAATTTTAATTATTTTTTTCCTGGTTTAATTTTTTTGTTGTAATTTTAATTAAAAATAAAGAGAATGTGATTATTTTTGTTTTACCTTTTTTAAATGCTTTTCTTGGGCATCGAAATAATTTGTTAATTTCTTTCAATTGTCACCGGCTAATTGATAATGATAGCGACGTAAAGCGGACAATTTTAATCTTTCACTTTCTAAAGCTTTTTCAAGCTCTAAAACTCGTACTTGAGCCTCCATTTCTAATCTATTCGCTTGATGTAAACTCAAACCGGAAATATCTAAATCATCTGAAACAAATATTTTTACAATTTATTTAAGTTTGAAAAATAAATTTTTAATGATTAGAAATTATAAACAATTATAAACTTAAAAAAAAGAATTATAAGAAGTATTTATATGGGTTAAATCATTTTTTTTTTCGTCTAATAATGTATTTTTGTCCTTTTCAGAAAACTTTAATACTTTGGGAGAATATTTATTAACAGAATGACCGCTTTTATCATAAAAAAATCGCCATTATGAATTATTTGCCCGGTTATAAAGAAAAACTCTCAAAAATTATTTTCAACATTTCAATTAAGTTATTTTATAGAAATTTTAACTAAAATTCTTCTCTAGTTCAAATATTTTTAATATTTCTTAAGAAAGTTCCTTAAAAATCCAATTATTTAAAAAAAAAAAAGTTCACCTACAACTAAAATATTAATAAAATCTACTTGTTTACAAGGGAATTTAAAAATCTAATTTGAAAAAAAGTGAACAAAAATTGTTTCAAAAAACTAACTTATTCTGAATTTTTAATTATAATTTTTTAAAATTCAACTTTTCTAAAGTTTTTTAAATTAATTTTTACTATTTATATATTTTATTACTATTTATATTTTCAAAAATTTTAATATAATTCTTCGAAATAGTTCTTACTAAATAGTAAAATTTGTTGCCAAAAATTAAATTATTTTCAACAAAATTTTAATAAAATTTTTCAAAAGAATTCTATTTTTAAAAAATGTTAATATATCCTTCGAAACAATTCAATCATTTTTATAAATAATAAAATTCTTTGCAAAAATTCATTTATTTTGAATACCATTTTAATCAAATTTCATGAGAGAATTCAATTTTTTTATTAATTTTTAATAATATTTTTCGAAAAAATTCACATATTTTTTTTTTAAATTTTAATAAATCCTTCGAAACAATTCAATTATTTTTCTTAATTTTTAATAAAATTTTTCGAATGAATAATTAATTTAATAAACTTCTAAAAGTGGAATTATTAATTACAATATTATTAACAAAGTCGATTGAATATACAATAAATTAAAGAAATTTTTTGAAAGAATTCAATTATTCTAGAAAATTGTAATAAAATTCTGAGAATAATTTAATTATTTTCTACAAAATTTTAATAAAATTCAATAATTAAATGTTTAATTTCAATTATTCGGAAACACGATTATTTTAAAAACTGGAAAAGAAATTTCTCATAAAATTAAATTACTTTCAAAATTTTTAATTAAAAATTATTAAAGAAACTCCATTATCTTAAAAAAATCCAAAGAAATTCTCCAAAAAAATTTAATTAGGATTTTCAAAATTTTTTCTAAAATTCATTGGAGAAATTCAATTATTCTCAAATTTTTTAATAAAATTCTTGGAAAGAATTCAATTATTTTCAAATTTTTTGATAAAATTCTTTATATCAATTCAATGATTTTCAATAGATTAATTTTAAAATTAAAAATATTCCGAAAAGAAAATTTATTAAAAAAGTTAGGAAACAAAAAAGCAAACAACAACGAACTTCAAACTGCGAACAGATTATCGGAATACAACGATTATTAATATAAATATTTGTAATACTAATTTAACATTCTAAAATATAAAAATAGTTAGGTACTTATAAATTATTGTCAAAAAAACGAGTTTGATAGTAATGCAAAATACGGTTTTTTTAATATTTATTTTCTAAGAAAAATAAAATTTCATTTATTTCAATTTCTATTTAGAAGTAGGTAAATAATTAATTTTTAGAAATTTTGTATTACTTTTGTTCTAATTAGTTCCAATATTTACTAATTCAAATTTACAGAATAAGTTTAGTGATAATATTATTGCAAAAGAAAACTACATTATCTAATTTATTTTTCACTATTTTATATGTGAAATATTTTCTATTTTGAAATGTAACATTTTTAATAACATTTTATATTAATTTTTTTAACTATTACTTTTTGTAATTTTTGAAACTTTTTTAATTATATGAAATAATTAATCGGATGAATTTAATTTTTGCTTAGAATTTTATTAAAATTTTTGAAAATAGTTTAATTGTTTTGCAAAATTTTTTAGAAATTTTGCGACAATAATTAAATTCGTTTGAGAAATTCAATTAAAATAGTTTTGAAAATAATTAAACTCTTATAATTGAATTCTTGTGAAGAATTTTATTACATATATGAAAATAATTGAATTCTCGCAAATTTTTTCAACGAATTTAACTAAAATTGTATTGAAAATAATTTAATTCTTGCAAATTTTTTCAACGAATTTAATTAAAATTGTTTTTAAAATAATTGAATTTCGTGCGAAGAGTTTTATTTAATTTTTGGAAAATAATCGCATTGTTTTAAAGAATTCTATTAAAGTTGAATTTTTTAAAAAAATTGTATCTAAAATTATTCAAAAAATAAATAATTTTGTAATTTACATAATTATAATAAATTAAATAGCCAGTTTTTCTAGTTATTCCTATTATTATTTATAAAAATTGAAAGCGCAACAAAAATTCAATTATTTTTTGAATTTTTAAATAAAATTGTTCGCAAAATCATTTAAAATAAATTCGATTTTAAATCTGTAAAGTTCAATTATTGTTAGAAATAGAAAGAATTTAAAATTAAATTGAATATTTTCTTTGTTTTAAAGGCCGTTGCGTTCAGAATTTTCTTATGAATTCTAGATTTAAATATTTTTTTCAAAATAAAACGTTTTTATAGAAGACAATTCAATATTTTTTAATGAAAGATTAATAAGTTTTAAAATAAATATTTCTATTTTTTCTAACAAAATATTTTTCTAAATCATCGTGCATTCTGTCAACTCAAAAGATGTAAAAATATTCTCCTAAAGTAGAAAAGTTTTTTGAAAGGGTCAAAAGTACATTCTGCGAAATATAATGGTTTGACCCTATGGAGAATATAAAATTATGTGAAAAGACTGTAAAAAGTATTTAAAAAAAGAAAAATAATAATTACCATTTTCCTCAACGAGTTGACTGCAACTTTTTGCCGTTGCAACAACACTTCCAGTAGCTTGAGTGACTCCACGCGAAGCTTCCGACAGTGCAGCCAAATTATTACTATTTCTATCAGCCTTAACTCTACTGGCAACGACTAACTGTGCAGTGGAGGCGGCAATACCCTGAGATGCAACAACTAATTGTTCGAACTTTCCATTTCCAGAAACAACTTTATCAGCAGCTTCCCTGTTTTTGAAAGGCACATTTTATTAAAAAAAAACTTGAAAAATTAAATTCGATTTTTATTATTTTAGATTTTATTTAAAAAAAAAAGAAATACGTACAATAGGAAATTGGCTCCCATTGCTATGGCTTTAGCTGCTGAAATTAAACCTTCAGACCACTGATGATTTCTTTTGTAAAATTCCGTAGTCGATGAAGTGCTCTATGAAGTAACAAAAATTGAAGGTAAAAAATATTATCACTAATACAGGGCACGAAGCAGTGAAAGTATTAAAAAATAAGGACTTTACAGACCGAAAATGAAAAATTACGGACCAATTACTGACAAAAATATAACCAGTCAGAGTCAAATAAGAGAACGTTTACTTAAAACTATAAATTAAATTTTTCATAAACTATAAAACATGAAGAAATTTATAACTCCGAGTCTTCGACTCGGAGTGATCAATTTCTTCATGTTTTATAATAATTAAAGATGACCCAGTGATAAAATCATGATTTTATATCATAAGAATATTGTACTTCTTCAAAATTATTTTCATCATTTCAATTATTTTCTAAAACTTTTAACTAAAATTCTTCTTTAAATCAATTAATTTTCGAAAAAGTTCTTTGAGAATTTTCAAATTCACTTGTTTATAAAATTCAATTGTACGAAATTTCAATTATTCGTAAATTCTTCAACTAAATATTTTATTAGAAAATAAAAACTTCAAATAATTTCAAAAAAATTCAGTTAACTTTTTCAAAAAAATTAAATTATTCAAAAAAAATTTAATTTTTTTTTCAAAATTAAATTATTTCTAAAAATTTACGCTATATTGCTTTTAATATTTAATTATTATCTAAAATTTTAACTGAAATTAATGTTTTAATCAATTTTTATTAGAAAATTCTGCGAGAATTCAATTATTTAAATACAAAAATAAATAATTCATTGAATAATTGAATGTTTCTTAAAATTGAATTCTCATAAAGAATTTTATCAGCAAATTTTTAAATAATTGAATTCTTTTGAGGAATTTTAATAAAATTTTTAAGAATCATTACCTACATTTTTCGACAAATTCGATTTTATATAAATAAGTTGTATTAAAAATAATTGAAATTCTGCGATGAGTTTTATTATTTATGAAAATAATTGAATTCTTAAAACGAATTTTATTATTTTTGAACATAATTTAATTTTCCAAAGAATTTTATTACTCTTGACAATAATTTGTAATTTCTCAAACATTAAATTTTCTTGAGTGTTTATAACTAAAATTCTTCTACAAATCAATTATTATTTTTAATAATTTTTGAAAAAGTTCTTTGAGAATTTTCAAATTCATTTGTTGTTTACAATTCAATTTTACAAAACTTCAATTATTCGGAAATTTTTCAATTAAATATATATTAGAAAATAAGAATATCAGAAAAAATAATTTTTAAAAAAATTAATTCCTTTACAGAATTGTTTGTTAAAAGCAGATTAAAAGTATTAAAAATTAAAATTATCAAAATTCAATTATGTCTAAAAATTCGCGCTATAATCCTTTTAATGTTCAATTATAATCTAAAATTTTAATTGAAATTAATTTTTAAATCAATTTTTATTAGAAAATTCTACTAGAATTCAATTATTTCAATAAAAAAATAACTTATTGAATAATCGAATTCTCATAAAGAATTTTATCAACAAATTTTTAAATAATTGAATTCTTATGACGAATTTTAATAAAATTACACTTTTTGAGGAATTCATTAAAATTTTATAAAAAATAATTGAAATTCAGCATTGAGTTTTATTATTTACGAAAATAATTGAATTCCTAAAAAGGATTTTATTATTTACGAAAATTATTGAATCCTTGTAAAAATTTTATTATGTATATGAAAATAATTGAATGATTGCGAAGAAATTTATAAAAAATTTGTAAGTAATTGAATTCCTGTAAAATTTTTATTATTCTATGAAAATAATTAAAGGTTTGCGTAGAATTTTATTAAATTTTTTTTAAATAAATTGAATTCTTTTGGAAAATTTTATTCAAATAGTAGATATTAAAAATCATTGAATTGAGGAAAATTTTTGAAAATAATTAAAATTTTACCAAGAATTTTATTAAAATTTTTGAAAATAATTGAATTTTTGAAAATAATTTCATTATTTCTAAAAACAATTGAAATTTCGACGAGAATTTTTTAAAAGTTTTAAACATAATTGAATTTCTGCGAAGAATTTTATTACTTTTGAAAGTAACTGATTTTCTGCAATCATTTGTAATTTCTCTAAATTAATCCAAATTATATCGTAGAATTTACGAACTTTTCGTCCTTTTTCTATCAAATTACGGACTTTACGGACCTTTTTTCAATAAAAACTAACTTTTACGGACTTGAAGCAAAATTTAAGGACCTTTACGGGATTGACGGACCTAGTTCGAGACCTTCTAATATAATTTTCAGTTATTTTTTTAGAAAAAAAAAACGTTTCTACCTTTCCTTGTGCTACGATCTCCGTTTGCAGAAAACGAGATTTCTTCACTAAAGTTCTAATAGCCATCATCAAATCCGTGCAAGAATCGAGAATTTTTCCATTTACTTCCAATTTAACTCCGGAATCTGCAGCACGTGATTTATCCAACATATCCTGAAGAAAAAGAAAAATTTTCAACTCTTATAGAAAAAAATATACCTACATATTTATTAAAATTTAAAACAGCAAATAGTAAAATTAGATAAAAACTTTTAACAGCTTTTAAATATAAAATTCTCTTTTAAATTACTAATTATTAACAAAAAATATTTAATAATGAGTAATTTATTTAAATTTATACTTTTATATTTATTTATACTAAATAATTATTGTTTTCTTTTTTTTTTAATTTTCCCGAAATTATTCACGAAACGAAAATTATTTTTCTTATTAAGAAACCTTAATTCTAGCAGCAGCTTCCTCAATAGCTTTATCCATTGTCAAAAGTTCCTTTTCCACCAAATCTCCAATAACACTTGCGTTACTTTTCTTTTGATCTGATAATGAAGCTGTTAATGAGGCAATTTTTTCCAACTGAACAGTTACTTTATTTATTTGTTCAATTGTCGTCGAAGACTTATCCTTGTCTTTAATCTCCTTAATGTAACTAAACATCATTAGACTCTGGGATCCTAATTGTTTACATTCGTCAGTAATTCCTAAAATTATTATTAATTAATTGATTATTATTAATTTTACTATTCTTATTATTACTATTACTAACAGTAAATACTTATTTAAAACAATATTTATATTTTTAAAAACAAACTTATCAAAAAATTTAGGAAACAAAAAGGAAAACAGAAAAAAATTTACTTTTATTTTTGAATAATTTTAGTTCACTTATTAATTAATTAATTATTATTTATTACCTATTTTAAAAAATTTTTAATTAAATTCTTCGAAAAAATGTAATTATTTTCAAAAATTTTACTAAAAATCCTTTTGAAAAAATTTAATTATGTAAAAAAAGAAGAGAAATTATATTTTTGGAAGAATTTCCAAAGTGATACTCACTGTCACCAAAAGTGATGTCCGTAGATGTATTTGACGTGGCTTTAGCTTGAATAAGATAAACGGACAATATGAAAGCTGTATGAATGGAACTTCGAATTAATTCTCCTCTTGTCTTCACATCCTCAATGTAATTATTATACGCTGTGTCTAAATTTTTCAATGACAATTTTGTTGGATCCAATAGAGTTGCAAGATAATCTGGTGTGCAAGTAACAGCAGAAATTGCCGGATTATCAATGGCGTGCATTGCATTTTGTAACATTGTCTCCGCTTCGGATAAACATTTCACTGAAATGGCATTTTTCCCAAATTAATTCATTATACATTACATCTCATTGTTTTTTAATTTCTACTATTTTTCTTAAGTGCTAAATTTCTACTATATTTTATTATTATTATTATTATTATTATTATTAAAAAATTAAATTCTTTTTGAAGAATCTATTTAAGATTTTTTTTGAATAATTTTAATTGAAAATTTTGAAAATAATTGAATTAAACAAAGAATTTTTTTCAACTTTTTAAAATAATCGTGTCTGATGTTAATAATTATTAAATAAATATTTGATTATTGAAGTTTATTAAAATTGTATTGAAAAAAAATTGAATTCCTAAGAAGAATTTTATTATTATTTATAAAAAATAATTTAATTCTTGCAATGAATTTTACTACTTTATAAAAATAAAAGAATTGTTTCGAAGGATTTATTAAAATTTTAGAAAATAATTGAATTCTTTCGTGACATTTTTTTTAAATTTGTTGAAAATAATTGAATATTTGCAAAAAAATTTACTATTTATAAAAATACCTAATGGAATTGTTTCGAAGGATTTTATTAAAATTTTAGAAAATAATTGAATTCTTTCGTGACATTTTCTTTTAATTTTGTTGAAAATAATTGAATTTTTGCAAAAAATTTTACTAACTTATAAAAATAATTGAATTTTTCCGAAGAATGTTATTATAACATATATGAAATAATTAATATAAGTCAACTTACAAAGTAATTCGTAGAAAGTATTTTCAGCGTCAGCTTTCAGTTGTGCGTTGGAACGTTCAAATTCTGCCTGCAGATTATTTATTCTCACGTCCAATTCTTCCTTTTGTGCAAGTAAATCATGAAGATCGCCTTCCAAGGCCGCTTTCTCAGATGTTATAAAGCCAATTTTTGCATTGAGAGCCTAAAATTATAAATTATTTTTTATGTCATAAATATTTTATATAATTAGGAGTAATTATTTTTCCTTTTTGTTTGTTCGTTTTTTTTTAAAGAAAGAAGCGTACCAAATTTTCAGTTTGTACATCGTCGAATTTCTTTCTCACTTCGTCTAAATCTGCTCGTGCTTGAGCAACTCTTTGTGCTTCCTGATCGGATGTCGCTTGTCCCTGAATTAATTCCTGTAATCTTTGTTCAGCTTCAACAGTTCGTCTATCCGATTGTTCTTGCATAATTTTCAGACTGCCTAATTGTTTATCTACTTCTGCTTTCTTTGAAACATCAAAAGACTATTTTTTAAACAATTTTTTTGCAAAAAAGAAAATTTTAATTCTTTTTTAATTCAAATTAGAAAGAAACAAAAAAAATTAGAACAAAGAAAAAAATCTCTTTTAATTAAATTACAAAAAAAGTTACCTTTCGTATAAGACATATATGTTCCTCTCGTAATTTTGAATATACTTCCTTGAGTTTTTGAAATTTTTCATTTATACTTTTACTTTTTTCTGAAAATAATAATGGTGAATGAATTTTTCAAAATTAAATGTAACATATAAAATTAAAAAATATTGCCTTAGGGACAAACCTTCACATTCTTGGAATTTAGTCATTATTTCTGCTTTTTGTTTCAATAGATCTTGGGTTTGTTGCTTTTCTTGAATAATTTCATTGCCCTGCAATGAGAAAGTTTATTTATTTATTATAAATTAATTATAACCTGTATAACTAATTGGGTGAAATTTTAACACCCGTTGTTAGTAGCAAAAATTTAATAACAATTTAGTATTTTTCCAGAAATATAATTTTTCAAAATATAATTCTTCAAAAGTACGATAAAATTTTTAAAATGAAAAAAATTAAATTCTTTCAAATAGAAAATTTATTTCAATTAAATTTGACAAAAATCTTAATTATTTCAATTTTGAAAAATTTTTTTTGGAATTTAATTATCTTCAACAAAATTTTAATTACAATTTTTCAAAAGACTAATTTTTTTCATAATCTCTAAATTAAATTATTAAAAAAATCAATCATTTTTATTTAACAAATATTTAAAAACTTAGTTATTTTAATTGAAATTTCAAACCTACATTCAATCTAAAATCTTTTAAAATTTAATTATTTCTAAAAATTGCAACTGCATTTTTCACAAAAGTCAATTTAGGATTTTTGAATAAAATTATTCAAAAATTTAATTATTTTTAAAGGAAACGAATATATTAATAATTTTTTTAAATAAAAATTCTAATAATAATATCTATTATTAGAATTTTACGGCGATTAAAATTTTCTAAGATTTCAGTTCAAAATTTTTTTTTAAATTTAATTATTTCTTAAAATTTCTGTTATAACACTTTTAATTTAATTATTTTTCTAAATTTTAACTGAAATTCGTTTTTAAATTAATTCTTATAAGAATTCAACGAGAATTAAATTTTTTAAATACAAATTTTTTTTAAAATTTCATTATTTCCATTTTTTTAGTTACAATTCTTCAAAAAATACAATAATATTTCAAAATAATGTTTTAAAGTCAGAAAATAAAATTCTTTGAAATATAAAATTTATTTTAAGTGAAATTTGAGAAAATTTCCTATTTTTTCAATTTTTTAAAATTATTTTCAAGAATTCAACTATTTTCAACAAATTTTAATTACGATTTAAAAACCTCATTTTTTCAGAAATTCAAAATAAATTTTTTTCAAAAATTCATTTATTTGTGTTTAATAAATATTTGAATACTTTTTCTTATTAATTTGTCCACCAGGAAATAAATTTTTTAAATTAATTCAATGAAATTTGAAAAAACTTTTAATTGTTTCAATGTTTTAAATTAATTTCCGAAACTCGATTATCCTCAACAAAATTTTAATTACAATTTTTCAAAAACATATTTTTTTAGAATTTCTACATTAAATTATATAAAACTTCAATAATATTTGTTAAACAAATAGTTAAAAACTTATTATTATTATTTATTTAAATTGAAATTTCAAATAATTTCAATAAAAAACATTTTGAAAATGGATTATTTATAAAAATTATAACTGCAATTTCTCAAAAGTTTAATAATGTTTAAAGGAAATAATACATTAATAATTTTTTAAATGAAGATTTTAATATTTTTATACTTTAACGGCGATGAAAATGTTAAAAAGATTTCAATTTAAAAACCTTTCAAAGTTAATTTATTTCTTAAAATGCTTCTAATATTCAATTATTTATTAAAATTTTTAACTGAAATTCCTTTTTAAATCAATTCTTAAAAGAATTCAACGTGAGAATATTTTTTGAAATTTTTATTTTATTTAAAATATAAAAATTAAAATTGTAAGTAAAATTTGAGAAACTTTTCAATTTTTTCAATTATTTAAAATTGTGTTTGTGAATTCAGCTATTTTCAAAAAATTGTAAATAGAATTTTTTGTAAACCTCATTTTTTCAGAATTTCTAAATACAATTTGTTAAATTTTATTAATTTTTCTTTAATAAGTATTTCAATAATTGTTATTTATTTGTCCAAAAGAAATTAAAATTTCAAAATGTTTTCAATGTAAAATCTTTTGAAATTTAATTAAAATTAAAACTGCAATTATCTTCAAATATTTTCTAAAATATGAACTGAAATTCTTTTTAAAATCAATTCTTATCAAAAAGTTGTACGAAAATTGAATTATTTAGATAGAAAAAAATAAGTTACAAATAATTTTTAGAAATAATCGTATTTCTAAAAAATATAATAATAATTAATTAAAATCTAATAATTAGTATTTTGAAACAAATATATTTTTTAAAATGGATTAAATAGTTTCTCTAAATTTATCATTAACTTACTTTAGTAGAAAGTCCTGATTCAAGTTCTAAAATTCGATTTTTAAGTTCACAAACAATATGCTGATGTTCGTTATGTGATCGATATAACTCTTGTCTCTGTCTTCCATTTTCCTGATGAAGATGATCAATAAGACTGTCTCTGCAATAATCCAAAGAAGAAACGAAAACATTAAATAATTTTCAACGTCAATTTACTATTAATTTTAATTCTTGATTTCTGATATTTTAAATTTCAACCAAGAAGCTAAAGTCTGCAACGTTTTTAAAAAAAGAATATTTTTTCCCCAGTTAAATTCATCTCTAATTTTCATGTGCCTTAATTTTAAAAAATTAATTGTTACTTAAGATAAAATTATTAAAAAATAATATGATTTAGAATCAAAAATAAAAAAAACCGTTCCCTCATTTTTTTGTTTTCGTTTTTTAAAAACGTTGTGGACTTCAACCAAAAGTTTTATGAAATGGGTCAAAAATAATTGGAATTAAATTGACAACCTTTCTGCTAAAGCATCCGGAGAAATCGAGCCATTTAATGTTGAATCAATTTGATCCCCAGGCAAGGAACTTGTATCTGAAGTGTCAATTAAACTGTCGACAGTTGTTTCGCTATCTAAATGTTCCTCGGGAGGCAAAACAACCACTTGTGTTATGTAACTGCGTAACTCCGATTGTATCAAGAAATTCGGTGGATTCTATTTTCAAAAATTAGACGATAATTAATTAGGAAAAATTTATTACAATATTAAAAAGAAAATAATCGAAAATTGAATAAAATTATTCAAAAATTGAACAAAACTATTCAAAAATTAAACAAAACTATTTCAAAAATTAAACAAAACTATCTATTTCAAAAATAACAAAAATTTACAAAAATTGAACAAAATTATTCAAAAATTAAACAAAAATATTCAAAAATTAAATGTTAAACAAAACTATTCAAAAAGTAACAAAACTACACAAAAATTGAACAGAAATATAAAAAAAAGTGAAATAAAGATATTCAAAAGTTTATTTACTTTTAAAAATTAAATTAATGTGTAAATTTTCAAACCTACCTCCGGCAAAGATGGTATTGAAATTAAATGTTTAAAATATTGCATGTGCTTGATAGTGTTGTAAAAATTTTTCAACTCATGAAATTGTTTCGAGAAACGATCTCGATGACCCTCTAAAGTATCAGCCGGTAGTGCATTGTGGAGTTTGAATAAAATTTTTACACAATAATCGTATAATTGAGATGCGTCTTGAACACAAGGTATTAAAGGCGCAAGGCGGCATTGTCCACAAGGGGTCATTGAATTTGATCGCGATAAATCCAATGAGCCAAAAACTGAAAATAATTTTTTAATAATTACACAATTTATCACTAATTTTTTTAATAGGTAAAGAAAAGAAAATCAAATTTAAAATTGTACCTGCTTGTTGAAAATTTAGTATATCGTCCATGTAATCAAACATTTCCACCGACATTTGAAAACTGTTGAAACAAAAAATAGATTAAAAAGAAGAATAAAAAATCAGGGGTCGAATCAGTAAACCAATTACTGACAAAAATATAACCAGTCCGAGTCAAATGAGAGAATCGATTTCTTCATGTTTTATAATAATTAAAGATGACCGAGTAATAAAATCATTGCTTTATATTATAAGAATATTCTACTTCTTCAAAATTATTTTTATCATTTCAGTTTAGTTATTTTTTTCTACAATTTTTAACTAAAATTCTACTTCAAATCAATTATTTTTAATAATTTTCGAAAAAGTTCTTTGCCAATTTTCAAATCCATTTGTTTACAATATTCAATTTTACGAGATTTCAATTATTCGTAAATACTTCAATTAAATATTTTATTAGAAAATAAAAACTTCAAATAATTTTTAAAAAAATTCAATTAATAACTTTTCAACAAAATTAATTTTAAAATTCAATCTAAAAATTCACGCTATAATATTGCTTTTAATATTCAATTATTATGTAAAATTTTAACTGAAATTCACTTAAATCAATTTTTATTAGAAAATTCTAAGAGAATTTAATTATTTAAATACAAAAACTGTAATAATTTATTGAATAATTGAATGTTTCTTAAAATTGAATTTCTCATAAAGAATTTTATCAACAAATTTTTAAATAATTGAATTCTTTTCTTTCTTTCTGCGATGAGTTTTATTATTTGTGAAAATAATTGAATCCTTAAGAAGAATTTTATTTTTTTTTTTTTTTTGAACAAAATTAAGTTTCTGTGAAGAGTTTTATTACATACTTTATTTTATTTTGAAAAGGTTTCAAATTAAAATCTTTTAAAATCTGAATTTTTCATATTTTTAACTAACAATTCTATCAAATTAATTTTTTTGGAATAAGTTTAATTGCGGATTTCTTTTGAAATTATCTGAACTTTTTATTTTCTAATATATATTTAATTGAAAAATTTCCGAATAATTGAAATTTTGTAAAATTGAATTATACAAAAAAAAATTTTAAATTCTCAAAAAACTTTTTCAAAAATTATTAAAAATAATTGATTTGGAGAAAAATTTTAATTAAAAACACTAAAAAAATTAATTTTAGAGAACTTACAAATTTTTGCAAAAATTCAATTATTTTCAAGTGTTTTTAATTAAAACTTTTTTTAAATCAATTATTTTTAATAATTTTTGAAAAAGTTCTTTAAGAATTTTTAAATTAATTTTTTTATAATTGAATTTTACAAAATTTCAATTAATCGTAAATTCTTCAATTAAATATATATTAGAAAATTTTTTTCCAAAAAAATTAATATTCCACAGAATTGTTGCTTAAAAATATGAAAAATTCAGATTTTCAAAGATTTTAATTTGAATCCTTTTCAAAATTCAATTATTTTTAAAAATTCACGCTATAATGCTTTTAATATTCAATTAGCATCTAAAATTTTAACTGAAATCATTTTTAAATCAATTTTTATTAGAAAATTTTGCGAAAATTCAATTATTTAAATTCAAAAAGAAACAATTTATTGAATAATTTAATGTTTCTTAAATTGTCATAAAGAATTTTATTAACAAAATAATTGAATTTTTGAAAGAATTTTATTATTTATGAAAATAATTGGATCCCTAAGAAAAATTTATTATTTACGAAAATAATTGAATCCCTGTAAAAATTTTATTATTTATGGAAATAATTGAATTATTGCGAAGAATTTTATTAAAATTTTTTTGAATAATTGAATTCAATTGGAAAATTTTATTAAAGTAGTAGATATTGAAAATCATTGAATTGAGGAAAATTTTTGAAAATAATTGAATTTCGGAGAAAAATTTTATTATTATGTATAAAGATAATTGAAATTTTTACAAGAATTTAAAAAAATTTTTTAACATAATTGAATTTCTCCAAAGAATTCTATTACTTTTGAAAATAATTGAATTACTGCAATCATTTGTAATTTTTCTAAAATTCTCCAAATCACCATTTGTCGAAATAATTGAATTCCTTCGAAGAAATTTATTAAAATTTTTTCAAAATAATTAAATTCCTACGAAGAATTTTATTATTTACGAAAATAATTGATTTCTTAGAAAGAATTTTATTATTTATGAAAAAAGTTGAATTCTCATGAAGAATAATTAAGTGAATTAATTTTTATTCTGAATGTGAAATTTATGAAAAACTGAACTTGATATTTGAAAATAAAAAAAATTGTAATTTTCCTAATAATAATAAATTAAATAACGCGTTTAGCGCGCTGACCTCGAGGAATTTCCTCATAATAATAGCAATAGTAATACCTAATTGGAATATAAAAATAGAGAATTAAAATTTTTAAAAACATGATAATTTCCATGTCTCACTCACTAGACGTTTATATCATTTTCGCCAATAGCTTCCAATTCTTCTGCAGTTACTTGTAAATTTCCAGGCAATCGTGGATTACGTTTGTGAAAATCTAATTTCGTAATAAGCAATCGAATGTATAAAAGTATCAAACGCCCATAGCCGTCTTTTAAATGTTGCCATAATTTTCCTAAATCCTCAAGTTTACCACGATGGGGCTGAGAATCAGGAATAACTTGCGGATGGCCTTCACGTAATACTTTATGTAAAACGTGACAAAATTTCCAAGCTACAATACGATTTTCCTGTAGTGGTTGTCGTAATATAAACATCCAAAATAGTGCCCCACTTTTTTCTTGATACGTGCCAATAATTGCACCTGAAGTTTTTACTTTTAAGGAAAACATTTTTAATCCACTTTTCAAATCATTTGATCGTAATTTATTTATAAAATTAATATAAATCCCCAGCAGGGTTTGTCCCCCATTTTTTCATAGTTTAAATTTTTTATTTTAATGTAAAGCAATTAATTAAAATAATTATAATATTATATTAAATAATTATTATATTATTATATTTATAGTATTTAAAGTAATTATATTCTTATATTTGTAGTATTTACAATAATTATATTATTCAGGCTGTCACAAAAATTAAATTTTGTTTTTCCCTGATTTCGAGACAAAGTTTCGAATTTTTCTCTAACCCTAAAGAATATTCCGATTCACTCTAAAAATTATTAAATACTCAAAAAAATGTTCTATTACATTTATTTACGAATTTTCTTAATTGGAAAATTATTCAAGAACATCAATTACTTCATTTTGAAATAAATATTTAATCACTACTATTCTTTAGCAGGAATTTAGATGTTTAAAAATTTCAAAATCAACAACTTATAAGAATATTTTACTATAAGACATGAAGATATCAATCACTCCGAGTCTTCGACTCGGAGCAATCGATTTCTTCATGTTTTATAATAATTAAAATTGACCGAGTGATAAAATCATTATTTTATAATTTTATTTTATAAGAATACTAGCAAAGTCCTACGCGCGTGAATGATTTAAAGAATTATCACGGTAGCAATCTGCCTACCTGCTTTCCACAGAAAAAATTTAATAATTTCAATTTATATTCTTGCATGTTTACAATAGTTATGATTTTTTAAAAAATCTCGGTATTTCAACTATATTATCATTTCCACGCCTCAGAAGCCATTTAAAAAAATTGCAAGAAGATCGAAGGCGGGGAAAGCAGTGATTTTTATTTTTTGTCACAGATTTTTCAGAAATCCTAAAATATAAAATAAATCAAAATCACTGCTTTCCCCGCCTTCGATCTTCTTGCAAAATTTTTTAATTACTTCTAACATTAAAATAAATAATTAGCAAACGAAAAAAATTGCTTCCAAGGGGTGGAAATTATAATTTAGTTTAAATACCGAGATTTTTAGAAAATCCTCGAAAAATCAAAATTACTACTTTTCTTGCCTTGGATCCTTTTGCGATTTTTTAATGGCTTCTGTTATTAAAATAAATATAATTACCAAGTGAAAAAACATGCCTCTACTCAACTCAAGTTTCAAATGTAATTTTTATACATGTAATTTTCTCATGAAATCCCTCAAACATTTTTTAAGCTCATATAAATGTAATAAAATTCAAGCTCAAAAGATTTAAATTATAATTTCTGCAAATATTTTAATTTTCATTCTTATGTTTCTAATAATGGTTGGGGTACAGTTTTTTTAAATCGTATTTTCTAAAATTTTTTTTTCTAATAAAGGTGATTTTGAAATTTTCTGTCTTCTAATAAAGCTAATTTTCTAAAAATTTATTTTTCTAATAAAGGTAATTTTCAAAATTTTTCTTTTTTCTAACAATATTCTATTTTTATAATCACGATCAATAAGTACATATATGATTAAAAAATAAAATTTACGAAAATTTGTTAATTCTTTAAAAAAATACTTGATATTTCGTTAAAAAATTATAATAAAAAATAGAAATTATGCAAATTACTTAACAAAATTTTTAAATAATCTAGTTAAAAATCGTAATTAACAAATAGAAATTATAGGGATTTTTTCCCTAAAGATATTTAAAATTTTCTAACAAAATTTTTTATAAATATATTAACTTTGGAAATTTAAATGTAAAAATGATACAAATTATTTTTTTTCAAAAAAGAATAGAATTTTGTTAACAAATTGTGATAAGAAATAGTAATTTTATAAAAATTTTTCTTCATTTTCAAAAAGAAACTTATAATTTTGTAAACAGAATTGTAATTGAGAAACAGAAAATTTAATCTTTATTTTTAAACAATTTTCTAATTTTTATCAAAATTATGGAATTTTAGAAATTTTAGGAAAATAAACATTAGAAATTATAACTTTTTAGAAAAACTTTTTCGGAAAACAGATTTAATTAGAAATCGCCTTTTTAGACAAAAAGGTGTAGAAAATACTTTTTTTTAAAAATAGTGTTCGCCTACCCTAATAATTGTTAGTATTCATCCGAAAAATATATTGAATGCATTGAAATGTTGATAATTGAAGGAAAGAAATGTTTAATAGAATTTATAAGTATTATTTTTTCTGAAATAAATAAAGTACCCGATTCTGCGTAGCCGGAATGGCAAGAGTATCAAAAAATGTAAAAAATCCGGAATTTTTTTTTTGAAGTTTATTGAATTATCATTTTATAGGAGACTGAATTTACCAAAAGAAATAAAAATTCTAAAGATTTAATTGAAAAACACTATTTTAATCTAAAAAACATACTAAATATTTAAACTTCAAAATTTAAGTGTCTTTAATCAATTTATTTTTGTTAAACAAAAGTGGCAAATAAAATTCAGTTCACTAATTGAATAATAATAATAATAATAATAATAATAATAATAATAATAATAATACCAAGTTTGAGAATTTCATTAAATTTATAAGAATTAACAAAATAATAATGTATTTACCATTTTTAACATCAGTTGAATAGAGGCATGTCTTGATCATTTTTCTTTTATTTGTAAAAAAATTTCTTTGCATCAAGTGGTTATCACACATATGGGAATACTCATAACCAAAATTTCTATCAAAACATTAATTACTATAGAAAAACAAAAGACGACACTTTCTGTTCACGGAATAGCAAATTATTATAATGGTATTGTTACTGTAACTTCTTCAAAATTATTTTCATCATTTCAATTCAATTATTATATTCTAGAATTTTTAACTAAAATTCTTCTTTAGATAAATTATTTTCGATATTTTTCGAAAAATTCTTCAAGAATTTTCAAATCCATTTGTTTACAATTGAATTTTAAGAAATTTCGATGAAATTCGGAAATTTTTTAATTAATATTAGAAAAAAAGCTTCAAATAATTTAAAAAAAAATTCAATCAAACTTTTTCAAAAAAATTAATTCTACAGAAATTGAAAGTAAGAAAAATTCAAATTTTCAAAGATTTTTCCAAAATTTAAATATTTTCTAGAATTTTTAAATAAAATTATTCAAAACTTTATAATTTTTTACGAAAATAATATAAATGAATAATTTTTTTATAATAAATATTTAAATATTATTAAAGTTATAATTATTATACATTTAAATTTAAAAATCATTTAAAATTCAATTCTTTCTAAACATTTCTACTATAACGCTTCTAAGATTGAATTATAATCTAAAATTTTAACTGAACTTCATTTTTAAATCAATTTTTATTAGAAAATTCTACAAGAATTCAATTACTTAAATACAAAAATAAATAATTTCTGGAATAATTGATCATTTTTTAAAATTGAATTCATTTACAGAATTTTATCTAATTTTTTGAAAATATTTTATTTCTATCAAAGAATTTTAGTAAGATCTTCAGGAACAATTTCATTTTTCGAGGAATTCCTTTAAAGTGTTTTAAAAATAATTGATATCCTGTGAAGAATTTTATTAAAATTATTTAAATTAATTGAATTTATGGGGAAAAAATTATTATTTCTGAAAATAATTGAATTTCTGTGATGGATATAATAAAAATTTTAATAATAATTGAATACTCGCAAATAATTTGATTGATTATATAAAATTGAATTACTGAAACAAATTTTATTATTCATTAAAATAATTGAATTTTTTTATTTATGAAAAGAATTGAATTGTTTCGAAGGTTTTTTATAATAAAATTTTTTTTATTTCACAACTAATTTGATTTTTTTTAGAAATTTCTTTAAAGTTGTATAAAAAATATTTGGATTTTCATAAACAAATCTTTTTTAAATAATTGAATTCTATTGACGAATTTTAATTCAATTTTTAAAAATAATTTCATTTTTCAAGGAACTTGATGAAATTTGTATTAAAAATAATTGAAATTTCCAATGTGTTTTATTATTTATGAAAATAATTGAATTCCTAAAAAGAATTTTATTATTTACGAAAGTAATTGAATTCCTATGAAGAATTTTATCAAATTTAAAAAAAAAATTGAATTCCACTGAAAAATTTTATTATTTGTGAAAATAATTGAATTCCTTCGAAGACTTTTATAACTTTTAATAAAATTTTTTAAGAATAATTGCATTTTTCGTGAAGATTATTTAAAATTGTATTAAAAATAATTCAAATTCTACGATGACTTTTATTATCCATGAAAATAATTAAATTTCTATAAACATTTTTTTAATTTATGAAAATAATTGAATAACTGAGAAGAATTTTAATATTTATGAAAATAATTGAATCATTGCGAAGAATTTTATTAAAATTTTTAAAAATAATTGAAATCCTGAGAAGAATTTTATAAAAATCTTTTTTAATAATTGATTTTTTAAAAAATTTTCATGAAATTTGTGATATGAATAATTGAATTCCTGTGAAATTTTTATCATTTATGAAAATAATTGAATGTTTGCGAAGAATTATATTAAAGTTTTTTTTTTTAATGATTGAATTCTTTTGGTAAATTTTATTAAAATATTGGATATTGAAAATCATTGAATTGCGATCAATTTTTAAAAATAAATGAATTTTGACGAAGAATTTTGCTCTTTATAAAACTAATAATTGAATTCTTAACGAGAATTTTTTTTAAAATTATAATTAAATTCAATTTTTGCGACAATTTTTATTGTTCATTAAAATAATTGAATTTTTCAGAACAATTTTTGTTTAATGAACATAATTCAATTATTTCGAAGAATTTTTTTATTTATGAAAATAATTGAATTGTCTCGATGAATTTTATTTACATTTTTTTTAAATAATTGAAATCTTTTGAAAACTTTTATTAAAATAGAAGATATTGAAAATTGCTGAATTGAGGGAAATTTTTGAAAGTAATTGAAATTTTGCCAAGAATTTTATTAAAATTTTTGAAAATAATTGAATTTTGGTGAAAAATTTTATTATTTTTTTAGATAATTGAAATTTTTACGAGAATTTTTAATGGTAATTTCTCAGTTTATGAGTCAAACAAAAAAAAACACAAAAATTTAGAATTTTTTTTTATGAATTCTAAAAATGACATTTTTTCAGTACTTGTAATAAAAATCGCTGACTTTCCCCTGATTTCCCTAACCAATTTTACTTTCTCTGACTTTTCCCTGAATTCTCTGACCAGTGGCAAACCTGTTATTATATTTATAGTGTCTATATTATTATTTTAATAGTAAAAATAATAAAAATAATTGTCATAATTAAAAAAATGTGAAAATAAGCTCTTAAAAAATATACAGTTTACTGTAATGGACGTTGCAATTATTTTTTCAAATAAAAAAGGATACTGCGTACATGTTTAACTTTTACAGGAGTTTCAGTCGGATGTACCGCTTTCGCAATGCTAACATTCTGAAATAGAAGAAGAAAAAAATTACTAATGTATCATTCAATAAAAATTCGATTCAGTTCTAATTTTATTATTTTTAATATCTATTTAAATAAAATAAAAGAAATAAATAATTTTTGAATAAATAATTGAAAATTAAAATTAATTGACAAATTGGTTAAAAATTAAAATTAATTAATTGAAAAACGAATTATTTAGTTGATCTAATTAATAATGAAAAATATTCTTGGATATTGGAAACTAAGAGAAACTTTTTTCTTTTATTATTTCAAGTTTATGTAAAACAAACAATTTCAGTTCATTTTAAATTTTCATTTTACGCCTTTAAAACCTATCAGCGATATTATCACGTTATCAGTAAAATTATAAACGTCAAACAAAGAATTTATATGTGATCACTTTTTTTTTCTTACACAATTATACAATTTGTGTATTCAACACAATTGTTTATTATTGCACTGACAATTAAGTGTTTATAGTCTCCTTTGTTTCACGAAATTACGGAAATTAAAATATTTAAAAGAAAAAATTGTTGAAAAAATAAATGTCGATAAAAAAAAAATGTTTAAAGAAGAAGAAATATCGACAAAGAAAATGTTAAAAAAAAGAATTTTAAAAAACAAACATTAAAATTTAAAAAGGTTTCAAAAGAAAAAAAAATATTCAAAGAAAACAACAACGAAATTTTTTTTTAAAAATAACTTTTGACGAAAACTTACCAATTGGTGAATCTGTTTGTCATTTAATGGAAGTATAGGCGGCATGTTAGTGGATGTAAAATGATTACAATAAAAATAATAATAATAATACAGCGTTACAATAATCAGCGTGAAAAATAGTTCATTTTTCGTCTATTCTTTTCTCACCCATATAAATGGAATTTTATGAAGATACTTCAAAAGTTATGTATGTTGACAGCATGCACTATATGTAGAGCTAATTTCATGAAACAGATATTTACGATATAAGTATTTATAATTCTCAAAAAACATCTGGAATAAATTTTAAACATTTTCGCCCAGTTTCCTTTATTAATAATTAAATAAATTTATTTATTCTTCGAAAATTAAAAAAAATTCTATGAATACCTATTCGTTTGTAATTATTTTTAAAAAAAGTATTTCTTATTTTTTCTTTAAAAGATAGAAAGTTTTCTTAAAATTTCTTATAAACAAATTGCATATAAACATACAATGAGAGTAACAGGCATCACAGTACCTTTTTTCCTCAAAAAAGGTGAAAAGGGGAATTCTTTCCTCAAAAAGGGGATAAAAATTTATCCATTTTTAAATCAATTTCTACCTATTAGAAAATTCAACGAGAATTCAATTATTTAAATACAAATGAAATGCAAATAAATAATTTATTGAATGATTAAATGTTTCTTAAAATTCAATTCGCACAAAGAATTTTATCATCAACTTTTTAAATAATTAAATTCTTTCGATGAATTTTAATAAAATTTTTAAGAATAATTACATTTTTCAAGGAATTCAATTAAAATTGTATTAAAAATAATTGAAATTCTGCGATGAGTTTTAGTATTTGTGAAAATAATTGAATCCCTCAGAAGAATTTTATTATTTTTGAACAATATTTAATTTTTGCAAAAAATATTATTATACTCTTGAAAATAATTGAATTTTGGCAATAATTTCTAATTAATCCAGAATTAAATTTTGTTTTCATATTCTTAACTAAACTTCTTCTTTAAATCAATTATTTTTAAAAATTTTCGAAAAAGTTCATATTTGAGAATTTTCAAATCCATTTGTTTACAATTCAATTTTATAAAAAATTTCAATTATTCCTAAATTCTTCAATTAAATAAATATTAGAAAATAAAAACTTGAGATAATTTCAAAAAAAAAAATCAAAAAAATTAATTCCACAGAATTGTTAGTTAAAAATATGAAAAATTCAGATTCTTAAAGATTTTAATTTGAAACCTTTTCAAAATTCAATTACTTCTAAAAAAATCACGCTCTAATGCTTTCAATATTCAATTATAATCGAAAATTTTAACTGAAATCCATTTTTATTAGAAAATTCTACTAGAATTGAATTATTGAAATACAAATAAAATGCAAATAAATAATTTATTGAATAATTGAATGTTCCTTTAATAATTTTTATTGAGAATTTTAAAAGTAACTGAATTTCACCAAAAATTTTATTTTAGGTTTTTAAAATAATCGTATTTTTCTAATAATTGTAATTAATAATTTTATTATTAAATTTTAATAAAATTGTTAGAAAATTAATTCTTTTAATAACATTTGATTAGAGTTTTTATAAATAATTAAATTTCTTTTAAAATAATGTAGTATTTTAAAATATTTTTAATTGAAAATTTTGAAAATAATTTAAATTTACAAAGAACTTTTTCAAAAATTTTGAGGATAATTGAATTCTTCCGAAGAATATTATTATTTATAAGAATAATTGAATATTAGAAAATTCTACTAGAATTCAATTATTTACGTACAAAAAAAGCAATTGAATAATTTTATTATTTATGAAAATAATTGAATGATTGCGAAGAAATTTATAAAAAATTTGTAAATAATTGGATTTCTGTGAAATTCTTTTGGAAAATTTTATTAAAATAGTAGATATTAAATATCATTGAATTTACGAAAAATTTTTTGCAAATAATTGAAATTTTGCCAAGAATTTTATTAAAATTTTTTAAAATAATTCAATTTTTTCGAAGAATTTTTTTATTTATGAAAATAATTAAATTGTCTATGAATTTTATTAACATTTTTTTTAAATAATTGAAATCTATTGAAAAATTTTATTAAAATAGTAGATATTGAAAATATTTGAAATTAATTGCAATTTTGACAAGAATTTTATAAAATTTTCCTAAAATAATTGAATTTCGGTGAAAAATTTTGTAGATAACTGAAGAATTATATTAAAGTTTTTTTATTAATTGAATTCTTTTGGAAAATTTTATTAAATTAGCAGATATTGAATATCATTGAATTTAGGGAAATTTTTGCAAATAATTTAAATTTTGCCAAATGTTTTATTAAAATTTTTGAAAATAATTGAATTTCGAAAAGAATTTTATTATTTATAAAGAAAATTGAAATTTTGACGAAAATTTCTTTAAATTTTTGAATATAATTGAATTTCTGCGAAGAATTTTATTGTTTTTGAAAATAATGGAATTTTTAAAATTATTTGAAACTTCTCCAAAATTCAAATTTTTTTAGTGTTAACTAAAATTCCTCAATAAATTCATTATTGTTAATAATTAATTAAATATATATATTAAAAAATTTTAATAATTTCAGAATTATTTAAATTTTCGAAAATTTAAATCTTTTCAAGTTCATTTATTTATGAAAATTGTAAACGAAGCTATTTTAAAATTCAATTAATTTTGAAATGTATAAATAAAATTATTTATTAAATATTACACTTGAAAAAGATTTCAAAAAAGGAAAAACTTGTTTATTTTTTATTAGAAAAAAGTGAAAAAGGGGATAAATTAGCAAAAAAAGGGGGAAAAAGGTGACAAATCGTCAAAAAAAAGGTGATAAAATTGAAATAAGGGGAGAAAAGGGGACCAACTGTGATGCCTGGAGTAAATTGATTGAAAAATATGCAAGTCATATTCGCAATAAAATAAATTATCGTGAATTATCAAAATTTTAACCAAAATACTTGTTTTGAAAACAATTCTGACAGTTGTAGATGTTTATTGTCTATTAATAGAAAAAATGTTAATTCGCAAAATGGTAAAAAAAAACACCGGCGCTTTTACAATAGCGGAAACTAAATTCACAAGAAATAGCGAATTTATTGATATCTTAGAGATTTTTTACATTTCATGTATTATATAATATAATTATCTAAAAGTCCAGTAAACATGCAAATAATTGACACAAATGTTTCTAAACTCTAAATACCTGAAATTTTTGGAATTGTTCACGTTCCAAGTCTAAGCTTGTTTTCCTGTGAGTCAATACTCTTGGTAAGGACAACGAGGCCATATCTATAATTGATTAACAATTAATTTCAACACAAAATAGATCACTTTTAAAATCGATGGAAAATTCGAATTTATTTTAAATTAAATAATATACAATCTTTTTTTTGAATTAAAAAAGAAAAAAACACTTGTTGGTAAACTTGAATGTGTATTCTAAAGAACAATCCACAAGGATTTCACTTCATTATGAATTTAATAATAAAAGTTTTACTGATGGGAAATAATTTAGGAAATAAATATATCTCACAGACTGTGCGGATGCTATTGTCAGAAATAATATACGAAGATTGTAATAAGATAATTAAAAAAACGCTGGATCAGACACGACCCACCCACGTTCTACTTGCACATAAACACTTAAAGTTCTGCACACAAACATAACAAAAAGGAAGTTGAGGTTGTGTGTATGTATGAAGCGTCAGGAGTGGGAAAGTTATTTCACACACCGGCAGGATTGGGTAGGTACACAATGGTGTGTGCACGCCTTAATAGCTAGTGGTTGGACAAATAGAAACTTGTCCAATTCTGGCGGTGACAGAAATCTGTGGAGTCACCTTTAGATAAGCAAGTTGTCACTCACGTATTTTTCTATTGTTTATGGTGTAATTTAAATTTAAAGACCAACGAACTTTAGTGGAAGTGGAACTTTTGTTTATAAACATCACAAACATTTAAAATAGACATTTTAATATAAAAATATACACCTGAAGAAGAGAAATTTTAATAATTGAACAATTAAAATGGAAGAAAATGATCTTATTCTCTTCAATGAAGCTCGACTTCCCGTTACTCAAGCTGACATTACAAAACCTACCAAAGAATTTGTGATAAATTTGATTACAATATTCTTCAATACATTTCATATAGATGGTAGCGCAATTAAACAGGTACGTACACCTACAAACCATTGTTTTGTTTTTGAATTTCGAATTTTTATTAATATATTTTTGTAACAAAAGACCTAAGTTCGGTTATTTTGTTTTCGTACTTTCAATATTTATTTTTTAATTTTCACAATTTCTTTTCAAGAATAGCAACAATGTAATGACGTTTGTACATAATTATAATTTTCCGTAAATAAAAAAATTCCCGTAAGGCTGCGTCTACAACAGAAAAAATAATGTGTAGAAAATTGTGTAATATATAGTGTAATTGCCCCTGACAGTTGTCAATGCCAAAAACAATACACATTACACTACAAATTACACATTATTTTTTTCTGTTGTAGACGCAGCCTAAGGAATAAAAATAAAATTTTTTTATTTTTTTGACATTTCGAGGTTATGTTTGTGTATTTAATTTTATTTGAAGAATAAAAGAATAAGAATGTTTCCTTACCTCTTGGTCTCTAAATTGTATAATTAGTAAAAAACAAAAAAAAACTATGAGAGAAAGAGAAAAAATTGGTTTAATTTATGAAAAAAACGAGTTAAAAAATTAATATTTATTAAAAATAAAATATTTATTGAACAGCCAACATTGGAGCAGTATGACGCTATACTATCGGATGATCGAGAATTATACGAGGAATTTATAAAGATAATAAATATGTATGCTGGAATAAGTGGAATTTCTGAGAAATTATTCTTTAAAGATTTACACGTTCTTGATATTGCGAGTCCAAGTAATTGGTTTTTTTATTCATTCTATATTATTGTAAAACAAAAATCGCCTCCTACTTGTTGATGAAAAAAATAAATAATCTTTTTTCAGCTCCTAAAAGAGCCATAAAAGTGGGCAAATTTTTAGCCAATTTCATCATATACTTTCGAAATAAAGTCAGCGAACTGCAAGATCAAGTGAATGAAATAGAAGAGAAACGAAATAAAATTAATGATTACATTGCAAAGACAAAGGACGCAGAGGAAAAAATTGCTTCTAGTAAAAACTATCGAGAAATTCAGTTAGTTGTTAATGAACAGGTAATTTTTACAATTACATAATTAAAGTCAAACGCAATATTGATAAATATATCAAAATAATCATAATAATATATATTCATAATTAAAATATGAAAATAAAAATAGTAAAAATAATAATAATTGGTAATAATGAAAAGAATAAAATTAATATTAATGTTAAGAATGTTATTTTGTCCCTTGTGAACATTAGGTTTAATTTTAATCACAGAGTTGCCACAGATCAGGAATTCAGGGAAAAGTCAGGGATTTTTATTAATAGTACTGGAAAAAATTAAATGTTTAGAATTTCTGGCAATAAGAACTTAGATTTTTGAAAAATTTTAATAAGTTAAATTCTTCTGAAACCAGTTAAAGTTTTAAATATTTATTAATTTAATTATTCAAAATAATGGATTTATAGAAGAATTTTAGTCAAAAACTCTAAATAAAACATTTAATTTTGGAGAAGTTACAAATTATTGCAGAAATTCAATTATTTTCAAAAGTAATAAAATTCTTCGCAAAAATTGAAATATTTTCAAATTTTTTTTTAAATTTCAATTACCTATTTATAAAAATAATAAAATTCTTCACCGAAATTAAATTATTTTTGAAAAATTTTAATAAAATTCTTGGCAAAATTTCAATTATTTTCAAAAAATTCACTGAATTCAATAATTTTCAATATCTACTATTTTAATAAAATTTTTCAAAAAAATTCTTTGAAATAATTGAATTATTTTCATAAAGAAAAAAATTCTTCTCAAAAATTCAATTAATTAAAATTTTTTTAAAAAAATTCCCGTCAAGAATTCAATTAATTTTATAAAGAGCAAAAATCTTGGTCAAAATTCAATTATTTTCAACAAATGGTTCGCAATTCAATGATTTTCAATATCAACTATTTTAATAAAATTTACAAAAAGAATTCAATTATTAAAAAAAAATTTTACCCACACATTCAATTATTTTCATAAATAATAAAAATTTCACAGAAATTCAATTATTTAAATCAATTATATCAATTTAATTCAATTATTTAAATTCTTCGAAACAATTGAATTATTTTCATAAAGAAAAAAATTCTTCTCAAAAATTCATATATTTTTATATAAGCAATAAAATTATTTACGAGAATTCAATTACTTTCTAAAATTTTAATCAAATTCTTCACTGGAATTCAATTATTTTCAAAAATATTAAATTTTTTCCCAAAAGCAATAAAATTTGTTGCAAAAATTTAATTATTTTCAAAATAAAAAAATTTTTCTCAGGATTAAAATTATTTTTAATACAATTTTAAATGAATTCCTTAAAAAATGAAATTTTTATTTAAAGATTTTATTAAAATTGTTCGAAAGAAATTAATTATTTTCAAAAAATTTGATAAAATTCTTTTTGAGAATTCAATTTCAAGAAATAATCAATTATTCAATAATTTATTAATTTTTGTATTTAAGTAAATGGATTCTCGTAGAGTTTTCTAATAAAAATTGATTTAAAAATGAATTTTAGTTCGAAATTTAGATAATAATTGAATATTAAATGCGTTCTAGTAGGAATTTTTAGAAATAATTGAATTTCAAATGATTTTTAAATTTAAATATTTAATAATTGTAACTGCTGTATAACTTCAATAATATTTGAATATTCAAAAAAATTATTATTTTATATTATTTTCTTAAAAAATTAAAGTTTTGAATAATTTTATTTAAAAATTCTAGAAAATATTTGAATTTTGAAAAAATCTTTGAAAATTATAATTTTTCTTAGTTTAAACTAACATTTCTGTAGAATAAATTTTTTTGAAAAAGTTTAATTGAATTTTTTTAAAAATTATTTCAAGTTTTTATTTTCTAATGTATATTTAACTGAAGAATTTCCAAATAATTAAAATTTCGACAAAATTAAAAATGTAAACAAATGGATTTGAAAATTCTCAAAGAACATTTTCAAAAATTATTAAAACCAATTAATTTAAAGAAGAATTTTAATTAAAAATTCCATTCATGTTTTATAGTAATATTTTTCTTATAAGTTGTTGAATTTTAAAAAATTTTGAGTTTTGAAATTTTGTGAAATTTTTATTTCTATGGAAAAATAATAATGATTAAATATTTAATTTAAAAATGAAGTTATTGTTTTTTGTCGAATAGTTTGACAATTACAGAAATTCGTAAATGAAAGTAATAGAATCTTTTTTTAATTATCTAATAGTTTTTAGATTCAGAAAAAAAGTCAAAATTTTGTCTGGAAATCAGGGAAAAGCTAAATTGAAATTTTGTGGCAACCCTGAATCAGTAAAATGAAATTTTTTTATTCCAGCTAAAGCAGGAAATTGAAGAACTAGCTCAAAAACTAAAAGTCAAAAAGAATAAAATAGACGAGAAAAAATTGATAATAAGCAGTCTTGAAAAGAAGAAAGCGAAAAATATTGAAATTTACAACTCGAAAAAAACTGAAGCAAACAGGGTAAATTATTTAAAAAATCACAAAATAATTATTCATTTTTTTTAATGCAATATAAAGAATTTAAATATTTTTTTTCGCATTAGATCAACAACATAACTAGTGAATTAAGACAACAAGTTGTCGAATCTCCCGACAAATTGGACGCACAATTGGAAGAACTTGAAAGAGAGAAACATCAGAAAATACAAGAAAAAGAACTCAAATTTGAATCACTTATGGAGAAAAAGAATTTAGCTGAACAAAGAGAATTGACACATTCACTTGTTACGAAGGAAACTGATAAAGCATCTCAAATATTGAAAATAGTTACAGACATTAAGTACGTTGAGTAATAAAGAAAAAGATTATTTAATTCAAAGTTAGAAAATTATTTTTCAATATTTTTTCTATATAATTTTCTCTTACAAATACTATTTTCTATTATATTAATATTACTTTTTTTTGCAGAAATTTTATCTCTAAATTGGATACAATTAAAAAAGAAAAGGAAAGTACTCAGGAAACTATTTTAAAGTTAGAAAAAAATCACGATATTGAGCATAATCAATGCAATGATGTTAATGTAAATAAAATAAAAAAACAAATCAAAAATCGATTATTGCCTCTACATAATCAAACTACTGAATTATTGAAGTAAGTGAATTTAACTAATAAATAATTATTAATTACATTAATTAATATTAAAATACGTATATTTCAAATATTAAATATTACGAATTTTTTTTTAACAGAAATATAAAGGAAACAGAAATGGAAATTGCCGTTGATCAGGAAGACTTTTGTGACATCTCAACAAAGAAAAATACCACAGATCGTGAAATAACAACATTGGAAATGGAAATTGAGAAATTTTTTAAACATTCCAACGAACTTTATTCTAAGGAAATTTTATCGGTAAGTTCCTTTTGTATAATTTATTATTTTTGAAAATATTTTCCATCACCAATATTTTAAATTTTTTTGTCATTTCTTTTTCAGGAAATAAATTCTTTTAAAAGAATAATGGAATTTGAAAATATCAATAAATAGAAGTATTATTTTTAACAATTATTATAATTAATACCATTATTATAATTATTAATTAAGATTATCTAATAAGGAAGAGGCCTTGGATTTAAACTTTAAGACAAGAAATTTAACAAGAATTTTAAGAAAAATTAGGAAAGAAAAGGTAATTTAAATAAAAGTATTTTTATATTATACGCATTTCGTATATTTTCTGTTATATTGCAGTAATATGACTCTACATGAATCCAATTTTTATTTATCTGATAACTTAAGGTCTAGAACATTTCTCTGAAACGTATTATTGAACATTTGGGAAGAATTTTGAAGAGAAAGTAGTTCTTTTTTTTGCATACCTCCTGAATAGGAGAATATACTCGTAGAATGTTTATATAATATATATAATAAAAAAATGTCAATTTTTCTCTTATCTCTTTTTACAATAGGATGATTCTCCACGAAGTAGTAACTTTTGACTAAAAACAAAAGACTAAAAATTTGAATAAAAATAATGTAAATCCATAAATATGTAAACTCTGGTTACAAATAACAAAATAGTGAAGAAAGTATTAAAAAAAACATTTTTACACAAATTTCAGTCTTCGTACTTATCTACTAAAACCTATTTATGAATTTGGATACTTTTTTTTAAATTTGTGACACTAAAAGTAAAGATACTTTTTTCATTTTTTTTTAAATTTCCACTACTTGAAATTCGCTAACAGTTGGAATTAAAAATTACTTTAAAAAATTGTAATCAAATTTTTAGAACCAATTCAACAAATTTAAATAAAATTCTTTCAAATGATTCAATTCTTTTCAAAAATTTTTCGAAATTCAATTATTTTCTATTTAAATAAAAAATTTCCCAAAAGAAATCAATTATAAAAAAAAAATTTATAAAATTCTTTTGCCAACATTAAATTACTTTTATAAAATAAAAATTCTCACAGATATTTAATTATTTAAAAAACAATTTTTATAAAATTCTTCACAGGAATTCAATTATATAAAAAAAAATTGAATCAAGTTTCTTCGCAAGAATTCAATTATTTTTATAAATAATAAAATTCTTCTGAGAAATTGAAATATTTTTAAAAATTTTAATAAAATTCGTTGCAAGAATTCAATTATTTTTAATACAATTTTAAATAAATTTCTCGAAAAATGCAATTATTCTTAAAAATTTGATTAAAACTCTTGAAAAGAATTCTATTATTTTCATAAAGAAAAAAATTCAATTAATTTAATAAATATTAAAAATTGTGTCAAAAATTCAATTAATTTAATGAATATTAAAAATTGTGTCAAAAATTTAATTAATTTTATATAAGCAATAAAATTATTTGCGAGAATTCAATTACTTTCAAAAATTTGAATACATTTTCTCACTGGAATTCAATTATTTTCAGGAAGAATAAATTTTTTCTCAGAAATTCAATTAATTACAATAATTTTCATAAAATTTGTTGCAAGAATTCAATTATTTCCATAAATAAAAAAAATTCGTCGGAACAATGAATTAATTTCAAAAATAAAAAAATTCTTTGAAACTATTGAAATATTTTCATAAAGAAAAAATTTGTTCTCGAAAATTCAATTATTTTAATGAATAATAAAAATTGTAGCAAAAATTCAATTATTTTTATAATACAATTATTTACAAGAATTCAATTGAGGCCTTGGATCCAATAACTCGCCCGACGCTCGAAGGGACGCGCTAATACCAGTCGGGTAGCAGTGAGTGGCCCAGAGGTGCTCACTGCTCACTGACTGGCAGTTGCCTCAATTACTTTCTAGAATTTTAATCAAATTCTTCACTGGAATTCAATTATTTTCAAAAATATTAAATTTTTTTCCTAAAAGTAATAAAAATTCGTTGCAAGAATTTAATTAATTTCAAAATAAAAAAAATTCTTTTCAGGATTAAAATTATTTTTAATACAATTTTAAAGGTATTTCTTGAAAAATAAAATTATTACTTTAAAATTTTATTAAAATTCTTCGAAAGAAATGAATTATTTTTAAAAATTTGATAAAATTCTTTTTGAGAATTCAATTTTAAGAAGTAATCAATTATTCTATTTATTATTTACTTTTGTTTTAAAATAATTGAATTCTCGTAGAATTTTCTAAGAAAAATTGATATATAAATTAATTTCAATTAAAATTTTAGATAATAAGTTGAATATTGGAAGCGTTATAGTAGGAATTTTTAGAAATAATTAAATTTCAAATGATTTTTAAATTTAAATATTTAAAAATTGTTACTGCTGTAGAACTTTAATATTATTTAAATATGTATTTGCAAAAAATTATTAATTTATATTATTTTTGTCAAAATTTAAAGTTTTGAATAATTTTATTTAAAAATTTCAGAAAATATTTGAATTTTTGGAAGAATTGTAATAGTAATTTTTATAAATATATTTATTTATAACAAATTAAGTTTCGAAACGTTACAATTTGAAATTGTTTAAAATTTTAATTTCTATGGAAAAGTATAAATAACAATAAGATTTAAATATTTATTTATAACAAAGTAAGTTTCAAAATATGTTACAACTTGAAATTGTTTGAAATTTTAATTTCTATGGAGAAATAAATAACAATAAGGTTTTAAATATTTACAACTTAACAAAGTTTATTGAAATTGTGAATAATTTAATTTTAAAATTCTGGAAAAATTTGGTTTTTAGAATATTTTTTCAGCTACTTTTGAACTAAATTTTTTAGTTTTCAAGCTACTTTTTAAAAATTTTAATGAAATTTTTCGTAACAATTTAATTATTTAAAAAAATTTTTATAAAATTTTTTTTAAGAATTCAATTTTAAGAAATATTTAATTATTCAATAAATTATTTATTTAATTGTATTTAAATAAATGAATTCTCGTAGAGCTTCCTAAAAAGAATTGATTTAAAATTAAATTTCAGTTAAAAGTTTAGATAATTATTTAATATTAGAAGCCTGTAGTAAAGCCTGTAGTTATTAGTAACAGTAAGAAAAGTAACTTATCTATAGTGTGAATTTTTAGAAATAATTAAATTTCAAAAGATTTTTAAATTGAAATCTTTAAAAATTTTAATTTTTAAACTGAAACAATATTAAAATTTTTATTGCAAAATAAAATTACTAAAGTTTTAAATAATTTTATTTAAAAATTTCAACGAAAGAAATGATTGGATTTCGGAAGAATTAAAGTTTTCATTTTTAGAAATAGTTAAATATTACAAAAGCTTTCCATTGAAATGATATTAAATATTTTAATTCCTTGGAAAAATAAATAGGTATAGGTAGGTATTTGAATATTTATTTGAAAAAAATATTTTGATTTTTGAATGTAATTGAATTTAGAAATCATGAAAACATTGAGTTGTCAAATTTAATTTTTCGATAGCAACTTTTTTTTCAGTCTTAAAGATACTTTTTGTTACTTTTCTAAAGTTTATTATCGAGTACGAAGCCTGAAATTTATCAATGATAATTGGGAGAGAATACAAAAAAACTTTACTTCTCAAGATGAACTTTCGAATGGAATCACCCAAATATTTGATCAATTATTTAATAATTTTAAATTACTAAATTAATAATCAATAATGAAATATTGACATTTTGTTATTTTTCTCAATAACATTTGAAATAAATACAAAGTTTTCTAAATATCAAAAATGAATTAATTCTTACACATAAATTACATTGTAAAGATTTTTTTTTCTTTTGTTTTTTTTGCCAAATGGCTTAGTAGAGATCAAAGATTCTTATAAAAAATATTTAACGAATTCATAATTAATAACTTATTAATAGCTCATCAGTTTTAACAATTAACGCCGATGGCATAATAAATTTGATAGAATATTCCATCTATTGTATTTTTGGCAGAATTTTCCAATAATTAAAATTTATTCAGGAATATTATGCCAATATTTCGCGAAAATTTTTTGTTTTCAAAAAGAGAAAGTAAAAACGGAATATTCCATCGATATCGTTTCTTTTTTTTTAATAGACAGGTTAAAAAAATTTTCACAAGAGAAAACAATCAAATTAAAAAGAGTAGTTTTACTCATTGTTTAGAAATTAAGAAATCAAATTCTGATTCAATAAAAGAAAAATTAATGATCAATGCAGAATATTTCACCCAAAATAGTAGCGGCAAATTTTTTTAAAAATCGTATAATTTGTAGAAATGATTTTCAATATATACGTACCATTCGTTTTTTGACAATTAATTTCAATAATTTTTTGTATTTAACTAGAAATTTTAATTTTTAAGTTAAATTATATTGAAAAATGGTTATTTTCGCAGCTGCTAAAAATTTAATCAAATTTTTTTAAAGGATTGACTTGTTTCGAAGAATTTTTATTAATTATAAAAAAAATTTAATTCCTTCAAAAAATTATACTATTTGTTAAAATAATTGAAATTCTGAGGAAAATTTGGTTATTTATAAGAAAATAATAAAAAAACCTACGAAAAATTTAATTATTTACGAAAATTATTGAAATCCTGCAAAGATTTTTATTATTTGTGAAAATAATTGAATTCTTTACAAGAATTTTATTTTAATTTTTCAAAATAATTGAATTTCCAAGAAGAATTTTATTAGGTATTTATAAAAATAATTGAAATCCAGCAAAGAATTTTATTGATCAAATTCGAAAATAATTGAATTTCTGCGAAGAATGTATTATATACAAAAATAATTGAATTCCTGCTAAGAATTTTATTATCTATGAATATAATTGAATTTTTTAAAAGAATTTGATAGAAAATATTAGAAAATAATTGAATTCCTGACAAAATTTTTATTATTTATGAAAATGATTGAATTCTTGTGAAGAATTTGATTAAAAATTTAGAAAATAATTAAATTCCTGCAAATACTTGGTTTGATTAAAATTTAAAAAAATAAATAAATTCTTGAAAATAATTGAATTTTGGTGAAAAATTTTCAGGGTTGCCACAAAACATCAATTTTAAAATTCCATGACTTTTCCAGGTTTTTCAGACCATTTTTTAAAAAATTCCAGACCCAAAAATAAAATTGTTTTGGTATGTTTTTAACTAATTACGACAAAAAATATAAAATCCTTCAAGTAAATTGTTAATAAAATAAGTTATTAATTTTTAATTGTATTAATAACAAAAATTTAAGTTAAAATTTGTGAGATTATTATTTAAGATACGCTCCGAAGAAAGGTGAGGAGCAAATCTCTTTAAATTTAAAAACTTAGTTTAGTTCAGAATTTTTCACAATTAAACAAGTATTTTAAACATTTTAATAACATTTTATGAAACTGAAGTTACCTACGTTTATCCAATGACAATTTTTTCTTTTGATAATTATTTATTTTAATGTTAGAACCCCTTTAAAAAATTTCAAAAGATCGAAGTCAGGGAAATCAGTAATTTTTATTTTTTACACGGATTTTCCAAAAAACCATATATCTCAACAAAATTATTATTTCCTCAGTTCATAAGCAATTTTTTCTTTTACTAATTATTTATTTTAATGTGAGAAGTCATTTAAAAAAATTGTAAGATGATCTATGACAAGGAAATCAGTGATTTTTAATTATTTTTGTCGTGGATTTTCCAAATATCCCGAAATTTCAACTAAATTATTATTTCCTCGCTTCAGAAGCAATTTTTTTCTATTGCTAATTGTTTATTTCTTAATATGGATGCACTTGCAATTTTTTAAAGGGCTTCTTACATAAAAAAACAATTAGCAAAAGAAAAAATTTTCATTGCATAAAAGTTGGTAACTTCAGTTTCATAAAATTTTTGGGTTTCTAAAATGTATTAATTTTAAAATTATTTAAAGGAAGATATTGACTAAAAGAAACTAAAATTTAGAAATGCCATATTGATTTCAATTGTAAGCACTAAATTTAAAATCAAAAAGTTGTATAATGTCAACTTGAAAACTTGAAATTTTTACGACTCAAATACAAAAAAATTGAGTTTTTAGTATCAGGCTTTATAAAATTCCCTGACAATTCCAGGTTTTCCATGACTGAAAAAAAATTTCATGACAATTCCAGGTTTCCACTATTTAGATTCTTATAAACAAATTTTTTTAAAAGCAAATGAATTCTTTGGAAGAATTCAATTTAAATTTGAAAAAAAATTCAATTCTTTCTATAGAGATTTTATTAAAATTGTATAGAAAGTATTAAATCCTGCAAAGAATTTATTTATTTATTTATGGAAATAATTGAATTCTTGCAAAGAATTTGATAAAAATTTTAGAAAATAATTGAATTTCCTGAAAATTTTATTAATCATTAAAATAATTGCATTCCTAAAATTAATTTTATTTTAATTTTTGCAAATTATTTTTATTTCAAAGAAGAATTTTTTGTATTTAATTCTTTTCAAGAATATAATTAAACTTTTAGAAAATAATTAAATTCATGCAAAAATTTGATTAAAATACTAAAAAATAATTTAATTTCTGCAAAGAATTTAAAATTTTCAGAAAATAATTGAATTTCATCGAAAAAATCTATTACTTATGAAAATAATTGAATTCTTGTTAAGAATGGGATTGAAATTTTAGAAAAAAATTGAATTTCAGCAAAAAATTTTATTATTCATTAAAATAATTGAATTTCTGCAAAAAAAAGTTATTTTTATTTCTACGAAATTTGATTAAAAGTTTAGAAAATAATTGAATAATTGAATTTCAGCAAAGAATTTTATTATTTACGAATGTAATTGAATTTTTCAAAAGAATTTTATTAAAATTTCAGCAATAAATTGGAAAAATTTTTACTATTTATGAAAATAATTGAATTTCTGCGAAAAAATCTATTATTTATGAAAATAATTGAATTCTTCCACAGAATTTTTTTTTTGTAAATTATTGAATTAATTCGACATATTTTCAGGGTGGCCGCAAGATTGACTTTATCAATTTCCCTGACATTTTACTGACATAACAACGAATTTCCCTGACAAAAAATTTGTTTGTTTAGAGCAAAAATGTATTGCATAACCGTCTTAATTTCTTTAATTGCCCTGACAAAAAAATTTTTCCTGACATTTCCCTGACTTTACTGACTTTACTGACATGTGGCCACCCTGTATTTTATTAAAATTGTAGAAAACAATTGAATTTTTTTTTGTAAATAATTAAATTATTTCGAGAAATTTTATTAAAATTTTTGAGAACAATTGAAATTCTGCGTCCAATTTTAATATTTATTCAACAATAATAATTGATCATTCTTTTGAAGAATTTTCTTTAAAATTTTAGAAACTATTTGAATTCCCGCACATGATGTTATTATTTCCATGAAAATAATTGAATTTCTGCAACTCAACTTAAAAATAAAATAAAACAAAGATAAAATAACTTACTTAAAAAATTGTTTTTGAAAATAATTGTCAAAAATGAATTGTACGTTTTTAAAACTTTTCTACAATTTATAAAATTGTTTTTAAAAATAATCCTCAACGACTTTTGGATGAAATATAATTAATTGATAAAAATATTCTTCTAATTTTACAATACTGCGAAGAATAAAGAAATTTAATCAATTTCAGTAAATCCCTATTGAATATAAATAATTGAAATATATTAATTAAAGTTCACTGAATGTTTCAAAATGAAAATTTTTTTACCCCGAAAAATTTGAATTACTATCTAGATAGAATTAATTACTAGAAATATCTCAGACGCACTACATACAATAAATTGATGTAGAGGTGAAAATGCAAACATTTAAAGGCTCCATATGTGAGAAATATATTTATAATATATATAATGTAAAAAAAAGGAAGAAAAGAATAAATAAATTTTTACACTGTACTAACTTGCATGGATAATGCTCCTGACTCTGTGTCATTATACGTTCTCGTTATACTAACAGAAGAATCTAAATTAATACCCTCAGCACCTTTCGCACCTTCATTACTTGCCGCTAATCTCTCGCTTTCAATTAAACTTGTATTTGCATCAGCACCGGTTAAATTATTTTCGCCAATTATCATTTTCTTTCTTGTTCCATTAACAATTGCGTCCATTTCATCCTGTTCGTTATTTAATATTGAACGACTACCCTTCGCGTTATCCTTTAATAAACCCTGTGAACTTAATTTCTTCTCCTTCTCATTGGCAATCACATTTTTAGGCCCTTTTCCATCCTTTTCCTTTGGCTTTTTCCCAAGACCAGAGAAATTTGATATTTTTGAAACAACTTTTGTTGTGTCTTTCGATTGACGAATCGATCCAGCACGATTGGGTTCCGTGACTTCTTGATCTTCGGTTATTGATTTTAAATTGCTTTTAATTTCCCCGCTCCCCTCCTCTTTCGTCACTTGAATTGGAATATCATCTGAAATAGAAGGAAATTTTCAATTTAATTTTCGTTTCGTTTCACAAAAGAAATTCGTGGTTTTGAAATAATTTATTTTATTGTGAAAATAGTATTTAATTTACTTAAATGAAAATAATTTCAAGAATAAGGCAAATTTGAAGCGGAAAATAATAATCGAAGAGTCAAAAAAGAAGTTCCAGTGCGCTCTTTTTGCTTTTGTGCGATCAATCAGCGTACTTATTGTATAATCATTCGTCAATTTTAAGAAAAGAAAAATAATGCAATTCAGTGAAGTTGAAAATATATTCAGGATTGCCACAAAAAATTGATTTTTTATTTCCCTGATGTCCAGGCGGATTTTTGACTTTTTCCCTGACCCTAAAGAATATTTTAATTCACTCTAAAAATAATTAGCTACACAAAAAAATGTTTGTATCATTTATTTTCGACTATATCTTTAATTGCAAAATTATTCGAAACATCAACACTTTTTTTTAAATAAATATTTAATCATATTATTTTTCCACAGAAATTAAGATATTCCAAAATTTCAAATCCTTTCAAATTCAATAACTTATAAGAATTGCTGTAACAACTTCTCAAAAATTATTTTTAACATTTTAATTTATAATTATTATTTTCTAGAATTCTTAACAAAAATTGTTCTCTAATTCAATTAGTTTTAATAATTTCTGAAAAAAGTTCCTTAAGAATTCAATTACTTATTTGAAGAAAAAAAAGTTTACCTACAATATTTTTGTAATTCACTTGTTTACAATTTAATTTCATGAAATAATAATAATTCTTTCGAGAAATTTGATTAATTTCGGAAATAATTGAAATCTTGGTAAGAATTTTATTAAAATTATTGTATTAAAAATAAATCAATTCTTATAAAGAATTTTACCAAAAGTTTCAAACTAATTGAATTTCTGCGAAAAATTTTATAATTTAGGAAAAGAATAAAATTTTTTCAAAGTAGATATTTAATTAAATTTTTTTCTTATAAAGAATTTTATTGAAATTTTTCAAAATAATAAAATTATTGCAAAGAATTTTTTTTAAAAATTCTTTAAAATAATTAAATTGATGGGAAAAATGTTATAAATTATAAAAATAATTGAAATCTTTCTGAGAATTTAATTAAAATTTTTGGAAATAATTGAATTTTTTCGATGAATTTAATTAAATTAGTAGTAAAAGTTTTTCAATTTTCATAAAGAATTTAATCAAAATTTTCCATAATAATTGAATTTCTGCGAAAAATTTTATTATTTAGGTAGAGAATAAAATTTTTTCAAAGTATTTAATTAAATTTTTTTCTGATAAAGAATTTTACTGAAATTTTTTTCATAAATAGGTTTATCAAAATTTTCCAAAGTATATTAAATTTCTGCAAATAGTTTTATTCAGATTTTTTAAATAATTAAATTCCTGTTTAAAGTTTTATAATTTATGAAAATAATTGAAATCTTGCTAAGAATTTAATTAAAATTTTCGGAAATAATTGAATTTTTTAGAGAAATTTTATTAAAATTTTATTGAAAATAATTAATTTAGTAATAATTCCTGCGAATAATTTCATTGCAGTTTTTGAAAGCAATAAATAATTATAGTTAATTAGTAGATTAGTAAATAATAAAATTTTTTTAATTTTGAATCTGAAATTATTCCAAAATTTAAATTAATATTTAAAAATAAAAGTTTTTTAATTTGCATAATAATAATAATAAAAATATTTAAAACGAAAAAATTTTTGTCAACTTTTTATAATAATTTTCATGGTCTTTATATTAATTTTTCTAATTTAAAAAAATTTTTAACAAATTTCGAATCTAAAGTATTTTAATTTCCATAGAATTTTATCAAATTTTTTAAAAATAATTAATTTCTTTCCAAGAATGTTCATAAAATTTTCAAGTAATAATTTCATTTTTCAAGGAATTCATTTAAAATTGTATTAAAAATAATTCTAATTCTGAGAAGGATTTTTTTATTTTGATCATTCATTAAGATAATAAAATTTATGAGAAGAATTTTATTTCATTATGAAAATAATCCAATTGTTTCGAAGAACTTTTTTCTTTATGCAAAAAATTCAATTTTTCGAAGAATTTTTTTTATTTATGAAAATAATTGAATTCTTCCAACAAATTTTATTAAAATTATTGTAATTAATTGAATTTCTGGGAAAAAATGTATTATTTCTTAAAATAATTTAATTCCAGTGAAGAATTTGATTAAATCTTTAGAAAGTAATTGAATTCTCGTAAATAATTTTATTGCTTATATAAAATGAATTGAATTTTTCAGTAATTGAATTTTTAAGCAGAATTTTTTTTTATGAAAATAATTCAATTGTTGCGAAGAATTTTTTTATTTTTGAAAATAATTCAATTATTGATTCGTACAATTTTTTTCTTTAAGGAAAAAATAACTCAATTGTTTCAAAGAATTTTTTTTATGAAAATATTTGAATTCTTGAAAAGAATTTGATGAAAATTTAAAAAAATAATTGAATTTCTGCTAAAAAATCTATTATTTATATGAAAATAATTGAATTCCAGCAAAGAATTTTATGATCTACTAATGTAATTGAATTTTTTAAAAGCATTTTATTAAAATTTTAGGCATAAATTGAAAAAATGTTACTACTTAAGAAAATAATTGAATTCTTGTGAAGAATTTTTTTATTTTTCGAAAATAATTCAATTGATTCGAAGAATTTTTTTCTTTATGCAAAAAATTCAAAAGTTTCGAAGAATTTTTTTATTTATAAAAATAATTGAATTCTCGCAAAGAATTGTATTAAACGTATGAAAAAATAAATGAATTCTATTGAATTTTATTGAAAATAATTTAATCTTGTTCAAAGAAGTTTATTAAATTTGTTGAAAAAAATTACCTCTTTCTTTCTATTATTTATAAAAATTGAAAGCGTAATTTTTATAAAATTAAATTATTTTTTGAATTTTTAATGAAAATTATTCGCAAAATAATTACTTTAAATAATAATTTTTCGATAGTGTTTCAAGAATTAAATTATTTAAAATAAATTTAATTTAAAGTAAAAGTAATGTAAATTAAGTAAATTAAGTAAATAAAGTTCAATTATTGTAAGAAGTAGAAAGAATTTAAAATTAAATCAAATCTTTTCAATATTTTTAAAGTTTGCTGGACAAGAAAATTTAGAATTTTCTTATGAATTCTAGAAATTGAATATTCTTCCAGTACTTTTGATGAAGTTCCCTGACTTTTCCAGGACCAATTTTACTTTCCCTGAATTTTCCTGATTTCCCTGACCTGTGGCAACCCTGATATTCTACAAGGCGGTGTTACTTTAGAGAAAAAGTTTGCGATATTCTTTCATTGAACAAAAATCGTGTGGTCACACATATGCAGTAGAATCGGAAACATAATTTGCAAAGTGATTCAGCTATCTTTGTTTTGCTTTTTTTTGTTGTTGTTGAAATTTAATACCAAAAATTGGGCGATGAACCAGGAGAGCAGAGGCTCATTCGTCTGCTTCCTCCGGGATATAAATTCTCATTAGATTCTCCAATATGTTCGCCAAGTGATTGTTCCTCCATAACTCGATATAAACGTGCACCGGCACTCAAACGATTTTCATCTCTTGGCGATTCGTTTCGATCTTTCGAATTTCGACGATTAGTACGACGACACGTGGTCGAAGTTGTGTCATCGGCACTATTTTGCGATGATGGCGATTTTTTTGCCTTTTGTTCTTTACTTTTTTTCGGTGACGATTTAATCGGTGAACCCTGACTGCTCGACATACTTTCACGTCTTGAATTTTCAACGGACGAGGAGGAATTTGTTTTCACTATTTCCTCCTCATCGACATAATTAATAATCGGTTGTTTCCAAAATTTCGTTCGTCGCTTTGAATTGCCGGCTGACACTACTGACGTTTGTTGTTTTTCAATTTGCTTTGGCTCCGTTGATTCAAATAAATTTTCATCCAGATCGTCTAGATTATTATACAGTTAATTTTCATGAAAAAAAAAGAATCACTTTCGTTTTGAGAAAAAAAAATTCTTTTTTGAGACAATGAGCGATTGTGTTTTATGGGGTTAAAAAAATATTTCGCCCACTTACCTGGTAATTTCTTGGTGCGGAATGATGCGTTTGTTATCATCGACTTGGACATTGGTGTTCCTGTCGAGGAGGATGATATCGCAACTGCAATTCCTAAAGAATTGTCTCCCAGTTGTCCTGAAAGAGAAAAATTTATTTAAAAAAAAAAGAATCATCGATAAGAAAAGAAAAGAAAAGAAAAAAACGACTTCTCACCTGGTGGCCCAGAACTACATGAATTGCGAATAGCATTTGTAACCAACATAACATTTGTTAAAGTTTCATAACACGCTCTATTGTGTATATCATCCGTAGCTTGATTCGCGACATACCAACAATCGTTGTACCTGTAAAGAAACATTTTGCAATCGTATTTTTAAAACATAAACATATTAATTCTACCACTTTGCACTCATCTACTCAATGTTATTTACTAAATTCTTTACGATTCGATATTTTTTTACTTTTGTGACACTAAAAACTATTTTTTTCTCTTTCTTTCCGGAATTTGCACCGCCAACCACATTGAAATCAGAATATTAATATTTATTTTCATCATAATATCCATAAATTAAAAAAAATACCGATTTACTTTCTTCAATTTTTTATATTAAAATTTTGACACTAAATTTGACTTTAATTAATAAAATTAAAATCTTCGAAACAATTGAATTCAATTATTTTCATGAATATTAAAAATTATCGCAAAAATTCAATTATTTTTATATGAGCAATAAAATTATTTGCGAGAATTCAATTACTTTCTAAAATTTTAATCCATTTTTTCACTCGAATTCAATTATATTTCCAAAAATATTAACTTTTTCCCCTGAAATTCAATTAATTACAATAATTTTAATAAAATTTGTTGCAAGAATTCAATTATTTTCATAAATAAAATTTTTTTTCAAAAATTCAATTATTTTTATATAAGCAATAAAATTATTTACGAGAATTCAATTACTTTATAAAATTTTAATCAAATGTTCTTCACTGGAATTCAATTATTTTCTGAAATAATAATTTTCATCCTAAAGTTTCAAACATTTTTAGTACAATTTTAATTAAATTATTCGAAACAATTCAATTATTACATACCTTTTAAAAATTTTAATTGAAATTTTGCAAAAAAATTCAAATATTTCCAAAATTTTCAATAAAATTTTTTGCAAGAATTCAATTATATCTATTCATAGAGAAAAAAATTCTTTGCAGGAGTTTTTCGTACTTTAATTATTTTCAAAAATTCTTAATATAAGAATTCAATTACTTTTATAGATATAATCAAATTTAGGCAATAATTCAAGTGTTGTATAAATTTAATCATATAATTATTCGCAGTATTTCAATTATTATCAAAAATTTTAATAAAACTTTTAGAAATAATTTAATTATTTATATAAATAAATAATCTTTCCGCAAGAATTCAATTTATTCTATAAATAATAAAAAAAGAATTGCAGGAATTCAATTATTTCCATAGATAATAAAATTTTTATAAAATAATAAAATTCTTCTAAAGAATTCAATTATTTTCAAAATTAACAAAATTCTTCGCAGGATTTAATTACTTTCTATATGCAATTTTAATAATAATAATACTTGAAAAAAATTGAATTTTTTAAAAATTTTAATAAAATACTTCGAAAGAATTCAATCATTCTCAAAAAATTTGTTTATAAGAATCTAAATATTTTTAATAAAATTTTAATGAAATTTCTAAAAAAAATCAAATTTTTCATTGGAATTCAATTATTTTCAGAAACAATAAATTTTTTCCCAGAAATTCAATTAATTCAAATAATTTTAATAAAATTTGTTGCAAGAATTCAATTATTTTTATAAATAAAAAGATTCTTCGAAATAATTGAATTTTTTAAATAAAGACAAAATTCTTCGAAAGAATTGAATTATTTTCAAAAAAAAAAAAAATTCTTAGAAACAATTGAATTATTTACATTAAGCAATAAAAATATTTACGAGAATTCAATTACTTTCTAAAATTTTGATCAAAAATTCTTCACTGGAATGCAATTATTTTCAGAAATAATAAATTTTTTCCCAAATGAAATAAAATTCGTTCCAAGAATTTAATTATTTTCAAAATAAAAAATTCTTCTCAGGATTTAAATGATTTTTAATACAATTTTAAATACATTTCTTGAAAAATGAAATTATTACTTGAAAATTATATTGAAATTCTTGGGAAGAAATTAATTATTTTCAAAAAATTTGTAAAATCCTTTTTGAGAATTCAATTTTAATAAATAATCAATTATTCTATCAATTATTTACTTTTGTTTTTAAATAATTGAATTCGCGTAGAACTTTCAAAGAAGAATTGATTTATAAATTAATTTCAATTAAAATTTTAGGAAATAAGTTGAATATTAGAAGAGTTATAGTAGGAATTTTTAGAAATAATTGAATTTCAAATGATTTTTAAATTTAAATACTTAAAAATTTTAACTGTTGTAGAACTTTAATAATATTGGAATATTTATTTACAAAAAATTATTAATTTTTATTACTTTCGTAAAAAATTCAAATTTTGAATAATTTTGTTTAAAAATTCTAGAAAATATTAGAATTTTGGAAGAATTATAATAGTAATTTTCAGAAATTTATTTATTTTTAGCAAATTAAGTTTCGAAACGTTACAAATTGAAATTGTTAAAAATTTTAATTTCTAAGGACAAGTAAATAAGATTTAAATATTTATTTATAACAAATTAAGTTTCAAAATGTTACAAATTGAAATTATTTGAAATTTTAATTTCTAGGGAAAAACAAATAATAAGTTTTTAAATATTTATTTAACAAAATAGAAATATATAGGTATATAACATATACTTACATTGCAAAATAAATCGAATGTAGAAATTCCAGAAGAAATTGATTCGACACTGGTATTCGTGGTAGTAATCTAGGAACAAAACTCGTTTCACTATTATAAGATGATCTTTGATGAAGACCCATTTTCGAAAAACCTTGCGTCACAAGTCTGGAAAAAATACACGAAAAAAAACCAAATGAAACAAATAATTCAGAAACAATTAATGTACAAATTTAAAATAAATGTGGGTCCTGGTCGAAGAACCGGTTTTTTTTTAACTAAAAATAATTGTCAAATATAAATAAAAAATTAAAACTAAAAGATTTTAAATCAAAATGTTTGGAGGAACTTTTTCGTAATCTTTATACAAATACGAAATGCTTACAAGAAATTCAAATTTTAAATTCTTTTTTAAGAAGCGGAGAATTTTGAGCATTAAATTATAACCGATTCTTCAATCGGAACCCTCAAATGTAAAAATAATTTACGGAAAGAAAAATGAACTTACGTAGTCGCAACCTTACACAATTGTTCGAGTGAATGTTTCGTTATGAATGACAATTGTTGATTATAAATAAAAAGCAGAGCTGTCATTACTTTTAATCTATTTTGGGCATTCAGTATTTCTACTTGCTGCAAAGGACCCCAACTTACGAGTTTTGTGTTACACTCCTCAAAACGACGAATCGCACTTTCCGTTAGCGAAGTCGATGCCAAACTCGAGGGCTAAACATAAATAATGTTTTCAAAATTAACTTCACATTAAATTCAAAATAATTACAAATCAATTTCAAATTAATTTCAACAATAGCAACATAACTACATAACAGAAGAAATTTTACAGCCCATTGTTAGTTATTAAAACTTTCTTTTTCAAATTTATTATTTTTTAAAAGATTTAATTTTTCGAAATACAATTCTTCACAAAAACGATTATATTTCAAAATAATTTTAAAAAGTAATAAAATTTAATTCATTTTAAATATAAAATTAATTTCCATGAAATTTGACAACAATTTTAATTGTTTCAATTTTTTAAAATTATTTTCGGGAACTGTTTTCAAAAACTTTTAAAATAATTTTTCTTCTTAAATATTTTCAATTTTAAAATTAATTTATACTGAATATCATTGAATTCTTGTAAAGTATTTTATAAAAAACTTTGAAAATAATTGAATTCATTTTAAGAATTTTATCAACATTTCTTTCAATAATTGAATTGTTTCGAAAAAATGTAATTGAAATTGTATTGAAAATAATTTAATTCTTGGCGAGATTTTTATTAAAATTCTTTAAAATAATTTAATTGTTTATAAAAATTGATTTCAATATTCTTGAAAACAGTGAAGTTTTTTTTTAATAATTTTTACTCAAAATTTTGAAAGTACTTGAATTTTATGAAGAATTCAATTATTTTCAATAATAATAATTGTAATAAAATTCTTTGCAAAAAGTCAATTTATAAATAATAAAAATCTTCGTAAAAAATTCAATTATTTATATATAAATAATAAAACTCTTATCAGGATTTCACTTACATTCCACAAATTTTTAATTAATTTCTTCGAGAAATTCAATTATTTTTAAAAATTTTGTAAAAATTCACCGAGAAAATTCAATTATTTAAAAAAATAATTGAATTTTTCACAGGAGTTCAATTATTTAAAAAACTTTTATGTAATAAAATTCAATTCAAGAATTCAATTAATTTTATAAATAATGAAATTTTCGCTGGAATTCAATTATATTTTAAATACAATTATAATTGAATTCCAAGGAAAATTAAAATATTTTTTAACATTTTTTTGAAATTCTTTGAAAGAATTTAATAATATCCATAAATAGTAAATTTTTCACAGAAATTCAATTATTTTAAATACAGTTTTAATAAAATTCTTCTCAAAAATTCACTTATTTCTTAAATTTTTGCAAGTATTCAATTATTTGTATAGAAATAATAAATTTTTTCACAGAAATTCAATTATTTAAAAAAGTTTTAATAAAATTCTATTTAAAAATTCAATTATTTTCAGTAATAATTAAATTGTCGATGTACTAAAAGTCATTGAATTCTTGTAAAGTATTTATAAAAAAAAATTTAATATTAAATTGAAATATTAAATTATATTAAAATTATTCATAAAAAAATAAAATTCTTTTAAACAATTTTATTAGAGTTTTGGTAAATAATTACATTTTTTTAAAGAATTTCATTGAATTTCGTAAAAATAATGAATTTTTTAAAGTAATACCAATTGAAAATTTTGAAAATAATTAAAATTTACAAAGAATTTTATTAAAAACTTTTGAGAACAATTGAATTGTTTAGAAACATTTTATTACAATTTTTAAAAATAATTGAACCGGCTAGAGAAATTTTATTAAAATTATCTTGAATATAATTAAATTTTTTCCTAGAAATTTAATTTAAAATTGTATTGAAAATAATTGGATTTCTCAGAAGAATTTTGTTATTTACAAAAATAATTAAATTCTTGACAAGAATTTTACAATATATAAAAATAATTTAAGTGTTTCGAAACTTTTTTTTACAGAATTGTTGAAAATAATTGAATTTTTATTAAAACTCTTGAGAATAATTAAATTTAAATAATATTTTTAAAAATAATTGGCTTCTTTCGAGAAATTTTATTAAAATTGTATTGAAAATAATTGAATTCCTCTGAAACATTTTATTATTTATGAATATAATTGAATTCCTTTGCAGAATTCTATTATTTATGATAATATTTTAATCTTGCGAAAAATTTTCTCATTTATGAAAATAATTGAATTTTTTCGAAGAATTTTATCTGATTTTTTTAAAATAGTTGAATTTTTTGAAGGAATTTTATTAAAAATTTTGAAAATAATGATTTTTGTAAAAGAATTTCATCAAAATTGTCGAAAATAATTGAATTGCTCAAAAAAATATTATTATTTATGAGAATAATAAAATTCTACCGAAGAATTTTATTAAAATATTTGAAGAATAATAAACAAAAATATTTAATATTCACTTAATAAGTGAATTCTTTAAATTTAAAATCTGTAATCATTCAAAAATTGATGTTTATTCTTGAAAATATAAAATTTTTCAAATTTTTTTTTTATATTATACTGTAATTTACAGTATAATAATAAATGGAATACTGCGTTTCGCGCGTATCATTTGCTAGTAAATTAATATTAATTTATACTTACTTCGTGATATATCGACATTATAGCTAGAGAAGGTAATCTAAACGATACGACTTTTGGTTGTCCGTTCATATCGACAACTTCCAAATTGTACAATCCAATCAACAACGTTTCTACAGTTCGACAGTTCTGTAAAATAAAAAATATCCATTTCTTTTAATTTATAGAAAAAAAATTACACCTCTCTCTTAATAATGCAAATTAGAATATTTCTCATCTTTCCGAGCAAAGATCAATTCATACACGATTATGTAATTACATCATTTATACGAATGACACTCATAAAAGAAAACATATCATTTAGTTCTTTTTGTAAACTGCTATTTACTAATGTCCTTGAAGTTCATTAACTGACTCTACAGCATTTCTTTAACGAAATACCAAAAAAGCTCGATTATTTCTGCTCTTCAAAAATCTTCAAATTCTTTAAAATTGAAAACTAAATGCAGAAATTATATTATAAATATATATTTTTATTGTCTTACTTTAATATCGCCATGGGCGACGGAATTTAAATAAATGTATATTAACGTAGGCAGAAACTGGAGAGTGAAACGTTCAAGTTCCTTTTCTTGAGAACGATAAAAGTCGAATAATTTGTTGCAAACTGTATCGACGAGCTGAAAGAAAAATCATTGCAATCAATTATTAATAGAAAAGAAATAAATACATAAATTTAAAAACTAAGGATTTAAAAATATTTTCAATTTTTAAAATTAATATATTGAAAGTAATTGAATTCCTAAAAAGAATTTTATCAACAAATTTAAGAATAATTAAATTTCTTCGAAGAATTTTATTACTTATTTATGAAAATAATTGAATTCTTATAATGAACTTTATCAAAAAAATATTAGAATAATTGATTTTCTTCGAAGAAAATTATTATTTTTGAAAATAATTGAATTCTTGACAAGAATTTCATTAAAATTTTTAAAAATCTTAATTAAATTCTTTTGAAGAATTTATTTTAATTTTTTTTTAAATAATGGAGTTTCTTTAATAATTTTAATTGAAAAAATTGACAGTAATTAAATTTTATGAACAATTTCTTTCAAGTTTTTAAAAAAATCGTGTTTCTTAATAATTGAAATTAAACAATTATTAAAATTTCTAAAAAATAATTAAATTCTTCTCAGAATTTTATCACAATTTCCTAAAATAATTTAATTCATTGAAGGAATTTTATTAAAATATAGAAATTAATTGAATACTTTCGAAAATTATATTAAAAATTTTAAAAAGAAATTGAATTGTTCCAAAGGATTTATTAAAGTTTTAGAAAATAATTGAATTCTTTTGAAAAATTGTATAACGAGTTAAAAAAATTGAATTCTTTCGTGAAATTTTATTGAAAAAAATTTATTTTTGCAAAGAATTTTACTTTTTAAAAAAATAGTTGAATTGCTTCGAAGGATTTATTAAAATTTTTAAATATAATTGAATTTTTGTAAATAATTTTACTATTTAAGAAAGAAATTGAATTGTTTCGAAGGATTTTAAAAGGTTTTAGCAAATAATTGAATTCTTTTCAAAAAATTTTCTAACGAATTAAGAAAAAAATTGAATTCTTTCGTGAAACTTTATTGCAAATATGTAATTGAATTGTTATCAAAGATTTATTAAAATTTAAAAAAATATTTGGATTTTTTCCAGAAATTTTATTAATAATTTTAAAAAAACTGAATTCGTTCATGAAATATTTTTAAAATTGTATTAAAAATCATTGAATTTTTGCAAAAATAATTTTACAAATTTATAAGAATCATTGAAATGTTTCGAAGGATTTATTAAATTTTAGAAAATAATTGAATTCTTTTTAAAAATTGTATAACGAATTAAAAAAAATTGAATTCTTTCGTGAAATTTTATTGAAAATAATTGAATTTTTGCAAAGAATTTTACAAAAAAATAATTGAATTGATTCGAAGGATTTATTAAAATTTTTAAATATAATTGAATTTTTGTAAATAATTTTACTATTTAAAAAAGAAATTGAATTGTTTCGAAGGATTTATTAAAGTTTTAGAAAATAATTAAATTCTTTTGAAAAATTGTATAACGAATTAAAAAAAAATTGAATTCTTTCGTGAAATTTTATTGAAAATAATTGAATTTTTGCAAAGAATTTTACTTTTTAAAAAAACTGAATTCGTTCATGAAATATTTTTAAAATTGTATTAAAAATCATTGAATTTTTGTAAAGAATTTTGCAAATTTATAAGAATAATTGAATTGTTTCTAAGAATTTAATGAAATTTTAGAAAATAATTGAATTGTTTTCAAAAAATTTTCTAAATAATTAAGAAAAAAATTGAATTCTTTCGTGAAACTTTATTGCAAATAATTGAATTGTTGTGAAAGATTTATTAAAATTTTTAAAAAATAATTGAATTCTTTCGAGAAATTTTATTAATAATTTAAAAAATAACTGAATTAGTTCATGAAATATTTTTAAAATTGTATTAAAAATCATTGAATTTTTGCAAAAAATTTTTACAAATTTATAAGAATAATTGAATTGTTTCGAAGGATTTAAAAAAATTTTAGCAAATAATTGAATTCTTTTCAAAAAGTTTTATAACTAATTAAGAAAAAAATTGAATTCTTTCGTGAAATTTTATTAAAAATTATGAAATTATTCAAAATTATTTAAAAATCTATATTTGAAAATAAATATTTTAGAATTTGCATAATAATAATAAATTGAACATCTCGCTCCGAACAGGTACTAGTAATAAATAATAAAATACTAAATACAATAAAAAAAAGATAGAAAAGTAGTGAATAATTTTACCTGGCAGTATTTTGTTCGTTCCTCCAATAAAATATAAATTGCACGAACAATTTCAGTATCTTCTGATAAAGTACTAGCAAAACTATGTAATTCGGCTGGAGAAAGATCAGAACAATCGGCGAGCCATTCATTAACGACAGTTTCAGTCATTTTCAAATATATATTTACACATGTAATAATCAACAATAATACATTGCAAAATAAATTTGCTGTTCCTGGAGAAAAAATTCTTGAATTAGATTCACAAGTTCTGTGAATCGTCACAATTGAAAAGTTACTATTTTACTTCAAACTATAATATTTATTGTAGTAGAAAATAGAACTAATGTGATTATTGTAATTAAACAAATTTTTTCTATACCCCAAAAATAACAGGAAGGGGGCTTTTTTTTCTTATCATTTTTATTTTGGAAATTATTTTAAAGACAGGAAATGATAATGTCAACGTTTGTAATTTATTGCTAGTTAGATAGTAATTTACACACCTGAGAGTTCATGAATTTATGTCGATTTCCCTTTATCTGATAAATAGGAAACTAATTCGTTTTATTTTATAAATTAAAATATCACTGATTCTATACAACAGCTGATAGCTGACTGTTCCTCGCCTCACTTCTGTCAAATGGAATGCGCATGTCCAGTGACGCCAGTGACTCATTCACACAGTTTTTTCTCTCCTTTAAAAAAAAATTTTTTTTTCGAAATGAATTTTGTGCAAAGGCAATAATGTTTTTGAATAAAATTGCATTCATTAAAAGAAATTGTATATTGTCGCAATATTGAATATAATATAATAACAAATGATGTATCGGAAGAATTTCAATTTTTAAATTTCGCGCGCTTAGTTTCTTTTGGTTTTGGAGGTTTTGGATTTCTACGAGTCTACGATTTGGAGTTTCGATGTTTTGGATCCCGTTTTTAAAGTTTTAGACTTTGGAAATATATAATTTAAATTATTAATCTATAAGGCGGTGTTTACATGCTTGCGTTCGAACGCTGCGTTTTGCGTTGAATAATGAGATAGAGAAAGAAAGACATATACTTCTGTCCTTCTTACACTGACTGCTCAACGCAAAACGCAGCGTTTGAACGCAAGCATGTAAACACAGCCTAACTTTAATTAAAATTATCGAATTTTGTTAATTTGTGAATTGTGACTCAAAAATGAACCCAGCCTAAGGTACTGATCGATGGATGTGTAAGCACCTTAATTATTAAACGTGCCATCTACCCAACCCTGGCACCTGTCATCTATACATCCCTCTGAGGGCCTGAGGAAGACTTTCCAAAACAAACAACTGTCAAATTTGTTTTTTATATTTAGGTTCAGTTTATTTTATTCATAAGAAAATATAAACAAAGTCTTTTTTTCGAAAACTAGTGCGTGTGTGTTAACAATACAAAAATGGGGAAACGTCAGCACCAAAAGGATAAAATGTAAGCTTAAATTATAATTTTAAAAACAAGAATTTAAACACATTTTCTATTATTACTAACAATAATTTGTAAATATTATTATTAATAATAAGTCGGAAACTACTTTCATAAATAAAAAAATTCTCAATCAGCTAAAAATTCTAACATTAATTATTAATAATAGTTCAGTAGTTGTTTTGTAAAAGTTTAGTTAATAGTTTTTTTTAATAGTTTAGAAATAGTTTATTAATAGTTAAGTAATAGTTTAGTAATTGTTTAGTAGTTGTTTAGTAACAGTTTAATAATAGTTTGATAACAGTTGAATAATAGTTATTAATATTAACAATGACACTTGTTTATTTGTACTTTGTTTTCATTATTAGGTACTTAACCTATACAGAATGGACAACTCTGTACGGTGGTAAAAAAGCGGGTCCAGAATTAGAAGGAGAAGATTCAACATTCAGACGATTACCGTTTAATCATTGTTGTTTAAGTTTGCAACCATTTGAGCATCCTTATTGCGACGTGAACGGAAATATTTTCGAATTAGAGGCTCTTTTACCTTACGTGAAACAATACAAACATAATCCCGTCACTGGAAAGACAATCGATGTGAAGTCTTTAACCAAATTGAATTTTCACAAAAACGCTGAAGGTCAATATCACTGTCCAGTATTGTTTAAGGTCTTCTCCAAACATTCTCATATTGTTGCTGTTCGCAATACTGGAAATGTTTTTTCCCACGAGGTAAATATTTTTTATTTCACTTCATTTTTCATTCTTGTTTTTTTCTTTGCATAAGTAACAATAAATAAATATTGCATAAATAACAATACAGGGTTACCACAAAAATTTAATTTTGTTTTATTATTTAATTTTGACTTTTTCCCTGACTCTAAAGAATATTCTGATTCACTCTAAAAATTATTAGATACTCAAAAGAATGTTCTATTACATTTATTTACGAATTTCCTTAATTGTAAAATTATTCAAAAACGCCAATAACTTCTTTTTTAAATAAATAATTATTATTTTTCATTTAAAACTAAGATTTTCAAAATTTCTAATTCAAATCTTTTAAAATTCAATAACTTATAAAAATATTTATTATAAAATATGAAGAAATAAAGATGAACGAGTGATAAAATAATTATTTCATATTTAAAGAATACTTTTACTCCAACTTCTTCAAAATTTTTTTCATCATTTCAATTCAATTATTATTTTCTACAATTTTTAAATAAAATTCTTCTTTAAATCAATTATTTTTAATAATTTTTGATAAAGTTCTTTTGAGAATTTTCAAATTCATTTGTTTACAATTCAATTTTACGAAATTTCGATTATTCGGAAATTCTTCAATTAAATATATACATCAGAAAATAAAAACTTGAAATAATTTCAATAAAAACTCAAATAAACTTTTTCAAAAAGTTTAATTTCACAGAATTGTTAGTTAAAAGTATGAAAAATTCAGATTTTTAAAGATTTTAATTTAAAACCTTTTCAAAATTCAATTATTTCTTAAAAAATTCACACCACAATGCTTTTAATATTCAATTATTGTCTAAAGTTTTAAATGAAATTCATTTTTAAATCAATTTTCATTAGAAAATTCTACGAGAATTCAAATATTTAAATACAAAAATAAATAATTTACTGAATAATTGAATATTTCTTAAAATTTTCAAGAATAATTGCATTTTTCAAAGAATTCATTTAAAATTAAATAAAAAATTAAAATTGAAAATATTTCGAAAAATGTATGAAGTTAATTAAATTTCTACAAAGAATTTTATTAAAATTTTTTGAAAATAATTGAATTCCTACGAAGAATTTCATTAAAGTTTTTCAAAATAATTAAATTCTTTCATGAAATTGAATTAAAAATGTATTGAGAATAATTATTAAAATCTAATAATCAAATTATATCGAATTCTTTAAAAGAATTTTAATCAAATGTTTCAAATGTTCCAGGAATTTATTTGTAATTGTATTACGAATGTAATTGAATTTTAAAAAGAATTTTATTAAATTTTCTGGCAAAAATTAAAAAAAATATTACTATTTCTGAAAATAATTGAATTCTTGTAAAGAATTCGATAAAAAATTTTGAAAAAATTTGAATTCCTGCGAAAAAATTTGTTATTTATGAAAATAATTTAATTTTTGCAAAAAATTTGATGAAAATTTTAGAAAATAATCGAATTTCCGCAAAGAATTTTATTATATGAAAATAACTTAATTATTGCGAAAAATTTTATAAAAAAGTTTCAAACAATTGATTTTTTTTTAAACAATGTATGCTAATTCTTTTTTAAATAATTGAATTCCTGTAAAATTTTTATTTGTTGAGAAAATAATTGAATATTCGTGTAGAATATTATAAAAATTTTTGTTTAATAATTTAATTCTTTTGGGAAATTTTATTAAAATAGTAGAATATTGAAAATCATTAAATTAAGAAAATTTTTTGAAAATAATAGAAATTTTGCCATGAATCATATTAAAATTTTTGAAAATAATTGAATTTTATTACTTTTGAAAATAATTAAATATTCTTGTGATGAATACTATTATTTATGAAAATCATTGAATTTTGTAATTAATTTTATATTAAGATTCCTGAAAATAATTGAATTTTGTAATGAATTTTATATATTAAGATTCCTGAAAATAATTGAATTCTGTCAAAGAATTTTGAAATTCATTTATAAAGATAATTGGATTTTGTCATTGAATTTTTAAATTCATTTATAAAGATAATTAAATTTTTTCATTGATTTTTTAAATTTATTTATAAAGATAATTGAAACGTTAATGACAATTTTTTTTAGATTTTGTTGAAAATAATTGAATTTTTGTGAAGAATTTTATTAATTTTGAAAATAATTGAATTCTTGTGATGAATATTGTTATTTATGAAAATAATTGAATTTTACAATTAATTTTATAAAAATTCCTGAATATAATTGAATTTCGGCGAAGAATTTTGCAATTCTACTTTCCCTGACTTTTTCCTGAATTCCCTGATTTCCTTGACCTGTGGCAACCCTGCAATACCTAATAAATACCGATTTATACTTAAAATCATTTTTAAATTTTAAATAACAGGCAGTGGAGCAATTAAATATAAAGACGAAAAATTGGAAAGATTTAATTACTGACGAGCCATTTGTGAGAAAAGATCTCATCACTATTCAAGATCCGACTAATGTAAAAAAGTTTAATCTCTCCACTTTTCATCATATTAAAAATAATTTAAGAGTTGAAGACGAAGGTCTGTATTTTAATTTCTACAGTTATTGATAAGAACAATAATAATGATATGTGAAGTAATTTTTAATCCGTTTTGATAGAAACAATTAGAGAAAGAAATGATCCGAGCGCAAAACTTAAAACTGTTTCGAATGAAACTAAAGTTATTTTGGCACAACTCGAAAAGGATTATAAAGATAAGGCAAAAACGAATGAAGGTTCAAAATCATCTGTTACCGCAATGCCTGACAAATTCAATGCTGTAAGTTATTTTTTTTTTAAATAATTATATATTTTTTTTTAATCTAAAAAAATATTTTAATCAATTTATTTTAATAAATTTAATTAATATATAATTAAATAAGACTAGCGTGGAATTTTGCCGGCCGTTGTTAGTTTAAATTTTTGTCGAGATTTAATGACAATTTCTTTATGTTTTAAAAGAATATTTTTTTTCAAAGGCACATTATTCCACTGGAGCTGTTGCTGCTGGATTTACATCGACCGTTATGCCAACAACAACTGTTCTTCAAGCAGCAATTATTGAGGAAGATCAAGTGCGATATGAACGAGTTAAGAAAAAAGGTAAGAATAAAATAATTTAAGTCTAATTAGTTAATATTTTCCACAACATTCTTAGCAAATTGAATATTTTTTCTTCTTAAAGGTTACGTGAGACTGGTTACGAATTTTGGTTCTTTAAATTTGGAATTAAATTGTGATCTTGTTTCAAAAACGTGTGAAAATTTTATTAAACATTGTCATAATGGTTATTATAATGGAACAAAATTTCACAGATCGATACGTAATTATATGGTATGTATAATAAATATAATACATAGAACTAGCAAATAAAAAAATTTTTTATTTTCAATTTTGGTATAATTTTAGATTCAAAATTTTTAAAAATTCGTTTATTAACATAATATACTAATTAATTATTATTTATTGTTTTTAAAAACTTTAATGAAATTCTTCGCAGGAAGTCAATTATTTTTAATACAATTTTAACCAAATTTTTCAAAAGAATTCAATTGTTTTTAAAAATTTGATAAAATTCTTCGCAGAAATTCAATTATTTTGAAAAATTTTGATTAAATTTTTTATGAAAATAGAAATATTTTCATTACAATAATTTTAATTAAATTCTTTGAAAAAATTCAATTATTTTCGAATATTTCAATTAAATTCTTAGCAAGATTTCAATTATTTTCTTAAATTACAAAATTCTTCGCAGATATTTAATTTATTTTAAAGAATGCCTATTAATAAAATGCTTCGTGGAAATTAAATTACTTTGAAAAATTTTTGTAAAATTATTTGAGAATTTAATTATTTTCATAATTAATTAAATTTTTCGTAGAAATTTCATTATTTTAGAGAATTTTAATAAAATTCTTAGCAAAAATTATATTATTTTAAAACATTTCAATAAAATTATTTATAAGAAAAAAATTTAATTAAATAATTTTAAATTATAATTATTGAATATTAAAAGCATTATAGCGTGAATTTTTAAAAATAATTGAATTTTGAAAAGGTTTCAAATTAAAATCTTGGAAAATCTGAATTTTTAAGATTTTAACTAACAATTTTGTAGAATTAATTATTTTTTAAAAGTTTGAATTTTTTAAAAAATTATTTCAAGTTTTTATTTTATAATATAGGTAGAGTGGGGTAAAAAAGCCATGGTGTAAAAAAGCCATTTGAGTTTTATTTAAAAACTATTAAGCCGATTTATCAGCTGTTTAGAATATAATTACTATTAGGTAATACGCAACTTTTGAATCTAATTTGAATGTTGTACCTAGATTAATATTGTTTTTATTGTAATTTTAATTTTTTGTTGCTTTTTTGAAAACATTTTGGTGAACTTTTTAAACATATTACAATCTGATTAAGTGAACGAATAATAAAAGTAAATGTTTGTACATAAGGAGAAAAGTATACTGAAAACGTATACAATGTTAATTTTTGGAAATTGAACTGAATTAACAATTTATTTTTGCTTTTTTTAATAACTGGTCTTAGGTGTAAAAAAGCCAGGGCAAAAAATCCATTGAATATTTTGTGAAATTCACTTGTTTTCTATTTAAACTAACCTTCTTATTTTACAAAATTTCTCGTGTTTATTTAATAAAATAAATTAAACACGACGAAAAAGTAGTTCAAAGTGCATTTAAAAAATAAACAATGAATAAACGGTTGCAACGAAATATGTTATCTGTGGTGAAACTTAAAGAGAACTTCTAAAAAAGGTACGAAAAATTGGCAGTGAAAATCGAAAACAGGTAAACTTAATATAATTTTCAATTTTGCTTGCTAAAAACTCTTTCATAATTATTAAAATATTTTTCAAATAAGACTATTTGTCATATAAATAAAGGAAAACTATAAAAATACCTAAATTGATAACATGTTTTGCTAAAATCGTAGGGTGGCTTTTTCACCCCACCAGGTGGTGCAAAAAAGCCACTTGCAGTGCTTTCGTAAAACTCTTATAACTTAGTCCTTTCATGAGATAAAAATTATTTTCGTCAAGAATTTTCAAGCTTAATAACTAAACTTTCAATAACAATTGGAAATTTGAGAAAAAAATTTTAAATACAGATTTTACATCATCAAAAGTAAAAATGTGGCTTTTTTACCCCACTCTACCCTACATTTAACTGAAAAATTTCCGAATAATCAACATTTCGTAAAATTTAATTGTAAACAAATAAATTGGAAAGTTCTCAAGAAACTTTTGCAAAAATTATTTAAAATAATTGATAATTAATTTCTTTTGAAGAATTTTAATACAATTTTTGAAAACAATTACATTTCTCGAAGAATTTACTTAAAATTGTATTATAAATAATTGAAATTCTGTGAAGAATTTGATTATTTAAGAAAATAATTGAATTCTTGCAACGAATTTTATTACATTTCTTTTAAATAATTGAAGTCATGTGAAGAATTTTATTATTTAGGAAAATAATTGAATTCTTTCAACGAATTTTTTACATTTCTTTTAAATAATTGAACTCCTGTGAAGAATTTTATTATTAATGAAAATAATATTGAATTCTTGCAACGAATTTTATTTCATTTTTTTTTTAAATTGAATTCTTTTGAGAAATTTTATTAAAATAGTAGATTTTGAAAATATTTGAATTTCAGCGAAGAATTTAATTATTTGTTAAATTGTAATTGAATTCTTGCAAAAAATTTTTGAAATTGTAATTCTTTTCCGAAATAACAAAATTTTTCGCAAGAATTTCCATCAGTTAGAAAAATTTTGATAAATTTCGTTATAAAAATTAACTTATTTGAAATAGAATTTTAATAAAATTATTAATATAATACCATAAAGATTCAGATTTGCATTTTGTTAAACGGATTTTTAAAATTATTTTGTGATAAAAAAGCCCAAAAACAAATAGAAATTACAAAATTTATTTAATTTGAAGCTCCAAGGCGGTGATCCAACAAATACAGGAAATGGAGGAACATCCATTTGGGGAAAACCATTTGAAGACGAATTTAAACAAAATCTTGTACATCAAGGAAGGGGAATTCTTTCAATGGCAAATTCTGGAACTCCAGGAACGAACGGATCTCAATTGTAAAAAAAATTAAACTATTGTTAAATTTATGTAAACTGATAAATTACATTTTTTTACACTTTTTATGCAGTGATTGTACAATTTTGTTTAAATAATTAAACATTTTTCTTTAATGAATAATTTATAATAATAATAATAATAATAATAATAATAATAATAATAATAATAATAATAATAATAATAATAATAATAATAATAATAATAATAATAATAATAATAATACATAATAATTTATTTATTTTTATAAATAACATTTATTAATTGAACATTTCATTTTTTTCTCTCTTTATACAGCGACTAAACATTGTCGATTATATAATTAAATATTTTTATTTTGTTGAATTTTTTATTTATAGATTTGCTTATATTTAGTTCATGAATTTATTATTTAAATCTGTGAATTTATTTAATTAATTTTTTACAGTTTTATCACATATCGCTCGTGTCGTGATTTGGATAATAAACACACTGTTTTTGGAAAAATAGTCGGCGGTTTGGATTGTTTGAATGCTATCGAAAAAATTGAAGTCGACAATAAAGATAGACCGATTGAGGACATTATCTTGATAGTTGCCCAAGTTTTCGTTGATCCTTACGAAGAAGCCGATGAACTTTTAGCTAAAGAACGTCGTCAGGCTCTCGAGGAGGCTGAGAAATTAGCTAAGGAAGCCAAAAGAAAAAGCAATTCAAAAGCTGATGGCACTCTAAAGGTTTATAAAGCAGGAGTTGGAAAGTACATCAATACTGAGGAGAAAAAGAAAAAGTATGATAAAAAACATAAATTAATAATAAATTTAATACTTTAATACGAATTTTAATTTAATTTAAATAATTATTTTAATTTATATTCATTAATTCATATTTTTATTAATTATATTTGCTAATTTATAATTATTTCATAATTATTAATATAATATGGAACATTTTTTCTCATAGATTGGAGGAAGGAGAAACGAGTGGACTTTCTTTGAATCGAAAGAAAAAGAGAATTGTACAGAATGTAGAAGAATTTTCTTCTTGGTGATTTGAATTAATAAATATAGATTTAATTAATTAAAATTTAGACCATTTAATTCTTCTAATCCAGGACAATAACTAATTCTATTTTCTTTTTTGAAAATGAAAACTGCAATTAAGGATAGAAAATATATTTTTTAATACTACGACTAGGACATTTAATATTTTCTTTTTGTTAAAACTTTAAATTTAACGGTAATTCAATTGTTTACTAATTCATCAATACTTTAAATTTAGTCTTAATTGAATTTTTTAATAATTCATTAATAGTTTGAATTTATCCATAATTGAATTTTTATTAATTCATTTAATATTATAAATTTAAATATAATTGAATTTTTGCTAATTTATTTTTAAAGTTATTTATAATTGGATTTTTATTAAATCATTTATATTTTAAATTTAACTGAAAAAATTCAATTTTTTTTTTAATTTTTATTATTTTTTTTCAAAAAAATTCTATTCTTCTCTAAAATATAAATATAAATTGAACCATAATTTAATTTTTACTAATTTATTTTTAAATTTAGACATAAGAATTTTGTTAAAATTTTTGAAAATTCAAATTAAATTCTTTTTAAGAAATTTATTTGAATTTTAAACAATTTCTTTCAAGTTTTTATAACAATCATGTTTGTCAATAATTAAAATTGAAAATTTAATTATTGAATTTTATTAATATTTTAGAAAATAATTAAATTCTTTTGAAAAATTTTATAACGAATTAAAAAAAATTTAATTCTTATTTCGTGACATTTTTTTGAAAATAATTGAATTTTTCTAAATGAATTTACTATTTACAAATATAATTGAATGGTTTCGAAGGATTTATTAAAATTTTAGAAAATAATTGAATCTTCTTGAAACAAAATAATAAAAATTTTTAAAAAATTGAATTCTTTCATGAAATTTTATTAAAATTGTATTAAAAATAATTGAATTCTTACGAAGAATGTTATTATTTATGAAAATAATTAAAATCTTGCGAAGAATTTCATTAAAATTTTTGAAATTAATAAACAAGAATAATTAATTATTAAATTATAGTTAATAATTTAATTTTTTTAATGTTTGAATCGAAAAGTATTCAAAAATTCATATTTGAAAATAAAAAATTTTGTAATTTGCATAATATATAACAATAATAAATTGAAATCCACGTTCATAATTTTTTAAATTTCAATTATTTTTAACTTATTTTCAGGCCAATAAATTTTAATGAAATCAAAATTATTTATAATCAACAATATCTTAGCAATATTTAAAATAATCAAAAATATATATTTATTGCTTTTTTAAACTGGGTTTTAAAATTTGAGGTTACATCCCAAATTCTCAAAGACTCGTCAAGGACGTCAAGGACAAATGTGAACAATCTTTAAAACAATTAAAAAACGCATTGAAAGTGTGCGAAGTGTGTGCAAGGTTTAATGTTATTGTTACCCACACACCACCTCCCCCTCACTGCGCTCACAAGTCGCAAGTGTCAAACAGTTACCCGCGTTTTTTTAGTACCCAAAAAATCTTTAAATACCACGTAAGAAATTTGATATTCATTCATTGCTTTTTTATTATAGAAATTATTCAAATCCCAATAGAATATTAAGTAGGTATATAACAGAAAAAGTAAACAGTGAAGTGAAAATGACGATTTGTATACATTTCATACATTTGCAAGACTCCATGTTTGTGAATTCGTTTAATTTTCCTCCGCAGTCGCTGTCTTGTCGTGAGGTCGTGACGTGTGTTGTTTCCGCGTCGTGATTCCTGTCATATTCTTTTTTTTTTTAAACAAAATAAAGTGCAAGTGAATGTTTAAGTGTTTTTTTAAAGGACCCTAAACAATAAGGATTCATCTCACTCTCTTGCAATGGATGATTTAGGTAAGAAATGAAAAATTTATCCTTTAAAATGTTAAAACTTAGATTATCAATCTGTTTAACCTCAAAATTCAATCATCGTATATATATGAAACAAATCTGTCATATTATTGTCCCGGCTAGTACTATAACAGATATGCATAATTTATCGCATTTCTTAATGATTTATCTCAGCAAAATTTCTCTAATAGGTGTAAACAAAAAAAACTATTTTTTTTTCTTTTGACAATATACGACTATATGTATATAAGTTACGCGAAAGTTGCGGTCCAAATTTGGAAATATCTGAGATTTTTTTTTATAAAAAATTTCGCTCAGAATTCAATTTTATCTCTGGTTTTATTTACAATTTGAAAAAAGAAACTGAAAAATAAATGTTTAAGAATGTAGAGAATGAACTTGAAGAAAGTTTCTCGGTTTCGCATTTTTTGTTCTTAAAAAGTCAACAATTTTGATTACATAATGGTAATAAGGAAACAATTTTTTTTATAATTCAACAGTCTTGATTAATTAATAAATCATTTGTTGAATTTCAATGTAGTGTTAATATTAGCAGGCGGTAAATTTAATTTTTTAAATAGAAACTAAATTCTGCAATTTAAAACGAACTGCAATAGTTTTAGATTCGTCCTTTTCTAATTTTCAAATTTCGACATTTCTCAACTAATTAATTTATTATAATTTTTGTTTGTTTGGTTTAATTGGTAAATTTGTTTAATTTTATTGTAAAAGTAATTTATTATTATTAAAATTTATGTTTATTATTAAAATTCGTTCGAGTGTTGTAATTTTAGGCGAGAAGGATATTATGGGATTTAAATTATATTTTCGAGTGAATAAGAAAGAGTAGAGGTGGAAAACTAAAATTGGTAGTGAGATGTTTCGTTAATTTCATGGATTTCATGTTTCATAAATTCAGGTGCGTGTGGGTGATGTCACGCACCATTTCGAATCTTATTTTGTCATACTTTCCTTTAAATACTCGTTTAACTGCAAACACAGACACGCACACAATGACACAACTTCTTTAACCATATTATATCCTCCTTTAGTTTGTGACGCAATATCTCCTCTTGCTCTAAACTACACACTTCGATAAAGAACATTTTGCCATACACCGCACACCATACGCGCCAAATTAGTCATATCTTTAGAAATAGAATTCGTTTAGAAATTTAGAATCCATCATTTCCAGTATAATTCACTGAAATGAGAGGAAGATGATTTTTTTTTCTTCGATTTCAATACAATTATTCTATTCTTAGGAAATATTTTTCTTTTTATTCAAAACAAAGTTTCCTCTGTCAATTTTCAGCTCTTTTTATTAAATTGCAAATAAATTGCTTTTTTTTTAAATAATTAGGTATACAATATTATTTTAATATTTTTAGTAATTTTCGAAAAAGTTCTTTCAGAATATTTTAAAATCCATTTGTTTAAAATTAAATTTTATAATTAAATTTTATTGCAATGAAAATATTAAAAAATAAAAATTTCAAATAATTTAAAAATAAAATTTTAAAAGTTACTGAATTGTTAGTTAAAAGTATGGAAAATTCAGGTTTTCAAAGATTTTAATTTGAAACATTTTCAAAATTCAATTATAAATAATAATATATAATATTATAAATTATTATTTATAAATAAAAAAACAAATAATTTTTTGAATAATTGAATGTTTGTTAAAATGGAATTTTCAAAAAGAATTTTATCAACAAATTTTTAAATAATTAAATTCTTTCGATGAATTTTAATATTTCGTTCAAACGATTCAATTATTTCCAATTATCTACTATTTTAATAAACAATTTTCCAAAAGAATTGAATTATTTAAACAAAATTGTTATAAAATTCTTTGGAAACATTCAATTATTTTCATAAATAATAAAAATTTTACAGGAATTCAATTATTTACAAATTTTTTATAATAAATTTCTTTGCAATAATTCAATTATTTTTTCATGAATAATAAAATTTTTTACAGGGATTAAATAAATAAATAACAAATCAATAATTTTTAATACAATTCTACGCAAGAATTCAATTATTTTCAAAAATTTTTATGAATTTAATGATTTTTATTATCTACAATTTTATGAAAATTTTCCAAAAAAATTCAATTATTTAAAAAAAATTGATAAAATTCTACGCAAACATTTAATTATTTTCATAAATAATAAAAATTCTCTCAGGAATTCAATTATTTACAAATTTTTTATAAATTTCTTTGCAATAATTCAATTATTTTCATGAATAATAAAATTTGTTACAGGGATTTCATAAATAAATAACAATTCAATAATTTTTAATACAATTCCACGCAAGAATTTAATTATTTAAAAAAAATTAGTAAAATTCGTTGCAAGAATTCAATTATTTTCATAAATAATAAAATTCTTCACAGGATTTAAATTAATTTTGATACAATATTTTAAGTGACTTTAATGAAAAATGTAATTATTTTTGAAAATTTTATTAAAATTCTTTGAAAGAAATCAATTATGAATTTTCAAAAATTTTGATAAAATTCTTCGCAAAAATTCAATTATTTAAAAAATATTTGATAAAATTCGTTGCAAGAATTCAATTATTTTCATAAATAATAAAATTCTTTAGAGAAATTCAATTACTTTCAAAAAATTTTATAAAAATCCAATTATTTTTAATACAATTCTGCGCAAGAATTCAATTATTATTTACAGATAATAAAATTCTTCGCAAAAATTCAATTATTTAAAAGAAATCTAATAAAACTCGTTGCAAGATTTCAATTATTTTTATAAAAATAATAAAATTCTTGGCAAAATTTCAATTATTTTTAAAAATTTTCATAAATTTAATGATTTTCAATACCTACAATTTTATGAAAATTTTCCAAAAAAATTGATAAAATTCTACGCAAGCATTTAATTATTTTCATAAATAATAAAAATTTCACAGGAATTCAATTATTTACAAATTTTTTATTTATAAATATCTTTTCAATAATAAATTCCATTATTTTCATAAATAATAAAAAAATTTTGCAGAAATTCAATTATTTTCATATATATCTAATAAAATTCTTTTCGTAATTTAATTATTTTCATAAATAACAAAACTCAATAGGAGAATTTTAATTATTTTTAATACAATTTTAATCGAATTCCTCAAAAAATATGTAATTATTTTTATAAATTTTATTAAAATTCGTCACAGAAATTCAATTACTTAAAAATTTGTTGATACTTTATTTTATGAGAATTATAAAAATTAAGTAACATTCAATCATCCAATAAATTATTTATTTTTGTGTTTAAATAATTTAATTCTTTTAGAATTTTCTAATAAAAATTGATTTAAAGATGAATAATTGAATATTAAAAGCATTGTGAATTTTTAAAAATAATTGAATTTTGAAAAGGTTTTAAATGAAAATCGTTGAAAATTTGAGTTTTTCATACTTTTAAGGGACAATTCTGTAAAATTAATTTTTCAATTTTTTAAAAAATTTTTTGAAGTTTTTATTTTCTAATATGCCTAATATTTAATTGAAGAATTTGCGAATAATCGAAATTTTGTCAAATTGAATTGTAAACAAATGGATTTGAAAATTCTCAAAGAACTTTTTTTTAGAAATTATTAAAAATAATTGATTTAAAGAAGAATTATTTTACAAGGAGTGGTCCTCTCAAGTGTCCCTTTCCAAATTTTTATTTCGTATTTTTTTTTAGCCGCTGATGGGCTTTTATTTAAAAGTTATTAGCAATAAACAAATTTTTGTAATATAGTTTTAAAATATACAGTGAACGCATATTTTAAGTAAGATAAGACAAATGTTTTAAGCGAATCCGAGCAATTTTTAAAAATTTATTCGTCATATTAAATCTACTATTTTAAACTTTAAAAAACTGACAACAGATTCGAAATCAGTGACCCCAAAACCCCCCGAGTGCGACAAGTTTCAAGAAAATCTAGTCAATTTTTAAAAATTCGGCCGCCATATTGGATCTGCCATTTTGAAATTTGAAAAACTGTCATCATATTCGTGATCAGCGACCCCGAAAACCCCCGAGTTTTCAATGTTTTTCTCAACTCTAATTTGACTATGGACTATTTTTCACTGTATGCGAATTAGTTTTTCTGATTTTGGCGGGATTTTCTTACCCACGACGTCAGAGTTCACTGATCCGGATCCGGATATCAAATATCACAAAACAAGATCGTCGAGGCGAATGCTCTTCTTCTATTCTCTGCTCTGTCTCTTTCTCTTTCTTCTCTATGCGTATACATATGTATAAAGCAAATGAGAAATGTCGTGTGTCGACTGAATCGGATATAGGATGATATTCTCGTATTTTTAGTTGTCGGTGTCTTCTGTTGAGGCTGCACCAAAGAACAGTTCTTAGTCTCTCTTCGTCATCATCGTCACCACGTGTTCCGACGACGACGACAACGACGACGACGACACCATGCACACACGATGATGATACAATCATCCGACCTACTGGGCACAATTGCGATATTCAAGCAAATATAACCGCAACTGACCCACACGTCTCGATTTTTCTCGTTTTTCCACTTCCTACACATTTTCACTTTGATCATTTCCAAGCGGAGAAAATAAATGTCAATTCCGTTTCGTCCGATTGCGGTGTAAATTCGCGTCATTCGCGTGTGTTAAATTTCTTTTATTTCCTCTTATTTCATTTTCAAACGAAAAAGAAAAATGTGTTAATTGACTAATCGACGCAATTTGCTGATTAATTGAATTTAGTACGCGATACGCGACGATGGGATATGGATTTTTGCCATTTATGCTCTTTTTCGACTGTTGAGAGGTTAGGTTGAAAAATTAGTTTCAATTCTCGGAAGAAAAAAAAATTGAGTTGTGTGTGTGTATGTGTATTTAAATTGATACTATTTTTCAAAGTGGAGTTGAGACCGAGGTTGAGACCTCAATTATTATTGAAGAAGTCAGTGTTAAATTCCAAGAGCGCAATTTCCAGTCTTGCTTTATTAAA